AGCCCCCAAAACATGGGGGTTTCCGAACATAGGTGACCCTAACATAGTACCCTATAAATAGTAGGATCCTTATTACAAGTACCACAAAATAAGGTACCCCTAATTCTCGGAAACTCCCACATTACCACCTTAAGCCCTGGATCCTGAACCTGAAACGACGCCGAGGAGTGATTTAGAGGCTAAGCCTAAAGCCCTGACCCTAAATCCTTAACCTTTGTAGCCCTAAACCCCCTAGAACCTTAAAGCCGTAAACCCTAAAACCTTTTACTTGAAAATCCTAAAGCCCAAACCTTAAAAGCACAAAACTCCTAAACGAAAGCGAGGATTGATTGGGGCTACCTGCCCGTCAAGGACATGTGCAGCGCAGAAAGCGGCTCGGGTCTCGGGGGCCTCTGCAAAGTTCTTGCAGCGACCACAGGAGATGCAGCTAGGAGTTAGTTTCATTTCTCTGCTGGGTATAATACTGTTAGTCTAGCCCGGATTATTTGTATTATCGGTGTTGCATGCAAACATCTACATGCTTTCTCTAAGCTTAGGGCTTGTATTGAAGGGTGTGGGTTGAGGATTTGAGAATCTACAGGATTTCTGGCTTCCCCGCGCTTTTGTGAAAGAATCGGCTGAACAAGTATTCAGGGCAGGTATGTAATCTAGGCCTGTGATTACTTCTCTCCTCGCCCTTAAGGATCACCATAGGAATCCCAGCGTGAACTGACATTTCAAGCGGTTAGGGATTATAATGGTTTAGGTTAGAAGCTGCCCCCACCCTGGAATAGTGACTATAAGGATTATATTAGGGCCCCATTATATTCCTATTATAGCACTATTACAGGGTGGGGGCAGCTTCTACCTTCAGACTCCAAACCCCAATAAAAAGAGGGCTGCTTGGGAAAACCAGGTTTTGCGGGTAAAACCCTGGTTCTTGATTTTGGGGCTTTGTGCAGGCTCAAGATATCTTTAGTCGAAGATGTTGTGGGTGCAAGATGTTGCAACATAACTCCGTCTTGATGGCGATTAGCGAGCATTATGGTGGGATTATACGTGAGGATGGGATAGATTATTTAGGGAATCGATCCCGATGATGTTCCCAATAAGCTTTCCGGCCTTTTGCTGGACGACGTGTGCCGCGACTTCATGGGCTGCAAACGCCCGGGGCTGAGACTGCAGCTTCAAGGATTTGCGAAACACACACACTAGTTTCTTTTATCTACAATGCTGTGACAATGCTCTTGATAGACGAACTTCGGCCTTGGCTGCTGTTCCGGATCAGCTCTTTAGCCATCCAAGCGCAGTCATTCTAGCTTTTGAAGATTCCAATGTCCTTTGCAGCACTCGCAATATGACGGATCTCGTGTGGACTCTTCTCGAGAGCCTTGACGGTCTGCCTATATAGTCTTCTTCTAGTTGGCAGCAATAGATCATGTTGTTGAGGACGTAGTTTGACAGAGCAGCCTGGTCCAGCAACTGGAAGAACAGATGATGGAGCCTGTGTAGATTCGGCATGTACTGGAAGAAAGGAAGCCTTTGACGAAAGGCTGCTTGAGCGCACCGTCCATTCAATTGAAGAAAACGCATGCCTCGACGTCCCAAAGCTTTGGCGGTATCTGCCTCAATCCAAATCTTCTGCCTGTAGATGCCTGAGAAGAACATATCAATCTCCCAAGCAGCCTCCCAGCACATGTAAAGAAGAGATCCGCTCATGATGCTGCCTCGTCGCTGCGAACAGCAGAAAAGGAACCAGCGCAAAAGACACAACGTAGTGGAGCCCTTGTGCCACCCTCCAAGAGGGGCCTCAGTGGCATGAGGCCAGCCGATGGTATGCCTGGTAAACTTGCGGATATACGGATACTGCTTGTATGTAGCACACCACCCGAATAGATCGGTTTCCATGGCTTTGAAGCGAGCTGGAAAGCTCGTACCAGGGAACAAACTTGAAAGGAGGGCGAGCGCTGAAGAAACGAAAATTTTGCCGGCTCCTAGATGAAACCCGTGAAAGTAGTCCTGGCCTGCAAAACCAGATGGGTCTGCGGGATCGTGGGGAAGCTCCATGAGGATCGGCTTGGTAATGTACGGATCGTCGCGGTTGAGGGTTTGCCTCCATCTCGGCTCGGCGCTTTCGAAATCCTCAAACGGGTATCCGGGCTTGTCCGCCCAACAAGCATGACAGATTCCTGTCGGCGCCTTCTTGGACGTGGCCTTCTTGGCCGAATTTCCAAACGTCCGGGTCCATTCGAATGACTTGGCCAGAAATGACCAGTCTCCAATGATGTTGAGTATGCAAAAGTAGTGGGTGTGGCCAGTCAACGGATCCACAAGACCTGTTTCAAAAAGCTCTTTCATGTCGTCGACCAAATGCTTCAGAAGCAGCTGGTAGTTGTCCGATCGCTCGTCGTCGTACTTTGCCCGTGGGAGCACACTAAGAAGCCATCGAGTTGCAGCAGTGTGTCCTGTCCAGTTCAGTTCTTGCTTGTCGTAGGGCTCAGTGTCGTGAAGATGCGAGTGAACACCGCTGCCCAACCCCAAAATGGAGTGGGCCGAGATCACAAGCAATGGGTTCTTCTTCTTGGACCGGCCCTCGTCCCCGTGAACGAGGACACCCATAGTCCGTTTCAACTGTTCTGGCGGTTTGTGAAAAACTGGGTGCAGTGGAGCCAGTGCGCGGTACTTGTCCCAGAAGCTGCCCCAAATAAAGCGACATCGGTCAGGATCTGGATGTTCTAGTCCACACATCGTGTGCCAGAGATTCCGATCCAAAAAAAAACGGCCCCATGCAGATAGCTTTATCACATCAACTTCTTCATCCAACATAACAGAGCTGATTTGCACTGGCAGCATGAGCCCAGTTCGCCGGGCCATTCTATGAAAATCTCGCTCAGCATTGTGCTCACTGCAACGAGCAGCATGCCCTAAGGAAGACGAAGCTGCCACTGGCACTTCTTCAACAGTCGCCCGAGCTGACCGCACCACCCATTTGCAAGCAGCCTTGGCGAGCGGGCGGGTGAAGGGAGGGGAAAACATGCATCTCAACAGCTGGGTCAGTTTGCGAACAAGCACCACTCGCATGATGCACAGCACAGCAGCCCGTTTTCACTTTCCCCCAAATGTCGCCAGTGGTGACACGGCCCCAGCACACGTGTTCGTGTGAACTCAACAAAGTCACAACAGGTCACTTCGGTTTGAACTTAAACGACCTGTACACTACGTAAGTCATGTACACGGAAGCTGAGGTCGTCGTGCTCATCTTGACATTGTAGCCGCCGGATCTGATGTTCTTGCATCCAGGCACATCTCAGCAGCGATTGCATCACATATATCACAACATGTGCCAATGCTAGGAAGCCTTTTTGCAGTCTGAGTTGCCTTTGTATTTGTCGATGAGGGCTGCTTCGAGCATGGATGGTGTGCCAGCTTCTTCGGACAAGTGCACGATGCACATCTGCTCCCACTTATGACCTTTATCCCTTGCATATCCATAAAGCGAGTTTTCCCATCTCCAGCAAGCGTCGTGGGTGAACCCCACCTTGAATATCATGGGTGCATGATGATGTAGAAGAATAGTGATGACATGAGATGCGTGAGCCAAGACCCCACCTGCTGTCGTCACTTGTGCTGGCAAATGCCAATGTATGTTCTCATGCTCAGAAACACGTTCAAGGTTCCCCTTCAAGTCCACATCCGAAAGAACCCTCTCGGACACATGCTGCTGCCAGGATGTGCTCCACTTCAATCGACGAGTCATTGCAGGCTGGGACACAAGGGCTTTGGAGCTGGTAACTGGCGGGGTTGATCGCGATGCCGGCACTTTTGGTGCTGACCACGGGAAGGGCCCTTCTTCAGCCTCAAAGAGTCAGGTCGTCATGTTAGGTTTGCGCACACCCGGCCCTGACAAGACACAAAAACAGTGTATCATGTGCAAGCCGGGCACAGATCTGTGGCATGTCAGCAGATCACGGAGCTCAGATTCAGGGCTCTCCATTGCGGCGACAAACGACAAAGACACATATACATACACAGATGGGTATATGTAAAAATGTGAGTACATACATACATACGTACATACATACATAATTACATACATACATACATACATACATACGTACATACATACATACATACCTACCTACATACATACATACCTACATGTATTGTGTGTATTTGTAGCTGCCACCATACACCTGCGACCTAACCTCGAGCGAGCACTTGTGCTGAGGAGCACTGGGATAACATATGCATGGAGCAGCCACGATGGAGTCTTTGAAAATGCGGGCCCTCGCTCAAAGGCCCGGGCACCTTCGCCGATCTGTTGTGAGAACTCCCGAATGGCTGGCCCGGTACCTGGCAGGGCGAGCAATTATGATCGAGGTATTAAGATAATTGAGGGATGGGTTTTGCGAGCTTTGGAACGGATCTCACAAAGAAGGAAGTCGGCTTGTTTTTCAAGCTGTAGCAAAGCTTGCATGGATCACAGAACCTCGCTGATCCCCAGGGTTCTCTAAGATCTATAGTGCCACCTGCGTTTGGGTAGCGAAATTAAGAACGTCTTCGAGAACATGTTCGCGCTGTGCTCGCATGATGGATCTAAGTTAGCATCAAGGATCGAAGCCATCACGTCCTAAGTGGCCACAGCAGGTTTGTGAGTTCTTTAGGGACCTTTAGGGGGGCTTGAGTCCAATTAAATGTGGGCACAACACGAACTGGCTCGGAACAGACACATGTGTGGCCATGTCCACACCACGATCCGGATCATCCAGCTTTCGCATGTCTCTAGTGACTATATATAGTCTCTATAGTGAACATACTGCAGCTTAAGCAAAGCGCTGGTACAACTGTAGTGCGAGCCCACTTACTTCTTGGCAGCAGCCTTGGCCGAGCCTTTTGGCTTGGCCTTGGGTGCCCTGGCACGATCACTCTCACCTCCCGAGCTCTTCTGGTAGAACTTCTTGGCATTCCTTGGTTTGGCGAGCTGTGGGATCCCTTGCATCCAAGCAAGCACTCGAAGTCTTTCACAAATTGAAGCCCAGCCACCGCACCTGGAGCTCAGAGGCCGTGGCACTGCTCGACCTGGGAAGGCGATCTGTTTTTCAGAATTGGGGACAATAAAGGTAGCTAGAAGCCTCAGATGCGAGCACGTAAGTTGCAGCCCGGATGTTCTTGTCCATGTTCGCCCACCACCTATAGACAAGCAGCCAATGATCGAATTGCTGGGGCCGTAGTGACTTAAATCAAGGGCGGGTCAAAAGGCAACTGAATAGAGCTAATGACAGCCCGAGCAGCAGGCGGCAACAGCAACCACGACAAGAGCAACGAGCAGCAACACTCAGCAGCAGCAATAACAGCAGGAACAACAACAACAACAACGGCAACACCAACACGAGCACTACTAGCAGCATCAGCCCCACAAGCTGCAGCAGTTCCACCAGCAACACCGCCACAACGACAACGAGCATCGTCACTCGATTGGTCGTCAATCGCCAGTATTATCATCAACAGGAACAGCAGCATCTTCAGTCACATCATCCGAGCCCGTTGATAAAATAAAAGTGAAAGCAATTTCGACATCACCAGTAGATTCAGAATATCTGTTGTTCGGTCGAACACCTAATACAGTTCATGATCTAACCTATATAATGTAACTACCAACATATGCAGAATGCCTATATAGCAGCTATAGGGGGTGTTACTCTTTTCCGTGAGTACTACTCAACGACAGTAATTAATTGTAAAGACCTTAAGTTAAAAAGTTAGCACAATGGGAAAAGCCACGTCGAGAAGGATGGGCTGCGGCTGGAGTTTTCAAAGCAAAGGCACACTTTAAAGCACTTGTTTCAATCTTCTCGGAATCAGAACACCACAGTGCTCAACTAATCCTAGAACAGAAGCTACAAAGAGTTTGTGTGTTTATTCAATGAACATGGAGGAGTTGAGCCCCGGACGTTGTGTTGAAGCCGTCAGCCTCGCCTTTGGCCATCTGATCGGTCAGTTTCCCATGCTCCGCCTCAAGCTTTAAGACATGTTCCTCCAATCCATCCGCCGACCTCAGCCACTTGTGGGCAGCAAGCTAAACAGATAAAGACAGAATCAGAATCTAACGTAGGCAACTGGGTACGGGCAGGCAAGATACTTCTGGCAATCCTGTGAATAGTTCGCCCGGAGGTCCTTGATCAGCGATCTGATCTTCGTGCACTTCGAAAGGAGCGACTCCATAAAGCGCTCAGCTGTCGATTTTTGCTGGCCAGGGATTGCATGTAGCTTTAGCAAGTGTGATTACAGGTGCACACACATGATGAATGTTTCAGACACACGGATATCACTCACGCAGGCTTTGCGCTAAAGACTGCGTGATTTGTTGGCAGCCTCCAGGACCGAGTGGCCAACAGGCTCCGATGGCTGGCTTCCGCGGGCCGCGGCCTTCTCCAGGTCTGCAAACTCGTCAGGCTTGAACTCCAAAGGTTTCGCAGCCTTAATGGGCATCGCACATTGAAAGGTTTCGGACACACTACAGGACGTAACAGGAATTGTGCCAAGGTCACCTTTCCAGATTGCCGCTGCTCTTCGGTAATTTCATGCGTCTGACTGTGCACTGCCGTCTCTCGAACAGTAACATAGTATTCCCACTGGCCGTCATATTGATTCCGCCTCCGAGCTACGATCAGACATGCCACGTGAGTCTTTGCTGCGTGTCATGGCGTGCAGAAGACATGCAGTGTGCACCGGTGCAAGGCTGGGTCAGCTTCACAGATCTTCTTGGCTCCTGCGATCCGGGCCCTTGGCAGGCAGGGCAGCTAGCAGAGTGTACCACAGAAAGAGAGTGGACCGTTCTCACACACACACACACACATACATGTGAGACCCCGGCGCAGACCATCCAAGGTCCGCCTTCATTTCTGGTTCTGTGTACCATCCCTGATCCTTCTTAACGACGAATTTCTTAATCTTCTTCACGATGAGGAGGAGCTCGGACAGGAATTTCTCCTCCACCACAGAGTATGTTATGCAGGAAACCAAGCACACAACATAGGTCTTTACAACTCCCGATCCCCGATCCTTGTCTCCGTTGTGCTCGAGGAGCAACTCCTCCATTTCCGATTTCGCTTTCGTTCCACGGTGCCACTGTTCGCGAACATATTCCGGAACGGAAAGATCGGTTCGTTTCTTTTTCGGAGCGATCATTCGCAGGATGCGTGCACGTGCTGCTTCTCGAAGCAGCTCCTTTGCAGCTTTGCAGAGACTGCATGGGGCATTCGATGATTTCTGCGAAAACACACAAAACTAGCTGCACTGAGACTACATTGGAAGCAAGGAGCTCTTCGGGTTTTTTGTTTCTTCGCTTTCTTGGCAGGCGGCTCCGAGATCGCTTCTGCTTGCCTTGCGCTGTCCTGAGCCGTGGCGTCGACTTGTATTTTGGGTTCGGAGTGCATGCCTAACATAACTCAGGACAAGCAATATATTTCATAAACCCTCAGACCACGAAGCCTCGCTCGGTGCCTGCACTTCAGGCGGAACTTCAGCAGGCTGCACAGCAGCAGGGGGAGCTGGAAAATTCACAGTGTTCAGGTTCTCCCTCAACTCATCAGCCTGGGAAAAGCAGGAAGCAGAGCAGATGTCGAGCAGCTTAAATTAACATTAGACCGCGTACATGAAAACATAAGCCCGGCAGCTGTCGCAGGGATTGTCGGCGTCTCCTCGACGGCCTCAGAGCACAAAGTCTTCTAGCATCCTAAGTGTATGATGTACATAGTCACATGTATAAACACTTGCATACATACACATATACACACATGCACAAATACACATACGAACACACATAGACACTCGATCATCCATACATATCTACATGCAGACAGACACAACAACAGAAAGCCCAGCCAAGATGCTCATGCAAACATGCATACAGTATTTATAGTGTTTGCACACATACATCATGCACGGCTACATGTGTACATCCTTGCACTCATGCATGCGTGCATGAGTAGTAGACACATGTGAGCACACAGACATGCAGCACATAAATAGGTGCAAACGATACAATGTGTGTATATATATATATACATATGTATACATACATGTCCACATGCCTGCATGAACCCTACACATATGACTGTATGGGCAATTATAAGTACATGCATTCACACGTAAAAAGAACAAAGAAATAAGCAAACAAGCATAGATACATTTACATAATGCATATACCTGTGTATGTACATACATACACATAAATCTGTATGAACAAATACGGAAACAACTCGGTACACACATGTGTACAAAACAGTCACACATAAAACCGAAATATGCCATGTATAAATGTATATATGCATCTATGCATGCATGCGTATACGTATGTCGGTGTGTAGGCATGTAGGTATATAGATATGTAGCTATGCATGTCTGTGTGTATGTATGTATCTTAGTGTGTATGTCTATACTTGTGTGACACCACTCTTCACCTCTTAAAGTTAATCTCGAGCACAGGTCCAATGGCGGCGCCTGCTCGGGAACAGGGGCCAACGTCGAGGAGGCCAGCATCGGCATTAATGCGAGGCGTTCCATCTCCTAGGGAAGGGGTTTTCTATATGTAGATAAGTGGTTCTGTGGGAAAGTAGACAGAACAATCATGGGAACACTTTCCTTCTAGATGGGGAAGCTTAATTTTGTTTCTGGCAAGAGACCTCTATCTGCTTCTTCAGCATCTCCTCTTGGTGGGCTAAATCGGCATCGGAGTCTCCCATAACAGCCTCATACCCTGCTTGCAGTGATGCACAGCTCCACTGCTTGGACATGGCGGGGTCCCAACTACGAAGAGCCTCTGGGTCCCCTGAGCACAAAAAGCCTTTGTATAATGCCTCGTGAATATAGCAAGCCTGCAGCGACTGTGTCAAAGCACGTATGTTGGCTGGACCGAGCAAGCACAGCCACACCTCTAGGCAACTTTTGGGTTTCGCGGCCGCACGATTCTGGGTCTCCAGGCTTCGGGGGGCTACCGAAGGCGTCCCGACTTGTAAAAAGTCTTGCTAGACCCAATGAAACCTTGCTAAGTTCTATGATATAGCGCAAGCCCAGAACCCATCTTTTTTGTACGGGTAAAGATGGGTTTTAGTACGGGTAAAGATGGGTTTTAGGATGGGTTGGGGAAAACCGGGTTTTGGCTCAGAACCTGGTTTCTGGTAAGGCTTTATGGGTTTTAATACGGTTAAAGATGGGTTCCAGTATGGGTAGAACCTGGTTCTTCTATAAAACCCCAAGAATTGCGCTCCTAGTTCTGTATAAACCTACTTAAAATCGCTTAAAAGTAGTACAAAAGCAGCAAAGCGCAATTCGGACGATTGCTGCCCGCGAGCCACCAGGAAAGGTCCCGCAAACCCCTCGGCCCAGCCTTTGCCTCGTAGGTATATAGGAACCGAGCACGACCCCGCATGACCCTGGAAGCTTGCCTTTGTCCACCCCGACAGTCTCCTGGATCCCGAAAGCCACCGAGTGACCCAAGAAGAATCGACCCCAAGGCCCAGTGAGAGTATGATCCGAGAGCAATATCCCCATCCAAACAAAGGCCCCGCTCCGAATCACGTGTAGATACAGGTTTCATGGTTTCCATCGTCTCTCTATTCGTGTATGTAGAAAATATGTAGAGATAGATAGATAGATATCAATTATGCCTCTATATCTACCTATCCATCTATGTACCGAACTATCCAACCACCTAATATGTCTGTACACACATATCTATACATATATATATATATAACATGTGTATGTATATATGTATAGATGTAGATTTATATATCTAGATGTACATGTATACTTCTAAGTTTATGTATATAAATGTCGACTACTCATATCAATACATACACAAGCATACACACACATACAAATACACAGACAGAGAGAGTTATCTCAATATTGGTATATATATATATACACACACACCTAGAGCTATGAGACGGAACGGCCGAACCCACAGGTTTCTGAAACAAGGTATGACCAGGAAACCACCTAATCACTCGATCGATCCTCTGTTCAGAACATTGAACACCCGCGGGAAGCAATCTGTCTCCGGTATAGTTGCCCTTCTGACAAACATGTGGATGGCCACTGTACACAGAGGAACCTCGATCTCTCTCACTCACCACGTACCGGGAAATGACATCGCCATTCTAGTGGGATGTGCAGGTATTTGCAACCCCGTAGATAATCGTAGACATCTCCAAGCTGCGCAGTCTTGTACATGAGGCTGACATCCACGGGTGTGCTGGCGGAGGCGTACAGCTCGAGGCCTGATGGAACCGGGTTTGGCAGACTTGGGCAGCCTTTGCAAGTAGACTTCAAGTCTTGGAAGATGCCGGCCACAGCTTCTGCGAACTGTAGAGGATATATCCTTGGTTTGATGTCGGGGCTTGATCTTGTTTTGCTGGGGAGCAGAATACTTACTTAGCTTTCCCAGGGCATGTGTTATATACCTTCTGAATTAGTCCCAGTAGTACCCTCCTACACCTTGGAAAAGTTCAATTGAGATGCACCGAAGCAAGCCCCCCAAACCTGGAAACCAAGAACCCTAGCAGTAGCAGCAGAAACTTATAGGTATAGTTATAGCAAGGATCTCGGAGGCCTTCAAGTGCTTGGATGCAGTGTACCGTTCGGTTCCATCAGCCCCCATGGACCTGATTGTTGTGGCCACCTTTTTCTTGATTGCCTTCCGGGCTGTGGCCTTCAGGGCACCTTTGTCCAACCTCCGCACAGCTGCAGAGTTCGAGTAGGCATATTGCCTTTTTGCCGATCGGGCATTGTAATGCCCCATCCACCAGCCAACACGGCAAACCTCAGTGGGATCAGTTTTGGGTTGGGTTGGTGATCTTACTGTAACTGCATTTACCGAAGCAGTGCGTGCATGGTCCTAGGGTAGATCGATTTCATGCACGACTGAGGCCCCCTCCGTATCTACCCCAGATATCAGTACCATGGAGGACAAAGCGTGTCGGAAGGCCGGATAAAACTCAAGCACTGAACTCCCTGGCTGCTCCAAAACGAAGCAGCCCCCCAGAGCGACTGCCAGAAGCATGAGGCACGAGCACCTGGATAGGGTTTCGAGGCTCAGTGTTCGATTTATATAGTATTTACAAGCACGAGAGCTCAACCCCTTTGTGGCCTTTCGACCATCTGGTTGGAATCAAAGACGGAAGGCTGGTTGCTGTTGCCGAGAGAATCCGCGGCTGATCTCTTGGAGGTGCCCTTGTTTATGCTCGTCCAACTACCACATTTCGTAGCCAGCCAAATAACAAAGTCATTGGGCTTGCACTTCAAGATGGCAACGATGGCTAACCTTAGCTACTTGCTGCTCTCACGTTGGAGAACATGCGCACCTATTTCTGTTTGCGCATCTCCATCTCTGACTTTCTCAATCTCCCTCTCTCCCTCTGCCCTGCTCTCTTTCTCTCTCCTTCTCCCTGTCGTTATGGTCGGGCCCATAGCCAAAATTTATTTGGGGGCCTTCGGGAGCCGGGTATAGCTTATACATGACTTGGTTTAGCGATTTGTTTTGTTTTGGTTAGGGCGGTGCTTGTAAGTTGCTATTGGGTTCCTGGAGTTGATAACCGGGTGCCTTTGGGTCATGATGCCTCGAACGAGTTAGGTGTCTTGGGACAACAGTTGAGGTTGCTATGTGGCGGGCACTGATTCACTGGGCCGGGGCTCGCGGTTTACGTGCAATATATATAGGGTCTGGAGAGAAAGTGAGAGGGATTGAGGGACAGAGGAAGAGAGAGAGCGAGAGACAGAGAGAGAGAGAGAGAGAGAGAGAGAGAGAGAGAGAGAGAGAGAGAGAGAGAGAGAGAGAAACAGATAGATGGAGAGGGAGAGGGAGAGGGAGAGGGAGAGGGATTGGGAGAGGGAGAGGGAGAGGAAGAGAGGGAGAGAGTGAGAGAGAAAGAGAGAGTGAGCGACAGAGAGACAGAGAGAGAGAAGTATGTCATAGTTCCAGGAAGGCTTGATGTATCTTGCTGCCCAAAGACGCAAAACCTGCCGATGTGTTAATGTCGTAGTAGTTGGTTCCTCTGCTGCCTTGTTCGAAGTACTGCCTGTCAAGCTTTGCACCTCGATGCCCTCGTAGTCTCACCATCGAAGTGCATCTAGCAGAACCCGCGAAGAACTCCACCCACTCGAAGACCTTCAAAGATGAAACTGTTGCTTCAACACAGTACGACACTGCTGCCCCGACAGTTCTATAGAACCCCAGCAGAATCAAGAGGAACTCGATCGAGCCTGCGCCAGGTTGAAGAGCCCCTTCGTCCAAAGAACCATGAGAACCCGCGCAACAAACTCCTGAGATGCTCTTCCTCTACGGCTGCATGCTCACTCAGCCTGCGTGCATGCATCAATCTGTGTGCCAGGTACATGTGGCACAAGCTTCTTTCGGAGCTCTCAAGGCCAGAAGCTTGAATATGAGTTCATCAGCAGCTACCATGGTTCGGTAGAGCCCGAAAGACCTTCACAGCTATCTTATGTAGCACTGTGGGCCAGCAGCTGCATGTCATGGTCTGCGAGCTATGGACAACTGCACGAAGTCACATCCACACAATTCAGATCTGGCAGCAAACAGCACAGCTGAAAGCGAGTGTTGGCACATCAATCTGGGCAGGCTGGCTCCGCCTCTTCCAGATGCGCTTTCTCGCCCGGCGAGCGTGCGAGATCTTCAGCCGAGGCATGCGTGGACCTTGGCCGATGTCGCTCAGAACTCTAGCTACCTTTAAGTACCAAACTTCACAGGAGCCGACTGCCTGCACATGGTTTGCAATATGATCTGCATTCAGCAAGCACCTGCCTTTTCTCAACTGCGCAGCAACAGAGCAGAACGAAGGTTAGAGGAGGCTCCCAAGCTCCTATGCAAGGTTCGCTTTGCCGGCACATACACACAGAGGCAAGCTTTCATCTAAAAGCTGCATGGCTATCTGGGGTTCATATGATGCACACCTCGGCTTCACTGGCAGTCCTACGGCCCATCCGAAACAATGTTGGAATGAAGCCATATTTTGTGTAAACCGTTCCCATTGAGGTCTAGTATGCAGACTAGAATGACATATAGAATCCCAAAACCAGGAGTCCAGTGTGCACACCGTGAACCGGAACACTTGAAATGTGGATTTGTGCTTGTTGCAAACCCAAGCTGATGACACGATCGGGTCGGTTGCTATGACCTGATCAATCAACAGACAGCCCCAACAGAACTGCTTGTGCGCAGCTCTGCCAAAACTGCAATCAGAACAGGATTGCAGGCTTAGGCATCCAGACTCTCCAAGGTCTGTCGGCCTGATGCCTTCAAAGACTGGACCTTTTCGTTGATGGCACGGAGCTCGGGGTCGGTAATGCGGTGCTCTTCGATGAACCAGCCCTCAGAGCAGGTTCTTGGAACTTATAAAAGTGAAGGGGGGATGCAAAGGGTATATATAGGATCCGAAGCAACACCAAAGATTTTGTTAACTTTCTATCATGAAACTATAAACCTAGACTCTTACGTAGATAGTGACTATATCTAGTTGGTGTGAACAGTATTATGACGGGGCCCCATTACCATGCCTTTCTACCTTTGGGTGTGCGTACGATTATGTGTCAAGGCACAAGGCTGATGGCGCAGGCAATGGCCACCAAAAGACCAGCATCGCAGTTGCCGTAGGAAAAGTAACCGACGTTCCTCTTGGAATCAGGCTTCTTGCTCTCCCCGTAGTAAAGCGACAAACCACACCCATAGCGGCTCCAATAGATGTCCAGTGCAACATACTCGAAATGTGGCATGTGCTCCCGAACCTCTCGCTTAAGAGCATCCCTGTCCTCAAGATTGTCAAAGGACTGGAAATAGGAAACCATGTAATCCACATCCGCCTGGTCCGGCTCGCCATCGGGCAAAGCTTTGCGACCCCTGGTACCTTTGCCCGGCTTGGCCTTTGCGTCGGCTTTGGGGGTGGCTTTGGCTTTGCCCTTCGCTTTCGCTTTCGCTTTGGCCTTGGGGGCCGGCTCCGATGGATCGTCCTTGGAGGCCTTTGCTTTGGCCTTTGCTTTACCTTTGGGCTTTGGCTTGGTGCAGCCGGTTTCACATGACTCCTTCTTCGAGGCTTTGGATTTGCTCTTTGGGAGGGCTTTTGCTTTGGCCTTTGCTTTCGCCTTCGGGGCCTTGCTTGCCGGGGTTTTTGCTCTGACCCGGGCGGTTGGCGCAGCACTTGCTGCATCATCCTCATCACACTCCTCCTCTTCCAGGGCCGCCCCCTCGAGAGGTGGCTCAGGTGCATCATCACCACGGTCATCCTTGCATCTCTTCATGGACTTAAGCCTCTTGAGCCCACGGGCCCGTTTCGACTTCAAGGATTTCTTTCGCTTGAGCTTCCGGGGCTTCGGATCAGGGTGCTCCACAGTGTCACCTGCCATGCCCTCAAGATCAGCCTCGCCCTGCTCCGCATGAACAGGTTCTGTGGGATCGGACTCACAAAGGCCCTGCAAAACCTGGTCCGGAATCTCTGCCTCCTGCTTATCCTTTGCCTTGAGCGATGTTCTCAGGCCCAGCTGGTCTCGCCGTCCGAAGACCTAGCAAGGCGGGGGAGGGTAGCTTCGTGGGATGCTTTGGGATCTTTATAATTGAAGCTGGCATAGGAGGGTTCGTAGCTACAGCTAGGTTTGTAGCCACAAACCGACACCAATTTAATAACTTACACTCAAGCCATTCCGTCCTTATTTCCGTTTATGCATGCAATAGATCAAAGCAAAGTCCGCTCGGCCTGCACCGGCGGTGGCAACGGCTGGGAAGCAGGTGGGGCAGTGACAGCTTCTGCTGGCGGGCACGATGCGAGGGCTTGGGGCGGAATCTCGCCGGGATGCTGGAACTTGAAGCGCTTCAGTTCAACATCATCCGTGCTTGGCATACTGGTGGGAGTCCTAGATTGCTTCACGAACTCCGGAGTAGATAGTGTGATGTCGTAGGGTTGGGCGTCAACCTCATCAACCGTGGCCCGTGTAGGCGTGACCGTCATCTCATCAGTCTCATCAGTTGGCACTTGTCCTGCATAGGTGCAAGAGAAGCCAGAAGCTATGCAGTTGTTAGCAGTGATCACCGAACTCATGCCGTGAAGTGTTTGATCAGAAAACTCGGGTTGCCTACGATCTCGATCATGTTCGGGCCTGCTTGCGCCGGCAAAGGAGCCGGAGCTGACGATGCAGCTGATGACAAGGACAACGGGGAGTCGGGGTCGAACTTCCTCCTCTTGAGCTGAATCCTCACTGCACAAGACATGCTAAGTCAATGCGACGAGAATTAAAGTCTTTCTGAAAATTCTGACACAACGACGGCTTGAATGTGTAATGCCCACAAGCAACTCGTAGAGCTGTCGCTTCATCATCTCCAGCTGAAGCTTTCGAGGATCAGTAGGACCTGTATGTAGTTCTGTATGAATGGCAAACCAACAACAAAACACGTTACATATAACAAACGCATATGTGCACTTATAAACCCTTGCTCCGGCCTGTGTGGAACACTGCTGGCTTCGCATTGCCCGGAGACGGCATGGATGCTGCTGGGGAACTCACGTGTGGTGGGGTTGCAGCAACGGGTGATGGCTCATCCCACTCGGGCTGGCTGTCTGTCGAAATCGCACGTGGACCCGGAAGACTTGGCGTGCAGGGCACGGGAGTGGTTGTCTGGGAGTCTACGACCCTGGGCAAATAGAGCTGACCAGGATTGATTGTCGGGGCTACCACAGCGCTCGGCATCGAGGGCTGACCAGGATGGGTTGGGGAAGCTACCGCCACAGCATTCGGCATCGAAGCAGCTACCACCACAGCATGTGGCATCAAGGGCTGACCAGGATTGGTTGTCGGGGCGGCGACCACAGCACTTGGCATCGAGGGATTGCTTGTCGGGGAAGCTACCACCACAGCATTCGGCATCGAGGGCTGACCGGGATTGGTTGTCGGGGCAGCTACCACCACAGCACTTGGCATCGAGAGCTGACCAGGATTGGTTGTAGGGGCTACCACAGCAGTCGGCATCGAGGGATTGCTCGTTGGGGCAGCTACCAGCACAGGATTCGGCATCGAAGGCTGACCGGGATTGGTTGTCGGGGCTTCCACGGCACTCGGCATCGAGGGATTGCTTGTCGGGGCATCTACCACAGCATTCGGGACCGAGGGCTCATCAACAGTGCTGTCGGGACCCAGCTCGGATGCCTCAGAAGGTGGCTCCGTGGCTCCACTGGCCACTGGAGTGGAAGCCTGGCCCACAGTAGTTTTGCTCGCTGTACTATATAGAAAGCAACCCGCACTCAGCTAGCCATGCACTTAGTCTCCGGAGTGTACATCAAAACGGGCTTGCATGAGGCCCTCGATCCAGCCTCGGCAGCACGATCTCGAATTCCTTGGACGTAGTCCTGCCAAAATCGCAATTCACTATAACACGTGCAGGGATGCATGACCCCAACAAAGTCAAATCGAGAAACTTGGAGACTCTATGTGTACATAGTGCATTGCCTCTATATATATAGTCAAGATTCCAGATTAAGGTTTTTGATATGCACACCCTTAATTCTATTTATGTGCAAGAAAGGCCCCATTCAGTCTTGAGCAAAACGATGCACTGGTGATCTATCTGTCCTCCAGCTCCGGGTTCAGGATCAGACACATGTCTTGGAAGTCGGGATCCTCGTGCATGCAGCTGCTCATGATCGTGCAGTAATGCATGCATGTGTTGTACACGTAGGTGCATATCGAACAAAAGAATCATGCTGAAACCACGAAATCCAGTACCGAAGCCAAGAGTCCAAGCTAACAAGTTTCTTTTGTGTCTTCCTTTTCACGAACCCAGCCAAATGCCGGATAGCCCAAGCTTCATCATCGATTTGTGTATCCGGAACTTCCCTTGAAGCCATCATGTAAAGCGCTTTCACACACCCACGAAGCGGATCGATATCTGGCAACTTCAAGGCACATGCTGTCATCTTCACCAGAACTGGTGTCATAATATCACAGTTAGCGATCGCAAGCTTGTTAGAGGCATCCAAGTTCTGATCAGCAACTGGAACGACAACGCTGCTGCCACTGCGAATCCTTTCCCGAACACATTGCTCAGCCTCCCAGGCCGCAGCCAACCCTTCCGCACTGAACCTATCCGGCTCCGCCATTGTGGCACCTCTACACGAAGCCTAAAGCACCACTCTAGAAAAGGCTGCAATCATGGAGCATGGCACGTTTAGTCAATCTGACGCAGGACCACAATCAGCGGGCTCGGCTGGGTTTCCGGCATCCTCCGACGATGGGGCTCTCGAAAAAGAGCTCTGCAAGCCAAGATGTGCTGAAGATTGGGGCTCGATTGCCTGTAAGATCATCTTACTGGCTACTTCGAAACCATACATATTGATTCATTTAATCTTAAAATTAGGGTTCTATTGGAAAACCAGGTTTTACTAGGAAGAACGCGGTTCTCACAACATGATGCCTGAAACCCAGGCTTCTGCATCACACCCCAACTTTTATTAGGTTCTGGCTGCTGAAGGTAAGGTTTAGGGTTCAGGGTTGAGTTGGCTGTTCGGAGAGGTCCGAGTCGCTTTGGACAAGGGATTTGCTTGAAGCCCTGAGAGTTCTTGCATGTGATACATTAGAAGCTGCCCCCACCCTGTAATAGTGGTATAATAGGAATATATTAAGGCCCTAATATAATCCTATATAATCCGTATAGTCACTATTAAAGGGTGGGGGCAGCTTCTAAGTGATACAGATTTATGTAGGGTTTAGGGTTTAGGGTGAAGTACTAGGGGACAGGGTCTATGCTCTCAGCTTTCACTGTGTGCTTACTTGAAGCAAGAGTTCTGAACTGCATTGTTACGACTTTTTTGGGGGGAACAACCTGAAATCCAAAGTCCCTGAAGGCAAATCAACATGCAGACCCATGCATTCTAACCTTCATTGAGAGCGCTTGACTCCTTTGGTCCTTTGGGTTCTGGTAACCCTTTTTTCCCTGGACCGTGTGCTGCTTCGCTTAATGTCTCCACTCGATTCTACTTCTTGCTTTCGTCTGCCAGTCAAACGGCTAGGATCCTACAGTGGATAAACCAGCTAAGTGAACTGGAACTGCAAGGGAGACACCGCATATGCCTAATCTCCTTTGACAAAAGCGCCAATATATCCCCAAAGTCCCAATCCTTACACTGCAGTCGAACCCAAACCCTAAACCCCTGAACCCCTCACAACCACCAAAATGATCGAACCCAAACCCTAAACCTCTGAACCCCTCAGAACCCCCAAAATGATCGAACCCAAACCCTAACTAAACCCTGAACCCCTCAGACCCTCAAAATGAACTTCACATCGAAACGACCAAGAAAACCCTTCAAAGCCAACCCCAAGCTCTCACAATCCGACACCAGAAGCCTTAGACCCTCCTTTATAGCACCCCTTATACGGACCTTTATCAGATGCCCTATGAAACCTTAGAAAACACATTAAAACTTCAAGAGAACCCAGTAAAACCTCACAAAGCCGACTGATTGCCCCCAACGTCCCCAAACAGTAAGCCTAAACGCCAGACCCTGACCCTAAACCCTAAAACTCTAAACCCTAAACACCCTAAACAGTAAATTTCAACGCCAGACCCTGAACCCTAAGCCCTCAACCCTAAGCCCGAAAACTCTAAACCCTAAACCCCTAGTTAAACCCCTAAACCCTAAACCCCGAACCTACCTCAAACCTAAACCCCTAAACCCTGAACAACCCTAAAACTCTAAACCCTAAACACCCTAAACCCTAAACTCGGATTATGGGCAGGTTCGGCGTACGCGCTGAACGGGATCTGCGGCAGCCGGGCCCTCGTGTCGCAGGGCGGCGTCCGAGAGGGTGGAGGGGTGTAGGGTTAGGGGTTTAGGGTTTAGGGCTTCGGGTAAATATGGGGTTTGGGATTTCGGGTTTAGCCTAAACCGTTTAGGGTTTCGGGTATGGGGTTTGGGGTTTAGGGTTTCGGGTATGGGGTTTAGGGTTTGAGGTTTGGGGTTCAGGGTTTAGGGTTTAGCTTTGAGGTAGGCTTCGGGGTGTAGGGTTTAGGGTTCTTGGGGCCGATTACTGCAAAGACGATGGGTTTAGAGGGTCCCAGGTGTGGGTTTCCAGGGTTTTGGTTTCGGTGTCTGTTTAGGGTTGAGGCTTTAGGGTTTAGGCGTCACCGGTTCCTGGCCCTATTGCCCGAAGAAGTTTTGAGGGGGGGTACTTAGAAATTGTTTTTGGTTGATTTTTGTTACCAAACTCCCTAAGGCACTGCTGAAATTAATTTTGCTAGGGGTCTAAGTTCGGTATAGAGGTGGAAAGGCCTTTACATTCCATCCTTTAAGAACCCACAGGATGTCAGTGCTGTTTCCACAACAGCCCAGTAGGGAGGCACTGCAATCACCAGTACCCCTTGCATGTTCTAGCAAACCCGACATAGCAGACCCCTACATCCAAGAACCCCTAAGCCCAAAATCCTGACCCCCGGAGCCGTGAAGCCTTCAGCTCCAATAACATGTGCTTCCCCAGTAAGCCCTCAGCTCCGGGAAGCCATGGATGCATAATAAGTAACCTCAGGACGGGGAAGGCGGTGGGGGGGGAGGTGGGGGTTGATCCTTCCCAAAACGCCCCAAGCCCTAAACACAGGTCACCTAACCCTAAACCCCCCAACACCCAGCCCCCTACACCCCCCAGAACCCTACCTACCGTCTCCATTGTAGTTCCGTTTTCTGGTTGACCGAAACCTCTTTCATAAGATCCTAACCATAAAGCTGCTTAGCCAAAAAAAGGAACTGCAATGGAGACTGTAGGTAAACCCTGAACTTACTGTCCCCATGAGTCAGGCCTGAGCAAGAAGCAGTTGGTCATGAACGTCTTCGAGTCTGCTGGGTGCTGAGTTCAATGGTTTAAGCTATCGGATCCCTGTTCTCGCTGGCTTAAGGTTTTAGATGGTTTAGGCTTTAGAGGTTTAGGGGCTTAGGGTTGAGAGTTTATGGTTTAGGGTTTGTTTAGGGATTTAGGGCTTAGGGTTGAAGTTTACCAGTTTCGAAGTTGGGATGTAGGGTTTCGGATTAATGCTTTAGGGGATTGGCGTTTACGTCTAAGGGCTGAGCCACTTCCCGCAAGTACCCTAAACTTAGCCTTGGGTAAGATGATCATGGGCAACTGAAGGCGAATGCCTGCAACCGTAATCCATCTGTGGCTGCTTTGTAAGTGATTACATGATGCGTCCTAGGGTCCCCAAACCCTAAACCCCAAACTTTTCTATGGAGCCCTACTTGTGGAAGCACCCTTCTGGAACCCTTGTGACTAAAACCCTTATAGACGCCCTTGTAGAAACATTCAAGAAACACTTATCGAAACACCTATCGAAACCCTCATAACACCCTTATAGAGTGGTAGATCTCTTAACGAAACCCGGTAGAACCCTACAGAACCTTTCATGGAACCCTAAAAGAAACCCTGATGGAGCCCTTGTATAAACTCTTGCAGAACCCCTTGCAGCACCCTTAAAACTATAAACAGAAACCCTTATAGCACCTATAAACCCCAAACTCTAACCTAAACCCTTATAGCACACTTACTCTGGCCGTGAAACAGCCGGGAGCCCCTTCGGGAAAGGTGTCGAAGTGGAAGGACGACCCGCGACTGATCAACGTGCCGTCCGTGTCTCGGAGGGTTCACGGTAAGTCAGGGGCCAAAAAAGCACATAAGCAGAAGCATTTTATAGGGATATCCCTACCTTAATGGGCTTCAGCATAAGGGGGTTTATAAGGGACATCCCTATCCTAATTTTTGCTTATGTGCTTTTCTGGGGTCCTAGTAAGGGGCCTTAATCAGAATGGGGCTCCTTTAAAGGGGATCCTTAGAGGCGTCTATGAGGGATCTATAGTAACGGCCTATGGTATAGGGGCCTGCAGAATTACCAATACTATTGTGGGGAGTTCCTTATTATGATTATAGTGTAGTCTACCCCAAAACCCGATTAGAAGAGGGTTCCTTTAAAGGGTATCATGGGGGTTCCTTTAAGGGTTACTGTAAGGCTTTAGAATATAGGGGCCTTAGTAATTGGAATAGGGTTTTGGTGCCCATTATACTATAATTCTAACAAGGAACTCCCCAAATTGGTATAGGTAATTGTTTAGACCTCTCTAGTAGGGTTTTGGGTTTTGGGGGGTCAAAGCCTTCTTCATCAACTTCGAGTGTTTCCATCAACCAATATTCTTTCAACTGCGCTTCCCTCTACTCGGTTATCCGATTCTTTCTAACCAGAACGTCGTGGTTCAGTCAACTCCCTGTCTCCGCTTCAGTCAACCATGCATTGGTGTCAGCGCATGGTGTCGTGTCCTCAGGTCTTCCAGGAAAGCAGTCCATAACCATGCTCCCTGCGGCCCTGTATGGGACGATAAAAAACTCCATCGCAAGGCAACTGCATGTCGTGCTCTCACTGCTGTTGGTGCGGTCTTTGCTCAACGAAGAAGCCCCTGTTCCAGCAAGTCTTGCACAACAGCAGTGTGATATCCGATTTGGTGGAGAAACCCCTTCTTCCGCTGGTTGGATGGCGATAAAGGTCGTCAGGTCTGTGGGGGATCGCTTCGAAGCTTGGCCCACATCTGGGATCGGCTTTAAATCCGTGCTTCGACAGCCGTCTGCGCTCCTGGACTTCGGGGATTTGGTGCTTAGAGGTTCGACCCTGCAACTCGGAAATCACAAATAATATAGGGGCTCTTATAATCAGCAATACTTTTGTTTTGGGTTCCTTCTTAAAAGTACAGTTTAATGGGCTTCAGAACCCTATTCTAGTTATATATTGAGGCCAGTGCATTACTCTTCTTCTGCGGAAGCTCGGCCGTCCCGCCAGTTCCAGCCCCTCCTTGGACCCTCAGGTACCTACCTTGTTTAGTTCCTTATTATGTTTTCGTGGTATAAGTCCTCAAAAGGGTGGGCCTGATAGGGTCCAGGTCAAGTTTCAGATGGGAAAGTTTAGGGTAAGAAGGAGGGATGACACGGGCATTGCTGAGGGCTTACCACAGCCATACCCCAGCCCAAACCCTTGAATCGTGAAGCAGCCTCCTCAAGCTTTAAGTTTAGGGTTTAGGGTTTAGGGTTTAGGGTTTAGTCAAGCCCTTAATGGCCCTAAGCTCTCAATGCTGACCGCAGGGGTCCTAAACCCTGAACCCCAGAGTCTCAGACCCTAATTAAAGCCAAGCCCTGAACCTTAAGCACTGAAGTTGAAGAACCCTGGCCTTAAAACCTAAACCCCAAACCCTAAACCCTAAACCCCAAACCCTAAACCCTAAACCCCAAACCCTAAACCCTAAGCACTAAATTTGAATAACCCTGGCCCCAGCCCCTGAAACCCTACGGACTCGGGTTGAAACCTGGTGCCCTGGGCCGCCTTGAGAGTTCCGTACCCCCTTGACAAGTGCTCGGGGTTACTAGGGTTTAGGGTTTAGGGTTACTAGTTACTAGGGTCTAGGGTTCCTAGGGTTTAGGGTTTAGGGTTACTAGTTACTAGGGTCTAGGGTTACTAGGGTTAAAGGGTTTAGGGTTTAGGAGGGGCCATAATATTTAGGACAGGAGCTTCTTTGAAGGCTTCTTTTTCTATACGGGATACAATATGTGAGGGTGACTGCAAGGGTCACTACAAGGGCTGACTACTTCAAACAGTGTCTTGGGGCTCATTATATTTTAATGAGATCAGGGAAACCTAAACCCCAAACCCTAAACCTAGACCCTAAACCCAAAACCCTAGCCAAGGAAGACTGTTATTGGTAACCATTCTGGCTCCTACATTGTCACCCCCGCTTCTGAATCCTCATCTCCAAGGGTAAAAGGAGGGACCCTTAATAAGCAACCCTAGGTATATACCCTTAATATAGCTATTATATACCCATTATATAGTAGGGGTCCCCAATAAGGGTCCCTCCTTTTCCCCTTTGCTCATCGGCCCAGTCCCAAAGCTTGCAAGGAAGGCATCCGTCTTTGAGGCACTCAAGGGTTCCAGGCTTGACCTCAGCTATCTAAGATGCCCAGTAGTACCCCTATTCCCTTTTTGTGGTCCTAGGTTCCTTATAAAGTTACCCAATACCAAAAAGAGAGGCCTTTTTATTCTTAGGTTACTGGGTATCCTAGCTATTGTCTTTCCTTATTAAACATTTACTAGAGAAGTATAGAGAAGTTATAGAAAGGGACCAAAACCATTTTGGATTTTTATTAGGTTTCCTCGGGATGGTCTTTGGAGCGTCAGTGTCTATGTTGTTTTGGTGGATGTTGAGGGTTGGAGGTTACGGCTGGGAGCAGAGTACCCTTGAATAAGGATATGGAAAAGCCAACACATTGACCACCGTAGACCCTGAGCCCTCAGCTTCAAACACCGTTAAACCCTTAAGGTAAAAGCCAGAAAGTTGGAATATGATTATCCTAACCCTAGTATGGTAAATTATAGGGTCTCCTACCATGAAACCATATTCCAACTTTCTGGAGTTCCCTATAAACCCTAAAAGCCTGAGCTGCCGAAGACAGGTCCGTGGGATGCATCATGGGAGTTGTCAATTGCGATATCTACTTTTGCCGCTCGGCCAGGTTAGGAGTTTGGGGTTGAGGATTTAGGGCACTTTTGTAGCCGGCAGACCTTGCGCCACAAAACTCTCTGAACCTATATAGACTCTGGACGTTGCCTGCATCCGCCAGCCCTACACTAGTAATAGGCTATGCCCCTACCATTCCAATAGGGTACAACCGATTAAGCAAAGGAGCCATGCTGTTTTCAGCGCAGTTCCTTTGCAGTCTCTTCGTCCTGGGATTGCCCGCTCATCAATGATACCCCCTAAGTAGCTCGTACCTTGAGCTGCCAAAACCTAATTTGGTATGGTCCTATAAATGCTTTTTGAGGGTTCCTTCTAATTCAGAACCAACGTAGCCTGCAATGCTACTACTGTATCCTAAGCCCAAATACCCAATCATTAGGTGCTTTGGACTCTTACTGTTCAGGCTCTGGAAATGTGATTCCTCAAAACCCTGCAATTAACACTTAAACCCTAAGCTCCAAACTATATAGCCTCTGACCCCAAACTGCTAAGCTCACGGCCCTGACCCCCCAACCCTACCCCAAGCCCAGCTGCCCCAAAAGGGTTTCGACCGTTAGCGTAGAGGTCTGAATTATCAGTAATTCTGCCCCCTCCTAGTCCGTAAACGTTTTCAAATCTACACCAAACCACGGTTCTGACTATTCATGCGTGTAAGTATATTCTCTAGAACGATATATATATATATATATATATATATATATAGAAATAGATACATATATATATATATATATCTCGGCCGACGGTTGGGGGGCGTGAGGCCTGCCAGATACCTGTGCTTTGCCGAGCAACCAGACAGGACAAACAGCTGTTTACGGCGTTTAGTCTACCGCCTTGCTTTTAGATAGATTGCTGATATTGTCGGGCGTTTCGTGCTTAAGTGCTGTCTTGCGCTTCTGCCGTGTTTACCATGGAGCTCAACAGCAGCAGCAATACTTGTCACTACAAGCGTCACCTGATACAGAAATCCAGCCCTAAAACCCCAAACCCTAAACCCTATACCCTAAACCCTAAAACCCTATACTCTAAACCCTAAACCCTAAACCCTATGACCCTATGACCCTGGACCCTAAACCCTAAAACCCTATACTCTAAACCCTAAACCCTATGACCCTAGACCCTAAACCCTATAGACAGTGAACCGGCTCGCTCACTCAGGCCAGCATTGTGAGAGAGTCGGCTGTGCTGCGCACAACAAGTCTTCGATCTTGTGACCTTTAGTCCTCCCTGAGAATAGCCACAGGTTGATGTAGGAAATTTTCCCAATAAGTGAACTGCAGAAACGCAATATCTACAATCGCACTGTGACTCCAGCGGTTTTTGTTGGTGTTCTTGTCTTCACCGGATCGGGAGGGAGAGTGGAGCCTCTCAGTTGCAGAAGACACGGCGTCAAGATCGCTTGGCTGATGAATGAATCAACCAGGATTTTGCGCCAGACGGGGCAAGCGAAACCCGGTCCCCCAAGAGCCCCAGTGCACTTGCCCATATCCTAAACCCACATGGCCCCCAAAGTCGCGTTCCATACAGATTAGTGACGCCGGGTGGCAACGGGTTCTGTGCCCAGCCGAGCGGAAAAATTGGTGCAGCCGTTCCGACGGCTGTTCGTTGTTAGGTGGTGTACCGAGTTTGCACCAACAACTCCAGCAGCATGTTCCGCAGAAGCCGTGTGCAGTGCTCTCCAGCAACTCACCGTCTGTTGTATCTACACAGTTCCATATCAAATCCATTCGCTATGATGCTTGTCGTGGGCTTCCTTCTCATTGCGCTGGCAGCCGGGTTTCGATCGAAGAGCGACCCGGCCTCGCCGTGGGACGAGCATCCGGCGAGCTCCGCCGAGGCGCTGCAGGAGCTCCTGGGAACTGCGCTGGCAGAGGCCAACACAGCTGAAGCCACCGGAGACGAGCCACGCGATGCAGAAGCACAGGAGGGGACGCTTAAAGAGCAGGTTGCCATCATCATGAAGGATTGGCAGAGCGCCAGCGCAGGCGCTTGCCATCAGCAACTGGGGCTCTTGATGAACAACCTCATGTTTCTGGGTAGGCCTTTGGGACATTTTATATTTTCCCTTATTGGGCTTAATAGGACCCTATTTAGGAATATTTGTCAATGTTTTTGAAGGGCCAACCTAGGTTTGCATGCGAATCCTCGCATCCGGAAGCCGACTGGATTCTCGACTACTACAACCCCGCCCTTCCGGACAAGACCTGTGCCGAGAGCGTCAGCGACATCTTCGCTTCAGGAAACGAACTGGTGGAAACCCTCCGCGTCTCCAGAGAGGCCGTAGCTAGGATGCCCAGTAGTACCCTTATTCCTTTTTTGTAGTCCTAGGTTCCTTATAAAGTTACCCTATACCAAAAAGAGAGGCCTTTTTATTCTTAGGTTACTGGGTATCCTAGGTAGCCTCCTACGATGTGGACAGCAAGACGCTCCGTCGATATCAGGCTCTCTCCTTTCTGAGGAGCTGGCTGGTGAAGTTGACCGAGACTCGTGATCATGCGCTACTTTGGGCCGGCTTCTGGGACGGGGACCCCGAGAACCGCACGACGCAGACAGCGCTCTCCAATTTTGCCAGGGAAATAGAGCACGCGACGGTGCACCCTACCACCTTCTTGGGACGAGCCATTGAAGCTAGCCAGGACCTCGGCGCCTGCTACGAAGATGCCCAGACCAGCGCACTGGCAGCAAACATGTGGTCAATCGCAAGCATGAGCTTCGTGCTCGGGATGCGTGACCGGGCACAAGGAACGGTCATCGCTTTGGTCAACAAGCAGATCACGGGTGAGCGTAACTTGTCGCAGTCCGTGCTGTCCACGCATGAAATCCCAACGGTGGGGATCGCAGCCTGGGGGCTCGGGTTCTGGTCTCCAAAAGTGATGGTTGTGGACCTCATGGGCACATGCGACAAGACGAGCCCAGCGCTGCAGAAGCGGCTTCTCGCCCGCCTGCCCTCTTGGGCCAAGTCAATGACGAACTGGAGCCCGGAAGCCTTCGCGACGAGGTCGCGGCTCCAGTGGCAGTGCATCGACTGCTCGGGGGCTTGCAGCCTGGACGAAGCCTTGGCAAAGCACGTGGAGAAGCTGGTCAAGGCCTTTTCTTGAGAGATCCTGCTCAAATTCTGATCTCTGTCCTTCGTGCTGGTCTTGTATGTTAACTCACCCATGTCCCCAGCGCCCATGTACCCAAAATGTATATACTTTGGCGATATAGGGAGTACTTTAAGCATTACGTCCAACTTGGGTACAGGTAGGGGTCCCGTTTCCCGGAGGCCAAGGAGGAGCAAGACCGGAAGGACCAAGAGCTCCGCGAGGCCCCGACAATAGGGCTATTATAAGGATATGGTTTAGGGTTTAGGGTTTAGGGTTTAGGGTATACTATAGGGAACCAAATACCACTATTCTGGGGTTCCTAATTCTGATCATGGTATAATGGGCCCCTGAACCCTACTCTAATTATGAATGGCGGTATATTAACCTCAAGAGCGCGGCCCGCCATGGGGCCTGGGTTTTTGGGTATTGTGCTTCTTTGGAGTCATATACTAGAAGCCTCTTCGATGTGCGGACTCCGTCCATCCATCCACCCACCCATCCATCCATCCATGCATGCATCCATACATCCATACCCTCTATTCCTTCATACATCCACGCATCCATACATACATCTATACATCCGTACACCCATACATACATACATACATATACATACATACATACACACGCACATGCAGATAAACACACGTTCTAGTACTCACAAAGGTGCAAGACTTTGTGACTATGCACTTGTGTTTTTACGCACCAGCAGGTGCATTCCCACGTTTACACATACACGCGTACATAAACACACTAGCCAATACGCGTACTGTTTATGCATGTATCTGCGTTGCCACGGGCCCACGAGGTAGCCCACCCCCCTAACTGCTTCAAGAAGCTGGACAGCGAGATTGCCTCGAGAGCAGGGTAGTGTAAAACATTCTTGCCGACTCGGCTCAGACAGTTTGCTTTGCAGTTTGCAAACATCCATCCCCGCGGCACCCTAAACCCTAAACCCTCAAGAAAATGATAAATAGAAATTGCTTGTCCTTGTTTGTAACCACCGCTAAGGCCCAGCATTTCGGTTAAAACTGGCGTTAGCTTCTTGATAACCCAATTTCGCACAACCACAACCTCAACCATTAACTCAGCCCAGCCAACTCAAAACAGCCACCCGATCAAAAACTGAACAAGCTTCTTGATAAACCAATTTCGCACAACCACGACCTCAACTTCTAACTCAGCCCAGCCAGCCAAGCCAAACCGGTCCAGCCCAGCCCAACCCAGCCGGCCCAACACACCGATTAAAAATTGAGTAAGCTTCTTGATCAACCAATTTCTCCACAAACTTGTAACCACCATTACGACCCAACACGCCGCTTAAAATTGAACAAGCTTCTTGATAAACCAATTTCTCCATAACCTCCAACCCAGGCCCACCTTCCCAGACCCCAAATCCAAACTCCAAGGCCCAGACGCCAAATCCAAGCCCCAAAAAAGGCCCAAAACCAGCCCCAAATCCAGGCCCCAAACCCCAAATCCAAATCCCAGACCCAAATCCAGGCCCAGCCCCCAAATCACCTTCCCAGACCCAGATCCAAGTCCCAAGGCCCAAAATCCCCCAAATCCAGGTCCCACCCCGAATCCAGAATCCAGGCCCAATCCCAAATCCAGGCACCTCCAAGCCCAGGCCCCAGACCCCAGGCCCCCAATCCAAGCTTCAAAGTCCAGCCCAAATCCAGGCCCCAAGGCCCCAAATCCAGGCTCCAGACCCCAATCCAGGCCCAGCCCCAAATCCAGGCCCCAGACCCCAAATCCAGGCTGCAAACCCCAAATCCAGCCAGCCCCCAAATCCACAAATCCAGGCCCCAGGCTCCAACCCAGGCCCCAGACCCCAAATCCAGGCCCAGTCCCAAATCCAGGCCCCAGGCCCAAATCCAGGCTCCAAACCCCAAATCCAGGCCCAGTCCCAAATGGCCAGGCCCCAATCCAAGCCTCAGGCCCCAAATCCAGGCTCCAGACCCCAAATCCAGATCCAGTCGCTCCAGACCCCAAATCCAGGCCCAGTCCCAAATCCAGGTTTGAGGCACCACATCCAGGCTCCAGACCCCAGCTCCAGCCCACCCGCGCAGCAAATTTCAAAACATGGTTCGCAAAAAAAAACTTTCGGTCAAAAAGTTTTTGGGACCCAAACCCTTAACAATTTCTATAAACCCTAGAACCCCAAACCCTAAACCGGGGCTGCTTGGGGTGTCCGACAGGTCGACCTGATCCCGAGCTCAATCTGCTTATCAGACGCAGCCCCTCCTTCCATCCAAAAGTAAAAGGAGGGACCCTTAATATAGCTATTATATACCCATTATATAGCCCATTATAGGGTAGGGGTCCCCATTAAGGGTCCCTCCTTTTCCCCGTTGAAAAAAATATCAGCAGTAACGGAAACCAAGAAGCTCTGACTGACATCAAAAACAAATACAGTAGAAGCTGCCCCCACCCTGTAATAGTGACTATACGGATTATATTAGGGCCCTATTATATTCCTATTATACCACTATTGCAGGGTGGGGGCCCCTTCTAACAAATACATCAATCACGGGAAATCAAAAAGCCACAGAAACCAACACCACCCAAAGCAAGCATTTCCGAAACAGGCGGAATGATTCAGACCATTACAAAACATGCTTTTGTTCCTGTAGTTTTGCTTGTTTGTTTTCGTTGTCTGTGTGTTTGTTTGCTTGCTTGCTTGTTTGTTGGTTTTGCGGTTTTCGTCTATTAGGGTTATAAGAGGACACCAAAGAGCCTATCAGGAAGCACACAAGCCAACCAATGTGAGAACACTAGTGCATCGAACTGTAAAGTGAGTTTGCGAAAACCTGGAAACCTTCACCCCAAACCCGTTAAACCCCTAAACCCTTCTGAACCCTACAACCCGAAACCCCTAAACCCTAAACCCCTTAACCCCTACACCCTAAACCCCTAAGCCCTGAACCCTTCTGAACCCTCGGCCGTTGCTCCCTGCCAGGTCGTGAGCCCTCGTTTCACGGCCGCGAGCAGTGCAGAGCTTAGCAGGAAGGAGGTGATCTTGGCTTACCCTAAACCCTAAATCCCGAATGCTTAATCCCTAAACCCTAAACCCTATAATTCCTAAACCCTAATCCCTGAACCCTAAACCCTGAACCCGGAGGTGAACTTGGCTTACAAGCTGATGATGTCTGTGAAGACCTTTCGTCAAAAACTCGCACTTTCGAAGCGCGCGCGTGCGCTGGAAATTCAGCTCAAGAAGGCGGCCAGGGAGGTGAGGGTTTGGAGAGAGATCGACCACCCATTCATTGAACGGCGTGTGGCTGGGCTTTGGAGTACTGAACTTTAATGACTTTTTGGGGACCTGTCACTTAATGGGAGCCATTTGTGACATGACAGTCTATACTTTTTCTCCCCGGCTACTTCAAAGCCGAGGTGGAGTACCTCCTCCAAGAGGATGCTGATCCGAACCTTCCGGACCGGCTCGGCCGCACAGCCCTCCTCTATGCCGCATACGATGGGGACGTGAAGATGGTCGAGACATTGCTGAACGCCGGAGCCCACGCGGAGGCCCACGATGAGGAAGGCAACGTCGCCCTCATCTATGCCGCAGGACTCGGCCACCTGCAGGTAGTGAAGGCCTTCGTGAAGGCTGGAGCTCAGCTGGAGGCTCACGGACGGAGTGGCGACACAGCCCTCAAAACCGCTGCGTTCAAGGGCCGCTTGCAAGTGGTCGAGGCATTGCTGAAAGCCGGAGCCCAGCTGACTGCCCGCGGTGTTGGTGGTGACACAGCCTTCATGGTCGCTGCAAGAGAAGGCCACTTGAAGGTGGTTGAGGTCTTGGTCAAGGCTGGAGCCCAGCTAGAGGACCGCAATGACGATGGTGACACAGCCCTCATGTTCGCTGCATTCCATGGCCACTTGAAGGTGGTCGAGGCGTTGGTGAAGGCCGGAGCGCAGCCGGAGGCTCGCAATGAGAAAGGCGACACAGGCCTCGTGCTCGCTGCAAAAGAAGGCCACTACGAAGTGGTTGAGGCCTTGGTGAAAGTCGGAGCGCAGCTGGAGGCCCGCAGTGAGTTTGGCTGCACAGCATTAATATGGGCTGCACAAAAGGGTCACTACAAGGTGGTCCAGGCCTTGGTGAAGGCAAAAGCCCAGCTGGAGGCCCGCAATGAGAATGGCGAAACAGCCCTCATGTTCGCAGCTGAGAACGACCATTTGCAAGTGGTGGAGGCATTGTTGAAAGCCGGAGCCCAGCGGGAGGCACGCCACAAGGATGGCTTCACAGCCCTCATGTTTGCCGCAGGCGCGGGCCACCGGCAAGTGGTTGAGGCGTTGCTGAAAGCCCGATGTCAAGTGGAGGCGCGCAATGAGCAAGGCTTCACCGCCCTGATGTGGGCAGCTACGGCAGGTCAACTGCCCGTGGTGGAGGCCTTGCTGCAGGCTGGAGCCCAACCGCAGGCCCGCGATGCGGGGGGCGAAACTGCCTTGGACCTTGCGCAGGACTTTGGTTACAAGGAGATTGCAGACATCCTGCGGCAATACGCCGGTGCCCACTGAAGCCCTGAAAAGCCCAGGCATTTGCAACGTCTCAGGGTTCTAGCTCTGTCTTCTGCGTGGAGGCGGCCAGGTACCGAGGCCGTACCTTTCTTATCGCATCTGAGTATTCTCTCGAATCTGATAAGTAGTGATATAAGTGACAGAAATTAAGTGACATAACTGACAGAAATGAAACTAGCAATATCGTAGTTGCTATGCTGAGTCCATAGGCCTTGCAACCTCCCAAACCTCAAATCCTCAAGCTCTCTGCCCTGGCGTGGTTAAGGCTCCAGTGTTTTGGGTTCTGGAATCTTGATGAGTGCAAAAAGTAAAAGCCAGAAAGTTGGAATATGATTATCCTAACCCTTCTATGGTAAATTATAGGGTATCCGACCATGAAACCATATTCCAACTTTCTGGAGTTCCCTGTAGGTTGGATGATGTCCCTATCAGGATGCTGGCAATGAGCACCCATGCCCTGCACCAGGAACCCCCTAACTCGAATCAGAACTTCGAAAGCGTTCAAAGAAAGTCCTGACATCTGAAGCCCGATGCAGCTTTCCTGTTTTTCCCATTGCGTTTGCCACTAGTGTGTGTTTTTTCCTACCGTGTTGAGAGGCTCCCGAAGGAAATACATAGACCCAGTAGGAGGGAAAGCTGTTCTTTGGGTGCCTATGAACATCTACCTATAGTCTCCATTGTAGTTCCTTGTGTGGGTTAACCATAAACTACATTATAGGATCCTAACCATGAAACATGGTTAACCAAGAAAGGAACGACAACAGAGACTATAGGTATAGTACAACCCTCAATCCTATACCTTAAACCCTAAACCCGAAACCCTGAAACTTGTTAGAAAGGCTATTCGAACGACTGTGCTCTTCTCGAAGCTTCGGCTCTCGCAGAGAACGCGCGGGCGCTGTAGGATTTAGAGCGCCTGAACATCTCCGGAGGATTTAGGGGTCTCGGGTGTAGGGTTTGATATAGGGCTCATATACGGGTTGATGGGTTTAGGATTCCTGGTGCGAGTTTCCAAGGTCTAGGTCGACCATCTGCAGATTCGACGGGGGCCCGGAACCCGAGCCCTAAACCCGAAACCATACCTTAACCCTGAATTTCGTATTGGGAGCAGAATTTGAGGGGATATCGCTGGGCCATGCGCGCTCTTGGCCGCTTGGCCCTGCGCCGCCCGTCCCGGCTCTTTCCGTCACTGGGCGCCGCCCGCGCCGCCGCCGCTGCCTCGCAGAAGCCTCCCCAGCAAGGCATCGAAGGGGTTTTAAGATTCAGTGGGTGTGTAGGGCTTACCTTAACCCCGAAGAACCTACATTTGTAAGGACTTTTTATAACGAAATTATCATGGTTAAGGTAAGACTTCGGGGGTTGAGGGTGTTAAAGGGTTTTAGGGTTGAGGGTGGAGGCCTTTATGGGGTTTAGGATTAGAATCTTAGAGCTTCTAGAGTTGGCTTCGGAGATCTCTGGAGTTAATTGGGTTGACATAGGGTTTAGGGTTCCGGCCTCTGGGTAGATGTCAGGATTCAGAGCTAGGGTTTAGGGCATAGATTTTAGGATTCAAAGCTTAGGGTTTAGGGATTAGGGGATCAAGGGAACATGTACGAAGCTTATCAAGACAGCCCCGGTTCCATAGGAGGCGACTGAAATGAGAGCCCAATTCCAACAAAAGTTGAACAACCAACATTAAAGCGCTTACAAAAGAGGCCCTAATAATTACCTATACTACTTTGGGGGTTCCTGATTATAGTTATAGTATCATGGGCCCCTAAACCCTACTCTAATTATTAAGGCCCCCTATATTAAGCCCCTGTTTGAGGTGTTGGGATGTCGGGTTGGGGTAGTCACAAACTGTGGGAGGTAGCATCCAAACCGTAGCGTGGCAGAGCCCCATGCCACACTTGAGAGTCCCGTTTCTGGGTTCTCGTTAAGGCACGTAGTTAAAGTGAACAAACAGTTGAGATCTATGGGAAAAAAGAAGGTTTCCCTAGTGTTTTATCTTAAACTGAGTTCCTTAACAAGACCTCAGGTTTTGTAAGCTTTGTTAAACTTGGTGCTCCATCTTTGTTGTCATATACACCCAACCGGGCCATTAAGAATGATGTTCGAGGAGGCTTTTCAATTTGGCGTGTGTTATGCGACCCTCCTGCACCTAAAAGTTGTGGACTAGCTCAAGGACATACACATCTAGGATGCCCAGTAGTACCCTTATTCCCTTTTTGTAGTCCTAGGTTCCTTATAAAGTTACCCAATACCAAAAAGAGTGGCCTTTTTATTCTTAGGTTACTGGGTATCCTAGACATGAATGTGTTGAAGCCTCCAGCTGCAGACAAAAGGTTGGGGCAACGTTCTTTCTGGGGCTGCTATGAAGCCTTCATGGGCGCAAAGCTTGGAACCAGATCGCCGAAGCAACCCAAAACCCTTTGCAACACCCTTTCGGAGTCCTTCCGGAGCTCTGATACATCCTTATCGAACTGGTCCAGAACCGTCTTTATAAAGCCCAGTTTGATTCCTTATACACCTATAGAACTTCAAACCAAATTTCAATCCCGACTCGGCTCGGCCACACTTACAAAAAACAGGCCATAAAATTCTAGGGGCTGCGCCCAGGTGCGGGCAGCGCGAGTTGTTGTCAGCGGATGTAGCGGGGGAACGGGAAAGACACGGTCAAAATTTCCAGACGGTGCCGAGACAACGACAGCTCGACACCGGAACAAAAGTGTGACGTAGGCCCGAAGTGCACAACTTATGGGTGATTAGCCCTCGTCGGCCCTCCATGTAGCCCGCATCCGCCCTCCGCCGGACCCCGCTGATGCTGATGATGCGCGCCCTTTGGCGGCTTCCGCAACCCACTCAAAAACTTGGGAGTTATGACTTCGCGCCCACGTCGCGCCGCCGGCGCCGGTTGCGGGCGCCCGAGGGCTCATGATGCTCGCCGGCTCGCCTCCTGGGGTCGTCCACGGCGGCCCCGAAACCCGCCACACCGCGGGGAATGGCTGCAAAACGCGTGCGCGTTCCGAGACGCCTTCGGGCCAGGCCCCGCGCGGCCCGAGGGAGAAACGAGGGTCCGATGATGCGGGGTCCGGGGCGGGTCGGCGGCACTGTCGGTCGTGGCTTCTGCTTCGCAGACGAAGCTCATTCGTCTGAGCCATAGCTCAGTCCATACAGGGCAGCGAAGCGCTGCCCGATTTAAGAGCCTCCGGCTCAAGCCGCCGACCCCGTGGGCGACAAAGCAGAAGCCGACTGCATCTGTACAGGAGCTATGTGGGGACCAGGGATGTGGGAGGGGGGAACGGGGGGGAGAGGGGGAGGGGGGGGAGGGAGGGGGGGGGAGGGGGGGGGAAGGAGGGGAGGAGGGGAGGGGAGGCGAAAAAAATTGATGGTCTCCTACAGTGAGCTGATTTGAACCCAATGGGCTGCGGTGTGATGCTTCTGGGGGCTTGGGTGCTGCTTGCAAACAGCCATGGGGTACCCCCCCCCCCCCCCCAGGGTGCGCCCGGTGTGCGGGATTTTGGTTGGGGAGGAGGGAAAAAGGGAGGTTAACACCTCCAAACCCATCGAGACCCATCCAACACGCCGCCAGGGTCGGCGGATAACCCTAAACCCTAAACCCCAAACCCTAGCAGACCAACACAGAATCCCAGACCAGGCCCGCTACTGGTGAGTGCGACCGGAGCACCGCTGTCCAGTGCTTCGACATCGAACCCTGGCAAAAGTCGTGCTTTCGTATGTACGAGGGTTTCAAGTTTTTTTTGTTTGTATGCTACGCCCATGCAGGGTTCTATTCTTGTAAGTACGCATGGGGCAGAAAATCATGGTTTGACTAGAACTCCACACCTTGGACCCATGTGCAGACTTTGGGATAGAGTTGGGATAACCTCCCCTTCGGATTATTTGTATTGCATGCAACAGTCTTACGTGCAGGTACCCTCTGTTAGCTCCTGCCTTCCGAAACCTTGGGAATGTATGGTGCGGTGTTGCTAAGCTCCCCCCCTCCACCCGGCCAATGGTATGGTGTTGCCCGCCCCCCCCCCCCCCCTTGTGAGGGTTGGTGTTTGCTTGAGGGTTGGCATTCTTGGACGGGGGGTTTCCCAAAATTAGGGGTACCTTATTCTGGGGTCCTTATAGTAAGGATCCTGCATTTAAGGTCCCCTATTTTCGGAAACCCCCATATTTTGGTTTCGCCGTCTCTTGCCTAGCCTAGGAGTTCGCTGGGCGCGGAGCTGGAGCTCACCCCACAGAATGCTGCGCAGGTGGCGGGATCATGGGGAGAAAGCTTGTAAATCGATCTCGGCTAAACCCTACCTAAACCCCAAGCCCTACGATCCCTCCTTTCATGTTACGGGTTTCCTGTTATGGTTTCCCTGTATATGTTCTCCAAGCGGTGAGTCTTGGAGTTTAGCCTAATAAAGCCTTACACCTTAAGCCCAGGAACCCTGGAATCCCTAAACCCATAACCATACACGCTGGACCGAGCGCCCCAACGCAATCCCTATCAACGGAGGGTATGTTTATTAATCAGCGCATCTCATGTAGACCCCTGGCCTTACGCTTAAGGTGCACTAAACCCTGAACCCTCGAAACCTCCCAAACCCTAAACCTTGTACCTTAAATCCAAAGCCCTCCAAACTTCGTATCGCTCGGAAAATGGCTTTCGGGCTTTCTGAGGAAATGAGATCTTCGGGCCCAGGAGCTCTGGTTTAGGGTTTAGAGTCTAGGGTTCAGGGGTTAGGGTTTAGAGTTTAGGGTTCGGGGTTTAGGGTTTAGAGTTTAGGGTTTAGGGTTTAGAGTTTATAGCAAAGCCCCGAAGCCGGTCGACCCTCGTCATACCTATAGTCTCCATTGTAGTTCCTTTCTTTGGGTAACCAGAATCTCTATGAATAGGATCCAAACCATAAAACTGGTTAACCAAAAAAAAGGAACTACAATGGAGACTATAGGTACATGCCACTGCGACACCTCTAAGGCACGAATCCCTGAGCACAAATCCCATGAAGCTCTACACCAAGTTTCACTAGTCATACGGTTCATGACATAAATCCTGCATTACCCATAATAAGGAAGATACCATAATTCCCATAGTTTAGGGTCCTTAAGGTAATGCAGGATTTATATCATCAACCGTACTACTCAGCCCAGACCCACGACTTTCATCACGCCTCTGTAGTCAGACGTCCACGCCGTCCCTGCCATAGTTTGTGGGACTTACTTCCAGTGCACCTGCAAACCCAAAACTGCACTCAAACCCCCAAATCCCAATCGACCCCTCCCAAACCCAAGACCCTGAGCCTGAACTGAGGCCTTTCGGCCATTACTTTGGCAAGCAAAAATCGAAAGTCCTAAGAATGCTTATAGTTCCTCTTTTGTTTCACCCATGTTATAATTGGGATCCTATGAGGCAACCCAAAAAGGGGACTGCAATGGAGACTATAGATATTTAGGCAACTGCGAAGCTTGGTTCGATATTCCGGATAAGACTGCACAGGGTATGTAATGTGTACCCCGAGAAGAAAAGCTTTTGGATTGGAGTTCCCGAAGCCAAGCAATCGGGGCACGTACTTGACTTGAAACCAAGTCGTAATTATTTCAGTTCCGAATCCTAAGCCCTGCAACCGCATGGAAAGGGAAAGCTCTCAAAATGGCTTCCTCCGAAACTCTGCAAGCCCCCAACCGAACAGTACGGCACAACGACACAAAAATGAAACCCGCGTGTAGATTTGGGTTCCTGTTGCTCTGCCTCCTTCGACTGCCAAACGAGGTCCACAAGCCACTGAAGTCACAACAGTGATCCCCAGGGGGGTACTAACTACGGAAACTGCAGTCTCTAGTTACGCAAGACCGTATTCGTACCATTAAATTCAGGCCCCCGTTCGAAAGCCTACGAATCTGCAACACCCTACCCTAAGGCCCCGTAGTAGCTCCTTTTTGGGATTACTTTATGGTATTCCAGATCTGAACCCCAAAAAGGAACTAGTGTGGGGCCTTTGGGTAGTAACTACCGAGCGGAACATTCTTCATCCCCGAAACCTTAACCCTGAAACCCTCGACGCCTAAAGCTCTGAACCCTAAATTTCTAAATGCCGACACCCTGGATTCTGAAACCCTAAACACTGAACCCTATAAAACCCGACAACCTAAATCCTCATTTGGAGGTGCTCCAAAGCGCCAGCCCCTTTCTGACACTCTTCCATTCGTTGAGGTTTAGGCTTTCAGGCTTAGGGTGCAAGGTCAAAGGCTTCAGGTTTGTAAGCTTTGGTTCAGGGTCTAATTCGATAGTTTAGCAGTTAACCCTAAACCCTAAACCGTAAGGGTTTGTAAGGGTGGAGAATTTGTACTCCTAGTTGGAGGTCGCCCCCCGGCGGGGGCTCCCATTCGTTTTTCTGGGCAGTATAATTACCTTAATATAATATAGTATAATATAGTATAATATCATATATAATATAGTATAATATAATATAATATAACATAATATAAAGTTCATGTTGAGGATCCCATCCCCTGGTACTTGGCAGGGTTTTGGTTTTGTGGTTTGGGGGCTAAGGGTTGACGGAGTACTTCAAAGGCATGTTGCCTATTTCAGCTTGTTTGGAGTCTCCTTAGACCCTGGAGTGCTTGTTTCCCGCGATAGCTTGTTAGGATCCTAGAATCAAAAGCTCACTACATTTTAGGATCCAGGTTTTGGGTGAAGGATGAAGGTTTAAGACCAGGGTGAAACGATGGGTTTCGGGTTTCAGGTTTCAGGGATTCGTCGTTGAGGTTTGTTGGCTTTAAGGCGTGACGCTTTTCATGCTTCTGCTCTTCTAAGGGCTTCTCAGGAACAGAAAGGTGTGACGTTGCACTGCTGCTGCTGCTACTACTACTACTACTACTACTACACTACTACTCCTGGTACGACTCCTAGTGCTAGTACTGTTACTGGCACTCGTACTATTACCAGTACTAGTACCCCTACTGGTGTTCTATTGTGTTTGTTACTAGTTAATACCATTCACACGTAATTACATATGTGTATATATATATATATATATATATCAAAGTCCTTATGTGTCTGCTGGTGTATCTGCTTGTCTGTTCGCCCGGTATTAGTTAATTCGTGTATTTCGTGTTCGTGCAATAGCAGCAATTGCACAAGCCATATCTTAAACCCTAAACCCTAAACCCTAAACCCTAAACCCTTAATCTCTGGACTATAACTTAAATCGTCAGTCCCTTGGGGTCTATCCTAAACCCGAGACCCTGGAACCTTAATCCCAAAACCCATAAAGGGAACTCCAGAAAGTTGGAATATGGTTTCAGGGTAGGATACCTTATAATTTGCCATAAAGGGTTTAGGATAATCATACTCCAACTTTCTGGCTTTTACTGTATTCCCTAAATCTCAACACCTCTATATGGGAGTTTCGGGAGTTTCTGAAAATAGGGCACCCTGACATAGTACCTTAAATAGTAGGATCCTTATTATGAGGACCCCAAATGAGGTATCCCTAATTTTCGGAAACTCCCATATTCCTGAACACAGCTTCGAGGATGCTCGTGGGGGATCTCGAGGGCCCCGTGGCGAAGAAGGCGACGCTAAGATCCGGGCGTCGGAGTTCTTAAGGCTTTAGGGTTTAGTAGGTTTTAGGGTTTAGGGTTTTACGGTTTAGTAGGTTTCAGGGTTTAGGGTTTTACGGTTTATTATGTTTTAGGGTTTGGGGTTTTACGGTTTATTATGTTTTAGGGTTTGGGGTTTTACGGTTTAGTAGGTTTTAGGGTTTAGGGTTTTACGGTTTAGTAGGTTTTAGGGTTTTGGGTTTTACGGTTTAGTAGGTTTTAGGGTTTAGGGTTTTACGGTTTAGTAGGCTTTAGGGTTTAGGGTTTTGCGGTTTAGTAGGTTTTAGGGTTTTGTTTTAAGGGTTTTACGGTTTATTAGGTTTTAGGGTTTTGGGAAAAGTTTGAGGGTTTAGGGGCTTTTGGGTCTAGAGTGTCGGGTTCAGGGTTCAGGGGCTTTGCAGGGTCTTTGGGGGTCTATGAGTCAAGGTTTAAAAGGGGTTTTGAGACTTGAGGGTGAAGGTGCTTCAATTTGTTAGGGTTTAGGGTTTAGGGGTTTAGGGTTTAGGAGTTTAGGGTTTAGGTTCAAGGATTTATAGGGTTGTGTTTCCGGGTTCGGGATTGTCGCACGAACTCACAGCTTTGTGCAATGCTTGTTGCATTGAACGTAGTGCATCGGCGACTGTAGGGCTTTGAGAAGTCCGGCGTGTTGCTTGCGTTCTCGCTTCGGGTGCATGCGGCTGCTGTGTTTGTCTCTGTTCGGTGGTACCCTCTAAACCCTAAACCCTAAACTCCACGCTAAGTAAACTCGAAAGCATCGTAAGCCATGGCGTGTTACGTTTAGGTACCCTCATGTATGCTCTAAACCCTAAACCCCCCAAAACCCTAAACTCGACCGGACCTTAACTACCCTAAGGCCCCAAAGTAGTAAGTAGTTCCTTTTTGGGGTTCGTATAGAAAGTATTAGAAGGTAATCCCAAAAAGGAGCCACTTTGGGGCCTTAGGGTGAACTCAAAAGCATGATCCTAAGCCATGGCATGTTAAGTTTCGGAGTTTTTGACTTGCGTGTCTGGTCTAGGGCTTAGGGTTCACGACCCTAAACCCTAAACCCTACACGATTTAGGGTTTAGGGTTTAGGGTTTAGGAGTTTGTGACTTGCGTTCCTGGTTGGCCAAGGCCCTGAACCCTAATGTAGGAACCTGATTAAGAAACCCTGGTTCCTACAACCTCCAAAATCGTAGGACTCATATAAAGAACCCTAATTACCTAGAAAGGCCCAAGGTTGCTTAATAATCAGGTTCCTACATTAAACCTCAGCATCCGCAACGCTCACTCCATAGCCTTGCACCCAAGACCCTAGAGGCTAGAGGGGTTGGGAGGGCACGGATAGGAAGAAGTTGACTTAGGATTGTAGGTACAAGTGCATTATGCTACGATAACTCTGCAGGAATTCGGCACTGATTTCGAGTGACGAGTGAAGACTGTTTTGCGCTACACCTGATCCCCAACCGCCTTGACTCAATCATGTGACCCAAGAGGTCCACGACCCTTAAGCCCACACCAGGATGTTTCAAGATTTCTTAAGCCAGCCCGATGAGCTAAACTGACTCGTCCCTGTATTGTAGTTGTACTACCTTCGTGTGCCTAGTTGTTGGGTTGATTGAAGGTGCAGTGCGAAATAGACGAAACGTGATTGTCTTAGGGCTTCAAGTTGTTGCTGTCTGGGTTGTAGAGCTTACCTTAACCCGGAATAACCTAAACAAATTAAGGACTTATATAAGGAAATCATAATAGGGAGCACGAAAAAGGTAGGTTCTTTAGGGTCTAGGTAGGGTTTAGTGTTCTGTTCCTTTCAGGAAGCGGAATTACAGGGTTGTTTGCTCGGGTTCCCCGCCTTCCCCTTGGCATCCATGACAGCGTGACCAAGGCTGAAGGAAATTCCCATATCAGAAAAGTTCTGGAAAGCCTGAAGAATGTATTGAAGGCAAACCGTCTGCCGTCAGATGTGAAGGTGCCCCGTGAGCGGTATTCCGAACAGTGCCATGGCGAGTTTGGGCCATTCTTGACCGCCAATCTCGAGGTCAATGGCCTGGTGGTCGGGCATGAGCTCAGTAAAAAGGTGCAGCTGAAGGAAGGAAATGCACTCTGCTTGGAAGGAGATGCACCCTAGCCGACTGAAGTTGCCGGGAGAATATGTATGAAAGGCTGGGTTCTTGTTATAAGAGGTTTACCTTACGTTAACATAATCTCATAGGGCTCTATAGTGGAGGAGCACCCTAAAGCCCTAAACCCTAAACCGTGAGAAAGAAAATGGTTGACCAAGCGCCGTTCTTCCGTAACCATGGCGTTCGGACCCAAGGCTCTTTCCCCCCTCATCTCTTTGCCCTGAGATGTCACACTTGTGCCTTTCAACCAACCAACCAACCAACCAACCTAAACACTACCTATAGTCTCCATTCTAGTTCCTTTTGCCGGTCAACCCAAAATCTCTATCAGAGGATCCTAAGCATAAAACTGGTTAACCAAAAACAGGAACTACAATGGAGACTATAAGTATAAGGCCCTAAACCCTATACCCTTGTAGAATCCCTCAAAAAAATGATACTACAATGGAGACTGTAGGTAAACCCTCAACCCTAAACTGAGGCCCTGAAGCCCGAAAGCCTCTACCCGAAGCCCTACCTTCACCCTGAATAACCTACTTTTTTAGGGGTTCCTTATTATGGTTTCCTTACATAAGTCCTTAAAAACGTAGGCTATTCCTGTTTAAGGGTATCATAGGGTTCCTTTAAGGGTTGCTTTAAGGTTTGCTTTTCGGGTTCCTTTAAGGGTTCCTTTAAGGGTTGCTTTAAGGGTTTAGTATAGGGGCCCAAAAGCCTGAACGACTTCACAAGCTCGGACCAAGCCCTGCTGTGACGGCCTGGCCAGATGCAGGGATACGAGACAGGGTAGGGTTTGGGGTTTCGGGGTTTCGGATTTCGGGGTTTAGGGTTTGGGGGTTAGGGGCTTTAGGGGTTTAGGGCTTACGGGTTTAATTCGGGGTATTTTGGGGTAGTGCTAGGCTACGAGACTCTTGCAGAGTACTCCCACAGGCGGCTTGACAACAAAAAGCGTGACATACTTTCGTAGCTCTACTGAACACCCTAACCCCAAAAGGGAGTACTGCTTCTAAACTCTACATCCAAACGCTATACCCGAACGCATCTGCTTATGTGGTCACGTGGAATGCAGGTTGGTGCTCTGAGAGCAGCGGCGCAGGGGCGCCTGCCACTGCTCCGATTGAACTGCTCAACGCTGCCGCAGCCCCCCGTCCCAAGCCCCTAATCCCACGCCCTACATTAACCCCAAATAACCTACCTTTTCATGGACTTATATGGGAGTTTCCAAAAATTCGGGGTACCTTATTTTGGGGCCCTTATAATAAGGATCCTATTATTTAGGGTTGGGGTCCCCTATTTTCGGAAACTCCCATATCAAGAAATCATTTTCGGGAACCCTACGAAGGTGGGTTTATTTGGGGTCCAGGTAGACGGGAAGCCTTGAGGCACACACCCTAAACCATAAGCGATGAACCTCCAGCCCTGCACCCCAAGCCCTGCACCGAAGAGAAGTGTTTTGTTCGGTGTTTCCGGTGTTTTGGGGTTTGAATTGGGTTTGGAGTTTACTGGGCAGGGTTTAGTGTGTTGGGCGTTTACAGGGGCCTGAGCAATTGCCAAAACTATTTTGGGGGTCCCTAAACCCTACAAACCCTATCCCCTTTAAGGCCCCTAAACCCTAAACCCTATCCCCTTTAAGGCCCCTAAACGGTGGTACCCTCTAAACCCTAAACCCTAAACCCTCTCCCCTTTAAGGCCCCGACATTATATCAAGAGTTTTCAGGTTCAGGCTTCACCTTGAGGTGACTTGAGTTCGGGGAGCTGCCGGCGTTGTTGGGATTCGTTCATGTGGGAGTTTCCGAAAGTCAGATGTACCTTATGTTCGGGCCCTTAAGATAAGGATCATACTGTTTAGGGTGCTATATTAGGGTCCCCTATCTTCGGAAATTCCCATGTCTACTCGTGAGGGGCTGGCTGTAAGTCATGTTTCTGTACCCTAAACTTTAAACCCCAAACCCAGAGCCCGATAATAAACCCTAACCCTGAACCCTCGGAACATTCCTGAATCCCAGCCCCTAAACTCCGGAAATCTCGAAACCCTATATAGTACACCTCAAGTACTGCTGGGATTCCCTATACCTTACTCATAAGGATTGAGGCTATTGGGTTTCCAACTTTTTGGCTTCTACTGTATGCCCTGCCAGAAAGCTCATTGGCCCTGCACCCTAAACCTAGGATGCCCAGTACCCTTCCTTCCCTTTTTGTAGTCCTAGGTTCCTTTGAAGGTACCCAATACCACAAATGGAGCCCTTTTTATTCCTGGGTTCCTGGGCATCCTAGATAATTATTGGTACCTTTATTTGGGGCTCTTGTTATAACTATGGTAGCATGGGCCCCAAAACCCTTTTGGACCCTATAAACCCATATGAGCATCGGACAAAACCTCCGTAAGAGCTAACATGACTAGAGCGCAACTGAGATGGTGAAAAACTAGGGTCTAGTAGGAAAACCGATAGGGGCCGACCCATGTTCTCGGCATGGCATCTTGTAGTTGATCTCTGCATAACCGATAGGGGCCGACCCGAGATCTCGGCATGAGCAGGTCGAACAATAGGTTTAGGCCGCCGCTCATATATTGACTGAGGATTTGCCAAGCGCTGCAGATTACGACTTCACCGACGCTGCTGCTGATGGCGAAGGGGCAGGTTCCCGAAATTAGGGGCCCAAAAAGCACATAAGCATCAGCATTTTATGGTGAGATCCCTACCTTCTTGGGCTTCATTATAAGTAGGGGCTCAAAAAGCACATAGGCATAAGCATTTTATAGGGATATCCCTACCTTGTTATTGGGCTTCATTATAAGGGGGCTTATATGGGATATCCCTATCCTCATTTTTCCCAGAAGAGACTGCGAAGCTGGGTTGAGGCTTCAGGCCTTCAGGGACTTAAAGGTTTAGGGTTTAGGGTATTAAACGTTTAGGGGTTTAGGGTTTAGGGTGCTTAGGACGGTTTAGGGTTCCTGACAAAGAAGCCAACTTAAGTTGAGTTACCACAACAAGAAGAGCGCATGTTGTTTCATATAGATGACAAGACTCCCAGCCAGACAAGGATGTACATGGGTCTTGGTGTCGACGGCTTCTCGTTTAGGGTTTAGGGTTCTGCTACTTCTACTACTTCTACTACTACTACTTACTACTACTACTACTACTACTACTACTACTACTACTACTACTACTACTACTACTACTATGGCTACTACTGCTGCTATTACTACTAGCATAGGGTTTGGAGTTTGGGGGTTGGTCATGTTTGGGGTAGAGGGGAGCAGGGCTTCTCATGGGTGTGTTTGCTATGGCTTTGGGCTTCGGACTCGGGGTGTTAGGGCCCATGGGGTTTACGTGTTTAGGGTTCCTTTAAAGGGTTACTATAAGGGATCTATAATAGGGTTCTATAATGTAGGGGGCCTTGGAGAGTCTATGGGTGCAGGTGTTTTTGGAAACTTCAGGCGTGACGCCTGGCTGCTAATCCTCCAGAGATGGGTCCTGCGTTGACGTTACGTACTACCTATAGTCTCCATTGTGGTTCCTTTTACTGGTTATTATGGTTAGGATCCTCTAGTATAGTTTATGGTTCACCAAAAAAGGAACTACAATGGAGACTGTAGGTAGACTACGGGAACCCTGGTATCTTATCACGGGTAATGCGGGCCGCGTCCACCAACAGCAGGGAGGAACTCTCCAACGTAACTCGAAACCCTGGCGGCGAACCTGAACCGCAAAGAACCCATCGGGAATCCTCCAGAGTGGCTTATGGTTTATTTAGGGTTTTAGGGTTTAGGGGTCTAGGGTTTAGGGTTTGGGTTTAGGCTATAGGGTTTCGGGTTTAGGGGTTTCGGGTTTAGGCATTTAGGGGTTTAGGCGTTTAGGGGTTTAGGGGTTTAGGGTTTAGGGGTTTAAGGCTTTAGGGTTCTGTTGGGGAAAGCCCCAGAAGCCCAATGTCTTGAACTCCAGAAGCCAATGTGCAGAAACCCACAGTCTAACCGCCCAACACTCAGATCTCAACTCTCTCGACATGCGGTGGTTGCCATGAAGGGTTATAGAACACAAAGCATGAACAACACAAAACTCTGCACCCGTCCGAAGCCAAGAACTGCCACCCTCAACCCTCGATGCAAGAGGTGGTGGCGGTCCTTGAGAAAGACCTTAGCCCGCCGGCTGCGACGGCCTTTGTGGAGAATGTGGGGCAGATGCTCGGGCTGAAGGCCCCGGTGTGGTTGAGTGTGTATATATATACATACATACACACACGCATACATACATACATATATATATATATATAATACATAGATATAACTAATATATAAATAAATATATATATATATATATATATATATTTCCGAAAATTAGGGCTCACCTTATTTGGGTTTCCTGAAAATAGGGATCCTTCTATTTAGGGTACTATATTAGGGCCCCACCGCAGAGGTCGGAACTCGCGAGCAGTAAACCATGAACCTCGCAATGTTGGGACCTCCCCGAGCTTCGCCTTCAGATGTCAATGCGCCCAGAGCATGATGGCGGGTTTATACGCGCAGCCCTGATATCCTTCGCCCTTGGCTATTTCTCTGTCTCATTCGTAGTGTTCTCATTCTATGGTCAATGTCCCTCCGTTTTTAACTCTCTCCCTATTGTCCGGCTTTCAAAGTATCATTGACCGCAATTAGTTTTTGACCAGTGTATTTCTTAATGACCAGCGTAATTGCTACTATTATGTACTGTTGAATACGATTAGCATTAGCATTATTGTTATTAGCATTACTATTATGATTGTTGTTTTCTGTAACCCTCAACCCTGAACCCTAAGCCCTAAACCGCCTGGCGAGACCTTTGACGTTCTGTGTCTCTCGGTCCTCTCGTCCTGCTACTCGCCTGGGATTCTGCTGCTGCGGAAAAAGGTGCTCAGAAAGAAGCCCTAAACCCTAAACCCTGGACCCTAAACCCTAAATCCTAAACCCTAAATCCTAAGCCGCCTTAAAAAGAGGGAAGCGCGTCCAGGTTGCCTTGGCGGAGGATGTCACGGAGCAGCTCGCGGAGGCGGAGGAGCCGCTTCGTCTGAGAATCGAAGCTTCGTGTCATGAAACCTCAACCCTCGTCCCCTTTACAAAAAAAAAAACTAAAGCATGACTCCCTAATCCCGAAACCCCTATATACCCAGAGGCCCCAATAGTAGTTCCTTTTTGGGGGTTCATATTTAAGAATCCCAGAAGGTAATCCCCAAAAAGGAACTACTATGTGGCCTCTGAGCAAACCCTAAACCCACCAGGTTAGAGTGGACCGATGCTGCGGCCGCCGATGCCACCTTCTTCCAGGCACGATGATGGGGTTGGTGGGAACCTTGGGTCGATAAAAAAGGGGCCGAAATAATCCAGCGGCCTTAATAATCAGAAAAGGGCTCCTTTAAAGGGGATCCTTAAAGGGGTCGATAAGGGCTCTATAGTAGGGGTCTATGGTATAGAATCACCAATGCTATTTTGGGGGGTTCCTTATTACAACTATAACTATAGTATAATGGGCCTCAAAACCCAGTGTGGAAGTATATGAGATTTGCTACTGGCTTATAGGGTTTTATGTAGCCCTAAGGGTCCATGTACTCAAATAGTATATACAAGTACTCCCTATATAAGTACACTGGGCCCAAAGTATATACTATTTGGGAACATGGACCCTTAGGGTAGGGTTGTATCAGGTTTGCAAGGTTTCTGGGGTTTCGTATGGTTTAGTCTCGAATCTGTTGGGTTTGGGGTTGGGGGTTTGGGGGAATTCGTTGGAAGCGAAACAGAACCTAAGACTAAGCCGAAGTGTATTTTGGGATATTCCCAATAACTATTCCCGGAGCACGGTGCCAGTCTTCAAGAGTTTATGCTTCTGTGGCTTTTTGCTGTTTCTTCCAGGTGGAAACAGCAGTTGGACAAAGCTGCTGTTTGTGTAGTTGCCGCCACACTCATGTCTTGATTGCTTCGCATTGCTCGTAATCTGGTCATCAATGCGGCAGTTAGTACCGTTACTGTTATTAGTTGTGCTTGCTGCTTTCTTCTTGGTCGTTTTGTCACAACAACCGTGATCCGTGAGTGCGAAACGAAGCCCTTCTGACCCCACAAATCAAGAACCCTTACTATTCGCCGACAGGTTCGCAGATCCGGAGTAGTCGTAAAAAGCGTGCGCAAACAAAAGAAACCTAGCCCACAAACCCAACCCAAAACTTTTGGCCATCAACCCTGAACCCTAAACCCCTATAAACCCTAAACCCTCAACCGCCGTAGAATACGAGCAGGTCCTAAGCAGCAGCGACCTGCCCAACGACGCCAGTTCCTGGTGGCAAGCGAATTAACGTTGAGGGTTTCCCAATAGCCCCAAGCCTTGCAGAATAGCCAGTCATCGGACCTCTTATTACTTCTTTCACCTTTAGGGTATAGCCCTAAGGGTTAATGTGCCCAAATAGTATATACTTTGGGCCCAATGTACCTATATAGGGAGTACTTGAAGGCCAAACTGTGTACTATTTGGCTACATGGGCCCTTACAGCATTGCGGTTAGGCTGCTGCCACCTTCAGAGTAGAGCCCCGTAGATGCAAGGCCCTGCAACTTTTCGATGAAAGGCCCAAAGATGATTCTGCCCTAGACCCCCCAAGTACCCTCTAATATACCGAAAATACCCACCCTCAACCCTACCTATAGTCTCCATTGTAGTTCCTTTTCGGGGTTACCTTGTAGGATCCTGACTATATATTTGGTTAAACGCAAGGCAAAAAGAGGAACTGCAATGGAGAGTACAGGTAAACCCTAAACCCTAAGCCTTAAACCCTAAACTCTTAAGCCCTAGACCCTAAACCCTACTGTCAAGGACCTTATCTCGACGAGCTCAGAGGCTGCTAAGATGTCAATAATAGGGGTCTGAATAAGTACCTACACTATTTTTTGGCAGTTCCTCATTATAGTTACGGTATAATACGCACCGGAACCGTATTATCTTTTCTAAGGCCGCTACATCAAGCCGATCGAAACCTGTTCCTTTCTCTCAGCCCAGACCCACCAAGCCCTCAAAACCCATACACCCTGATGATATTCGACTGCTCCCCTGATCCACTTTCGACACCGCGTATTCAAAAAACGTCGAAACCATATATAAACGTCTGTTTATGAAGATCTTAGTCCCCAAGCTTTAGACCCAAAGCCCTAAACCCCTACTTAGCCTACCCATAGGCCCCATAGTAGTTCCTTTTTGGGATAACCCCATAAGATTCTAAACGTGAACCCCCAGAAAAGGAACTACTATTGGGGCCTTAGGGTAAGCTGCTGCTGACGTTAGACTTCCTGGGCTTTGCTGAGGAGTGAAGGCTCTGGCTGGTCGGGTACGTTGCGCTCTTAGGCCGACTTCGTTTTTTGGGGGTTAGCGGTTTAGGGTTTAAGGTTTAGGGTTTAAGGTTCAGGGTTTAGGGTTTAGGGTTATAAGTACCCTAAGGCCCCACAGTAGTTCCTTCTTGGAGGTTCATATGTAGAATCCTATAAGGTAATCCCAAAAGAACTACGTTGGGGCCTATGGGTACCTTGAACCGCTAAAATCATAACTCTCGGTTGGATTCCGTGAAATTCTTTATTCTATTTTCGGGTGCAGCGTTAGAGCCTATGTGCAAAAAGTAGGTCATGGTGGTTCTAGGTAAGGTCTAGGGTTTCGGGGTTCAGGCATTTATATGGCTCCAGCATAACGACAGTGAGAATCGGTAAAATTGGGGTACATTCTGCAATACTTACTTATTTTGGGGGCTGTATAGTGCGTTCTAGCGAGGAGGGTTTTGCGTCCCGGCAGATTTTGCTGTTGTTTGCCGGCTTTACAAGGGGCGCCTGCAGTTTTTTTTGATTGGTGGATTGGGGTTTTGTGGCTTTATTAGAGGATGTCATAATCAGACCATGAAACCCGAAATCCACAATTCCCTATAAACCTCAAAAACCCCCCGTCAAACCTTCAGAAGCACCCTGACCAATGCAAAGGGCGGTTAAGTTGTAAGCAGGGAGGCAGGGATTGGCTTCTCGCATCCTCTTCTGGCTTGCTCCACCAGCATGTCACGCAGTCCCTGAACCCGAAACCCTAAACGCGAAAGCCCTACACCCTAATAAATTCTAGGATGCCCAGTAGTACCCTTATTCCCTTTTTGTAGTCCTAGGTTCCTTATAAAGTTACCCAATACCAAAAAGAGAGGCCTTTTTATTCTTAGGTTACTGGGTATCCTAGAATTCTAAACTCTAAGCTCTAATCCTTAAGTCGACGACGCACCGGGTGTTCTCCGTCCTGTCGATCTCCAACATTGGTGGATCTGTACATGACATATGTTTACGAGGACCTCCAAAATTAGCTGAGGAAGACTGCTGCCGAAGTGCGTGGTTTACACGGTTAGGGTTTGAGTTGTTTTTTGGGTTTGGGGTGTAGGGTTTAACCCCGAAGCTACTCGGGCAAGCCCGACCTCATGCAAGCTGAGTATGCAGCCAGAGGTGTTGTACCTTGTAAACTGTGGCCCTTGAATGGCGGCCGAGTCCTCAAGATCTATGCTTCGGCATTCAGGTAGCCTCAACCCTACATCGTGGTTCTTGCATCTCTGCCACTGACCCCCCGAGCGCTCGACGGTACAAGAGCATGACCCTCTCCCGATCGAGCCTCCCACTGCCGCAGAGCTTGCGGAGCCAGTTCCCGTGGAGGATTCCGATGGAGAGATGCACTATGATGCTTGCAGTGATGCAGAATCATCCTCAGCAGAACATGGAAACAGAGCATGCTCGTGGACTTGGGCCTGCTGATCGATGACTTGGACTTGTTAGTAGCCATGGATACGGTTGAGGAGTTGCCTTGGAGAGAATTGCCACCAGGAGGCATCACTCTTCAGAAACAAAGAGCAGGCAACAGACGCAATGCAAGCTAACGACCCTGAGCCTGTAGACTCTAAATAGTTAATTAATGCATATTTATGCCATAGAAACCTCAGACCCTAAATCCTACACCCTAAATTCCTAAGCCCTTATAGAAACCTCAGACCCTAAATCCTAAACCCTAAATCCTAAACCCTTATAGAAAGCCTTTCCTGCAGGCAACGCTCGGAGCCACAGGCGGCCCAGGCGCGGCAGAATCTCAGCCGCTCGGCGGCGCCATGATTTAAAGGGTTCCAGGGTGTACCCAACCCTTAAAAAGGCCCGACCCTACGCCGACATTCACGAATTCCGAAACATCAAAACTCTGAGCCTCCTGCATAATAACCTCACAATTCCGAAACTGCGATAAAAGTAATCCGACTAGCCGCCGTGTACATGCACTGTAAAAGCAAGCCTGTTCTATGTACTTAAACCAGTTAAGCCCTCATTATAAAGCCAACAGAACCAGACAAGACACCACACAACCTCATCAAAATCCACAAAAACCCGAACCCTATGCCCCGAACACCAAGCCTTAACAGCGTTAAACATAGCCAGGAGAGCTTCGTCACACCCCAAATTATGACGTTCGACCATTGGAAATGTAGGGGATATGTCCATGCAACATTTGGGTTAGGAGTATTGGACCACATACGAAGCAGATAGGACCGAAGATAGGATCAATCACCAACAACATAGGAAGCACATATGACTAGAACTAGAAAACAGTAAACAACGAGGGCAAAATCAGGCTTGAACATAGGGAGAACATGAAGCCAACAAGTAGGAACTAGTTCGGAACATCATAGGGGAATATTAGACACAAAGGAAACAACAAGGAACGCCATGTGAAACGAATCGCAGAACTGAGGAAAAGGCAGGAAACTAGGAACATGAGCAAAATTGAATCATCGTAAGGAACATATGAAAAACTGCGTAACCACTTGGAACACGATCGGCACATAACATGGCTGAAAACTTGAAAGTCCAAAAATTATGAAGTGATGAGAACTGCAAAAACCATCTAACAAACAAACCAGGGAACATTAACATCATAGGAACATAAAAGGAAAATATGGAACCCTGCAGAAACAGAGGAACATCGAATCAGAGGAAATTACTCGAGAAATAAGGGAACATGAGGGAGACTGAGCCATCACTTAAGTAACACCAACTTCTTTCTTTGGCTGCTTTTAGTATCTATCCAATGTTCTCCCTAACTCTGTCTTACAATGTTCTTACTGTCCGTTTATGTTCCTATTGTGTTCCTGATTTAGTATTTTATTCTGTATGTTTCCCACAAATGTACATCACGGTACATTTGAACGTTCAATATGCTTCGACATGTTAAGCCTTAAATGCCCTTAAACCCTAAAGCCTAAAACCCCTTAACAGAACACAAGCCTTAAAGGAACTCTGTGACCAGGACCCCCCGGAGAACCCGTTAGTGGAGGCCCGACTGGTCCTTTCCTGAGGGTATTTGGGTATAATAGAGAGCAGTCGAGGATCTGAAGATTCGACACCGCTGTAGAGATGACGCGGCCGTTTGGAACCTGGAGTCCAAACCCGAAACTGGATAAGCCTAGAGACCCAAAGCCTAGACCCTGTAACCTGGATACAGGCTATTTGGGCATAATAGAGGGCAATTCTATAGTCTCCTTCGGAAGTATGTTTTGTGTTCATATAAAACCCAAGAGAATATCAAAAAGATTGTTTTTATTATGGTTAGAGGGGTTTAGGGTTTTGGGTGTGGGGGGGGGGGGGGGTTGTGGAGAGACTCTCAGGTGAGCTGCAGACCGCTGGCCAGGGGAGCCAACCAGAGGCCCAAGGGGCACCAGCCGTTTTAATGGATAAGCGTTTAGAGTTTAGGCTTTATAGGGCTTTGGGTTTGGGATGGATAAGGAGTTGAAGCAGGGTTTTTAGGAAGGTTGATAGGGCTTTGGGTTTGGGGTGCAGGGGTTCCAGAAAAGGGCGTCTAGAACCGCTCTGGAAAGGGTTTCGGATTTGGTTTGGGGATTTAAATTTCGGTCCAGATACGAACCCTGTAAGCCCTATTAAGAAGACCCCAGCATTAGGGGTGTATGGGTTAGCTTTTCGAGTGTACGGGTAAAAGTTTGAAGAGAGTGGTCAAACAGTGTGACTTGTGTTGTGTCACGGACCAACAAAAAGGACATCATGCTTTATAACAGTGTATGCATGTGAGTACACTTTCTAAAAAAAGATTCGCATATATGTATATACACACACATATATATATATTCATATTGAGATATAGCAAAAGAAAATGTGTTAACAGCACGCATGTATGCACGTATGCATATATGTGCGTGTGTATGTGTGTATATGTATGTATGTATGTATGCAAGCATGTATGTATGTATGTATGTATACAAGCATGTATCCCTGTCTGAGGACCTTACGATTATGCACAAGATGTCCGTTCAAAGCCCCTTAACATGAACCCCAAACCTTAAAGCCCCAAACCGCTGCCTAAACCCTTTTTTTTAACGACTGCCGAGTTGAGATAGTGTGCCAGAAGGGCCTAGGTTCTTGAGTAGGACTCTCTTGTCTTAGGCTCCCCTTCTTAGGGTACGCTCATGATAAAGGGATCACTCAGAATCCTCAGAGCGATTGATGAGGTGAAGCAAGCCAGCGCCATGCTCTGGATTGACGAGAAGCAGCGGGAACTAGGCAGCGGCTGGAGGGCTGAACGTCGGGCCGGGGGGGGGGTTGGGGATTCAAGGTTTGGGGATTTAGAGTTTAGGGTTTAGTTTAGGGATTCAGGGTGTGGGGATTTAGGGTTTAGGGTTTAGGGGTTTGGGGGGGTCGAAGAAGTACTAAGAGTGTTCGCTTATGAAGTCTCGAATCGATGTATCGTACAGTATACACCCCAAAACCCCCTTGAAGACTTATCATTAAGGCCCCTACATTTGGATGGAGCACGGTGCCCCAGACACCATCACGTCCCGAACAAGCCTTCAGGGTGCAGGGATTAGAGATTGGATAAATTCGAAAAATTCGCCGGTGTCTACCGACCCTTCAATGACCAACACCTGTGCCCCCGAAACTTCTGAATCTGAAGCCTAAAGCCTAAACCCTACATGAGTTGAAGGGCCATGAGAAGCTGTGCCCATCGAAGCAGATCAACCGAGCCTCTTACAGTAGTTCTCTGAATTAGGGTCCCATTTTGGGTACTTTTGGCAAGGCTGCCATATTGATTTGGGGATCACAAGAGGACCCTAATCTCGAGAACTACCATGAACTACCCAGTTAGTGCCCGGAGAAGCAGGAGGAATCCAAGTATAAGGCATAGCATCAACAGGTTTGCAGTTGCCCGACAGCTTTTTTTTTCAAGATTTCCCTGCGCGAGCCACATGCTGCCAAGCTTGCTCCAGGAATAAACTTCTGGTGTTGGTGTTGGGTTCAGGGTTTGGGTTTTAGGGTAAGCGGTCTATTCCTCAGCCATGTGTCGCCTGTTTCGCTTCTGTGAAGACTTGCCGTCTCTCCGACGATCGTACTGACCACCCAAACCCCTAAACCAGCAAAGCGTGAAACCAAAACTGGCCCAGAGTAATTAAGTTTTCGCGCAAAATCCCAGGTCCATCCTCTTATCAGCATGGCCTTTCCCATGCCTCCGGCATGTGTGCAGGTGACGTAGACCTTCAAGCTCTGAAGGTGCGATCAAGCGGGGGGCGGTGAAGGGGCCCTTACAGCAGTTAAAAAAACATTTAACCCAATAAACTACATCCTAAACCCTATGCAGACCCGGCATTTTTGCGGCTCTCGCGGTAGGGTCCCTCCATTGTCTGAAACTCCCAAACCGGTAGCCACAAAGGCCTTTTTGTGTGCAGAAAGTTTGGTCAGGAACGACGCATGGAGGTAACCCGTCTTGTCTGCGACTCTAGGCAAAGACAGTTTCTCTTTCGCTCGGCCCTTTCGTGAGATCTGTGGTGAGTCTGAGCGCAACGCAGCAATAGGCCGACCCTACGGACGCCCTTCAAGCCCTGTAAACAATGACCATGAAACATGCCACACACCCCAAGCTACCTCAACTCGAAAACCCCTAAAGTTACAGGGTCCCTTGGTGTGATTTCTTGATAACAACCCAGAGAGCCCAGTAGTACCCCTTACTTAAGGAATGAATATAACCTGAATCACGACATCAAGCCCTATATAATTTAAGCCATATTGCTGTCAATTAAGTATAGCAGAAAATCATAAGATGAAGCCCTGTATAATTTAAGCCATATTCCTTAGTTAAGGGGTATTGGGCTCTCTGGGAAGAGGCGAAACAAGCCTGGGGTCTGACCTCGGGGGATGCGCTTGTCACCTCCAGTCGAAAACCTAAACCCTACCTGAACCCCGAATAGCATACCTTTTCAGGGTTCCCTAGTATGATTTCTTTATATAAGTCCATTAAAAGGGCGGTTACTTGGGATTAAGGGAGGATTACAGGTGTCTGGTTTAGCTTCTGCCTTAACCCCGAATACCGTACCTTCTTAAGGACCTCATATTAGGGAACCCTAAAAAAGGTAGGTTCCTTAGGGTCCACGTAATGCCTGACCCCGAAACCCAAAATAGTGCCTTCAACCTATACTATATCCTAAACCCTAGCCCTTATTCCTAAACCGAAAGCCATAGTCCCTGAGCCCTTAACCCTAGCCCCCAAACCCGATAGTCCCTAAACCCTAGGCCCTAAACCCCCTAAGGTAAAAGCCAGAGAGTTGGAATATGATTATCCTAACCCTTCTATGGTAAATTATAGGGTATCTTACCATGAAACCATATTTCAACTTTCTGGAGTTCCCTGTAAACTGTGCACAAGGCCAAGGCAGAGGCTTCGCCTCGCGATCTCGCCACGGTCCAGGCCGGGGCTCGTGTTGCTTTTGTTTTGTTGTGTTCTGTGTGTTTTGTTTTTTTTTGGGGCTTAGGGTTCAGGATTTGCAGTTTATTGTGGTGTTTTTGATGATGTGGCTATATGTGGCTATCGTGCTCATTTTTTTCGGGTTTGTCCGTTGCTGTAGGGCCTTTATAGTGTTTTGTTGGGTTTTGTGGTGTGTTCCGCAAACCACCATAGCCTTTGCTTGTGCAGGATGGGAACTCTCACCTTGGAAATCCACTTTGCGCCTCAAGCTTGACTAGAGGATACAGAAGTCCAGAAGCATGTCTGGTTCAATGCGGCCTGAAACGATTGTGCCAAGGAGCCCTAAACCCCTAAACCCTAAACCGCGTGTCAGGAGCCTGAATGCAGCCTTGAGTTGGAGAACAGCCATCTGCATTGGGTACGACCCCCACTCAGTAATAGTTGAATAATATTCATAATATAGATATATTCGGACCTGAGTAGTAGCCATATTATAGACTATTACTGTATGGGGGTTACCTAACATATGCAGCTATCAACTTCAGCTGCTTGCGGCCTGAGCCAGGCCTATGCGGTTACGGTCTTCTGGTCCAAAGGCGGCGAGGCACACCTGGGGGTGGTTCGGGATTATGCGGGTTTCCCAAAATGGGGGACCCTAATATGGTACCCTTAATTGTAAGATCGTTACTATAGGACCCCCCAAAATAAGGTACCCCTAATTTCGGAAACTCCCAAATCGGTTTTGTCGTAGGAAGCCAACAGGGTTTAGGTTTGATGATAGGGTCTAGGGTTTAGGGTTGAGGCTTTCGTTGCTACTTTGGGTTTCGTGTGTCGGGGTTTTAGGGTGTAGAGCTTTAGCATGTAAGGCTTGCCAGGGATCATCTTGTGAGTCCTGAACCCAAGCATCTCGAAACGAAATCATTACACCTACGGTTGATGATATAAATCCTGCATGACCTTAAGGACCCTGAACCAGCGGAATTATGGTATATTCCTCATTGCGGGTAATGCAGGATTTGATAATTACACCTATGGGCTTCTAGTCAGTTCAGGATGCACCTGCAGCCCCAGACGCAACAAACTAGTAGGTTGCGAACCTCGTAATCAACTATAAGGTCTGACCCTGGAAGAGGCTGAGAGCTGTGGGGTTGAGGACCCTGAAGAGGTGAAGAAAACTTAAGCCCTAAGCCCTTCATCCTGAAACCCGAAAACCTAAGCCCTGAAACAACATGAGGCTTTAAAAATCGCAGCCCCGAATCCTGAACCCGAAAAAACCCTACATTCCCCAAACGCCTCAGCCCTGAACCCCTCCAAGGCGCAGCCTCCGAACCTAGACCCCCCAAACTACCCTCTTATATACCTCAAATGCCCCCACTGTTAGGGGCCGTAAGGACTCTACTACCCTCTTATATACCCCAAATACCCACTATTAGGGGCCATAAGGACTCTATGAAAGGCCGCTTTAAGGGTCCTGGGAAGGTAGCCGCCTTCGATGCTGCCTTGGCCGTTCTGAGGCGAGATCGCTCCGCTGAGGCGCGAAGGTTCAGGGCTGCAGGGGTTGATTTATGGAGCTCCTTTAAAGGGAACTCCAGAAAGTTGGAATATGGATTAATGGTAGGATTCCCCTATAATTTACCTTAAAGGGATTACGATAATGATATTCCAACTTTCTGGCTTCTACCGTAACGGATCCCTCAGAGCAGCCCTCAGTAGAACCCTTAAAGGATCCTTTAAGGGATCCTTCCCGGGATCTGTATCGGGTTTTGTTCATGGGTTTAGTTTTTCAGGCGTCCTTTGAGGGACCCTTTACGGGATTAACGTTTATGGGTATTCGGGGTTCATGATTTTGTAATGGTTTGAGGGTTATGGGCTTCGGGTTTTAGGGTTGTGTGGTTTCTGGGTTTAGGGTTTGCGGTTTATGGCTAAGGTTAGTGTTTAGGATATTTTACTTTTCATTTCAGCTCTCACTGTATTTGTACATGGTCTTCACATCTGGTATCTGCCTTCCAGCATTGTTATTCTATCGCTACTAGTCTGATTTGTTGGTCAAATCTTCTTATTGCGGTTTCTTACTCGCTAGATCAGTCATTGTCGCTTGGTTTGGTTCCTTTCGTCTGGCTGTCTGTTTCTGAGGGGGAGCATTGTTTAGACCTTTGGATTCACGGTTTGGAGTCTTCGAGTTTGGTTGTCAGGGCTGGTAGTGCAGGATTTTAAGGTTGAAGTGTTGCTGCTGTGTTACGTGGTCCTGGGTTCATACACAGGGGTTGATGGCTGACCGTAAAACTGAAACGCAGACAATCTAGTCTTGTGCTTGTTTTCAGGCAACCGTACGTGTTTCTATGAATGACTGCTACAGTTATGGATCACGCTTGCTGTGTTGTGGTGATGACAATGTTGGCAACGACGGCGATTGCCTCTGCAAGTGCAGACAGTTTTATCTGCGTCGAATCTATAGAGCAAGCAGCCTAAACCCGGAAACCCTACACCCTAAACCCTAAGCCCGAGGATTGCAGGCATCAAAAACGGAGCTCAAAAACAAACCCTCGTTAACCACTCTATAAGCGCGAGTCTTTAAACCTTCAACAATCGAGCACGCGCCTCAAACTTGAGGCGCGGCAGCTGGTGCTGTCTTTGGTGGAGGCCCTCTTGGTCCTAGGTACTGTTACGGGGGATGCTTCCCCAAATCATAATAGTATTTCCTATAATATAGACAGAAACCCTACCTTCTACTATAATTAGGTACTTTGGACCCTATGGGTATATGGGTTCCAGCTTAGGATAGACGTTGTGTTTATCCGAGGGTGGTTCAGAAAAGTTTGGGCTTGAGATGTTCGGCTCCCGCATGGGTCTTTGGGCTTTCAAGCTTGCGGGGCCAGGCGCCGGAATTAACGGGAATAGTACTGCGTTATTAAGTTATATATACTAAAAAAAAATATATATATATATACACACACACATTTTTGAAACTTCCAACCTCATTCTAATGAGCACGGCACTTATACTAGGGCACTGGGCCAGGAAAAGGTTGGCATGGATCACGGCACTTTCAAAATGTTGCTGGGGCAGTTGGAAACATCGGACACTTGTGCGACGAGGGAAGGACCATGCAGAGCCGAAATAAGTACGAATATTGTTCCTCGGGCTTCCGTAAAATATTGAGTAATTAGGCCCCGACATAACATTCTCGCTATGTCAAATGTGCTCTTTGGGATCGACTTCCATATGATAGCATGCTCAAACCCCAAAGCCCTAAGCCCTCAACCCCGGCCCTAAACCTCAACCCCCTGAACCCTAAACCCCGAAACCCCGAAACCCTAAACCCCTAAACCCTAAGCCCCGAAACCCTAAACCCCTAAACCCCTTAAACCCCAAACCCCCCTTCTTCACATCTTGGGAAGGCCTTCGGCCCAAGGCATCCGAAGAGCGCTTCTGCACGGAGGCCGTGTCCCCGTGTCCTCGCATTGCGCTTCCGACTTTGGATCTAGGGATTTTTGGGCTGTACAGTTTTGGGCCTTTGTAAAGGGTTAGGGGACTTTCACGGTGCCTGGGGTCCTCGTATGAGGTTTGGGGAGTGGTCCGTCATGTTGGGCTACAACTTACAAAGAGCCTAAAACCCCGAGCCCCTAAAACCTAAACCCTCAAGCCCTAAAGCCTAATCCCCAAAAGCCTAAACCCCACACCCCTGAAACCTAAACCCCAAACCCGTAAAACCTAAACCACAAGCCCCTAAGCCCTGCTTCGGACGCCTCACGCCCTTTTCCTCGAGGGTCGAGGGTGGTTTAGAGCTTAGGGTTTAGGGCTTTTTGCAGGGTTTAGGGTATACCTTTACCCCGAATAACTTACCTTTTCAAGGACTTCTATAAATAAATCATACTAGGGAATCCTAAAATTTACCCTAAAACCCTGAACCCTAAAACCCTAAAACCCTAAACCCTAAACCCTTAATGAAAAAGGTGGGTTCAGGTAGGGTTTAGGGTTTCGAGCCTCCCCCGACCCTGAGTCACGGAGCCCTGAGTCGAACATATTACTTCAGCATATAGGAAACTCCAGAAAGTTGGAATATGGTTTCAGGGTAGGATACCCTATAATTTACCATAAAGGGTTTAGGATAATCATATTCCAACTTTCTGGCTTTTACTGTGCAACCAAGAAGCTCCACTCTAAGTTTAGGGTTCAGGGGTTTAGGGTTTAGGGGTTTAGGGTTTAGGGGTTTAGGGTTTAGGTGGACAGACACATTGTGGCCACGACCACAGCTATGATGATGTCTGTTCTACTATTACTACTAGTTTTATGCTTTTGTTTGTCTTGTAATGTAACTGAAAACTGTTATTGGTACTATCGTCATCGTCATTATCATAATTAGTCTCAGCTTTGTTTCCTTCTCGTCAGTTTTACTCAGTTTTCTGGTAATCATGATTCTTTGTTCTTGTTTGTTACTGCTACTAGGAAATTGTCTTCATTCGCCGCTGCTGATCGAAACTCTGGATGTTCTTCTGGCTCGAGTTTGCAAGGGATGGAAGACACCTGCATTTTCCGGACGAGAGCCAGTTCTGTAGCACAAGACTCGATCTCCTGACTCTGGGTTTCCCTTTATATACAATGTATGGATCATAATAAGATCCTCAGGTTGGTTCCTTTAAAATCAAAAAAGGGATTAGAGGTTGCAGGGTCAGTTGCTTGAGTGTCCTCGACGGCGGCGGCATCGAATCTCCCTAGAACTCTGATGCTCATAAGCATATTGATATTTTTTACGCATTGTGACAGTAGTAGTAGCCATGAAGCATCATAGTATTATTCATATACCCCGAAACAGTAAACCTTGTAATTGTAGTCAGATCGTTGATAGTTTTAATCAGAAGCTCCTGAGCCCTGAAACCCTATAACTATAGTCATATCATTTGCCAATTTTAAGCACTAGACCTGATAGCAATAGTCATACCAATACTCTAACCAATCATAAAGCCCTAAACCCCAAACCCTGTAACACTAGTCATATCCATACCCATTTTAATCATAAGCCCCTAAACCTTAAATCCTCCACCCTGTAACATAACAGTATAGTCATATCAATACTCTTGCAGGAACTGGCTCTCAAGGTCTCAGCATGGGCCCCTGAGCCTCCGCAGAGACGCCATGCAGAGCCGAATGCCGGACGGTTTAGGGTTTAGGGTTTACCTTAACCCCGAAGTACATTTTTAAGGACTTATATAAAGAAGCTATAATAAGGAACCCTAAAAAGGCAGGTCTTTCCGGCTACAGGTAGGGTTCAGGAGGCTTAGATAAGCAGGATACAATCGGATAAAGTGGGGTTTAGAGCTTGGGTTCAGAGTTTGGGGGGTTCAGGGCTTACAGCCTCATGGGGGTTTCCGAAAATTAGGGTACCTTATTTTGGGGCCCTTACAACAAGGATCCCACTACGAGGTAGGATGAAGGCTTTGTATAGGTGGGAAAATTAGTAGTATAAGCAGTCTTTAAGGGGTTCGGGGCTTTCATACTGCGATTTACAAGGTTGCAGGGATACTTAGTAATGGCATTCCGGTATCCCCCCTATAGTCCCTACATGATTGCAGGATAATTATTTCCCTCAAGCCCGAGTTTGGTCGTTGTTGCCCCTATACTAAGTAGGACAAAGGATCCCTCACACAAGGACCCTTCTCCCAAAACCGTAAGCCCTAAGCCCTTTGAGGACCTATAAAACTATACCAGTTGGATGAAAGATCCCTTGTACAAGGACCCGGCTCCCCTACAGTAGAAGCCCAAAAGTTGGAAACCCCATAGCCTCGATCTTGAAGAGTAATGTATATGGAATCCCAGCAAGCACTATTAATCCGGTTTCCAACTTTGTGGGGTTTACTGTAACCCGAAACCCTTCGAGGACTACTATGCGCTGGCGGAAGAGCAGCATGGCCTTTGGGGCCAGGGCAGCGACGACATTCAGGAGACCGCTCTGATAGGTTCCCCTGTCAGGGCTTAGGCTAGGAAGTTTAAGTAGGGTTGGTTCCCCTGTCAGGGGTTTGGGTAGGAAGTTTTGGCTTTATGGTTTAGGGTTGAAGGTATGCAGTTTAGGATTCTTTTTTTGCGATTTGGGTTATTGTATTACTCCCACACGATCACCGCGACGACGAGTTTAGGGCTAAGTTTGGGCGTAGGGTCCAGGGTTCATCTGAGATTATTCCAATGCTCAAAGCACTACAGTCCCAAGGTCCGAGGCCTATACCCCAAAACCAAAGTCAGCAGACCCTATAACCCAAAACCCTAAACCTTAGGTACGGCCCCCACTCAGTAAGAGTTGAATAATACTCATAATTTAGATATAGTAGGACCTTAATACTAGCCCTATTATAGACTCTTACTGTATGGGGGCCGCACCTAACCTAAACCCTAAACCACTGAATCGCCAGACTCCAAAGCCCTGAAATCTCCTGCAACCCTGCGATCTCCGTGGCAGAGCTCTGTACCCTGCGCCTAACCTTATACCCCACGCCCTCTATGGGCTCTCAGCCGTACATCCTACTCCTAAAAACCCTGGGCCCTAAACTTTAAAATCCCACCGCTTGCAACCCTAATTAAGCCTATCAAATCCGTAACCCTGAGCCCCAATCTTTGCACCCTGCAATCATGCAAGCCCCAAAACCCCGAAACTTTAACTGCAATCCGAGAAAAAAACTGCCCCAAACCCTAAATCCCTAAACCTTCAACTCTGAGCCCGAACCCTCAAACCCCTCCCCTTTAAAACTCAAAACAAGCGGCTGTACCCGTAGGCTCCATAGTACCTCCTTTTTTGGGATTACCTTATAGGATTCTAAATATGAACCCCAAAAAGGAACAACTATGGAGCCTTATAAGGTAAACCCTAAACCCTAAAAGCCTTAAACCCTAAACCACCCAAAACCCCGAAACCCCTAAACCCTCTAAACCCTAAACCCCGAAGCCCTAAAAGCCCCAAAACCCCTAAACCTCTAAACCCTCTAAGCCGTAAACCCCTAAGCCCTAAAGGCCCCTAAGCCCCTAAACCCCTACGAGTAAAAGGAGCTCCCGGTGCCCAGCATGGGGTCGCAGTGGCTCTGGAGGGCCGCGCCCCTTGCGGCGGCACTGATGAAGGCACTGGGGCCCCAAAACATCGCAGACGGTTTAAGGGTTTAAGGGTTTAGGGGTTTAGAGGGTTTAGGGGTTTAGGGTTTAGGGTTTAGGGGTTTAGGGTTTAGGGGTTTAGGGTTTAGGGGTTTAGGGTTTAGGGGTTTAGGGTTTAGGGGTTTAGGGTTTAGGGGTTTTGGGTCCCAAGCGATCAGGGGACTAAAGGGCGTAGGGTTTTGAGTTTAGCAGTCCCCACAACATCATATAGGACGTTATGATTTTGGAGTTTTGGGGTTTGGGAATCCCCGCAGGCCATGGTTTCTGGGTTTCGGGTTGAGGAGCCGAGTGACTCTGGAGTTTCGCGTGACCCTTGGGGGTGGCGTTTGGGGTGGTAATCCCAAAGGGTCCAAGTATCAGTGTGGTATATACTTCGACCCCCCAAATACCCTAGAAGTATAAGTATATACCATAATGATACTTGGACCCTTCGGTAATTTAAGAGGGTTTGCGTATAGCCGGTATAGCATAGAGCAATCATACAGGGACCGTGAGAGAAGATGTTGAACATATTGGCATTGATTAAGGCGAAAGCCTACAGGACTGCAGACCGTTATGGAAGGTCTGAATAAGTCATGCAGTTTTTCAAGGCTCCCACACCTGTTTAATACGTTGAATATTATTCTCGCCCCCACATTGCCGCTCCGGAGGTTTAGGGCTGCAAAATTACAGGGTTTCGGATTCCGCATGTGCAGGTAAGAGCTTTTGGCACGTGGGAATGTCCAGGATTTGGGGATCAGGACCCGGGGTTCAGGGTGCAGGGGTTAGGGTGAGGGTGTAGGGTTTCTTCAGGTTCGCAGGATTCAGGGCTCTAGGAACCCGGGACCCTTTACAGAGTTGCGTGCACAATTAAGGCGGTTCGGGTTTTTGAGTTTTCTTGAGTTAGGGCCCCAGCACCCCAATACGGGAACCCTTCTGCTTAACCATGTAGGTAGGGTTTTTAGGAGGCTTCAGCGAGTCTATATTGGGCTCCTTAGTGATGGTATACTTTGGCTTTATTACCGTGGTACCAGCAACAAGACAAGCCTTCGTCCTACTTTAGGCATCCGTATCATACAAGCAGTAAGAACCATGCTACTGTTGATGATATGAACCCAGCATTACCTTTAATATCCCTAGACTATGATTATTCCTTATTATGCGCTGGATGCATATCATCAACTATCCTGCGCCTTTCCGGGCACCCTGGAAGGTGCGCTGCCCGTTGCCACCACCACCTCCACTGGCTGGGGACCTTTTGAAAGCACTGCAAGGGGAAGGGCCCAGGATGATCCAGGATGTTCAATGTAGGGGCCTTCTTACTTAGAGTAGGGTTTTATTTGGGGGATTCCTTGTTATACTTATAGTATAACATACCCTAATCCCGATTCTGATTATTTAGGCCCCTACAGCAGGGTTTGGGGGTTTTGGGGTTTAGTAAGGGTCCCGGCATCTCAGTAGGACTCTCCGGAATCTCCTTGGGAGAGCCCTCGGGTCTCTCTAGGGTATCGGAAATCCTAAGTTTAGAGGTTGCCCTTAGGTACGGCCCCCACTCAGTAATAGTTGAATAATATTCATAATATAGATATAGTACGACCTTAATAGTAGCCCTATTATAGACTCTTACTGTATGGGGGCCGTACCTAAGGTTGCCCTTTCAAAGTGCCAGGACCCTCGGTGATGGTTTTGGACAAAAGGCTTGTGAGGGACTCGGGTCATAGTAGGGGTGGAAGCAGGTCCCGCAGAATAGGCCTGGGTTTAGAAATGGGAGTTTCCCAAAACTAGGGGTATCTTATTTTGGGGATCCTTATAATAAGTATCCTACTATTTAGGGTACTAGATTAGGGCCCCCTATTCACACGGAAACTCCCAAATCTGTTAGCCTTCGGCCGGAGGTTCGACAGAAGTGAGTTTGGGGTGCAGGATGTTCATCTTGGAGTTGTCCAGCCTTTCCGGGTTTAGGGTTTGGGGTTTAGGGTTTATAAGCCCAAAAGCCAGAACCCCAAATTGCATTGTAAGCTACGTGCCGTGAGTGGCTGGTTTGGGGGGTCCCTATACAATCTACTCTTATATTTGGGTTTAGTTTCGCCACAACGTGCTGGGTTACGGTGTGGGTATGACGGATTGTCTGAGCATGCTGTTGTCTTTTTTGTTGTTCAGGCTTTGCTGGTTTGCCGGGTGGGATTTGATGGTTCAGAGCCAGCGCGAATGATCACATTGGTTCTGAGAAGCGTGTTTCACACAATCCAAGCTGATTCGCTCCAAACTTATTGGCCTGTAGTGCAATCTCGACAATATCCTTTCTGGATGGGGTCCCATGCCGAGATTTGGAAGCATTTGGACATCCAAACCCTATCCTTTCTAGCCACCAGCGGACGGATTCTTGACAACCATGTTTAGCTACCGGAGCCCAAAACCGAAATATCTTGAAGCCCAACGTACACCTAATGTCGGATTTTTTGCGCAATGCAGCTGGCCAGAGGCTGTCTGATACTATTCCGAAATCCTGAGTCTATTTATTGCCTTGAAATCAGTTGTAGCATGCCTTAGCGACATAGTTTTGTCATGACCCTGAAGAGACTTCTTGCAGGAAATTATTGGACCTTTGGACGCCCAAACCCTCTTCAGCAATTCCCAGGAGTGGCTGCAGGCCGCGAAGTTGCAGCTGCGCCTGCCCGTCGCCGCCTCTCGGAGAGTCGAAGTCAGAGTTTCCGGGTATAGAATATAATATAGGAGTTTCCGGTTTAGGGATGAGGGTTTAGGGATTGTGTTTGTTATTCAGGCTGGTCAGGGGTCTACAGCATGTTGATTGACATTTCATCTTTTGGGATTTAGAACTTGGTTTTGCTTTCCGCTTTTATGGTTCAGGGAGGCAACAGGTTTCGAGGAATCCCGAAGAGCGGCTTCTAGGACCCAGAGTAGGCCCTTATTCCCTTGTTTAGGGTTCAGGTTCCCTTATCACGCCTCTTTAAACCAAAAAGGGCACCCTTTTTGTTCCTAGGGTACTCTTGGGTCTAGAAGACAACTGGCCTAAGGCAGATTGTCGTTCGCAGGGTTTTTAATACGGGTTTGCTGTCTAGAAGTCGGCTGAATGTCCAGCGGGCTTTAGGGTACTAGATCGGCCCAATTTTTGGGACTTGCTGTAGAAACGTCTCTATATTTCATTGGGTGCTCTCAGAATTGAAACTTGCATGGCGGTCTTGTTTAAGTTCATGGCACCCTTTGCTAGGCCTTGCGGTTTGGCTAAACCCTTGCAGCAGCCTGGGTACTCAAAACTTGTCCAGGGCGCCATTGCTTTCAAAGCCGGACCCAGCCCACTAAAACCTTAAGAACCCTAGAACAACCCCTCATAGATCACTATATGAAGCCCTGTAGACTCAACAAGGAGTTCATCTATTCATGTAATAAAGTTTTAGAAAACTCTATTGTAACTTGTAAGTCGTTAAATGGATCCCTAGAAAGCCCCATACCAAGAGCCTATAAAGCTGCAGGTGTGTTTAAAGACTTTATAATTTCTCTATAGAAACCTACCAAACACACATAACAACTGTAGAGCCCTACACGCAAGACTCACGTTAAACCAATACGTAAACGAGCCTAGAAATCCCCCTCCCCCCCCGGTCCCTAAACCCTGAATGCTGAACCCTATAACCCCAAACCCTGAACCCGAAACCCTATAACCCCAAACCCTGAACCCTAAACCCTGAACCTTCAGTTGACGAGGATGGGCGCCACGACGCGGCCGGAGCATGGCAGACTGCAGGTTGCGCCTCCCATCCTGTGTCGACGTTGTAAGGGTTCCATTTGGGAGCCTAAAAACCACATAAGCATACGCATTTTATGGGGATATCCCTACCTTATTGGGCTTCATTATGAGGGGGTTTATACGGGATATCACTATCCTAGTTTTTGCTTATGTGCTTTTCTTGAGGCACTAATAATAAAGAGTTCACTGTTATACGGGTTCCCTTTAAAGGTGCTCTAGACTATAGAGGTTGCGGGGTAGGGCTTGGGGCTTACCTTCAGGATGTTCGGGGCTTAGGGTTCAGGAGTGGGTCTATGCAAGTTCTCTAATGGAAGGAGTCGATAAGGATTCTGCAAGGTGCTGCCAAATCAGGGTTCTGCAAAAATGCGGGTTCTGTTACGAGACTTCTACTAGTCTACAAGAGTTCGATTATGGTTTGTATACGGTTCGAGTCACGGCTCGAGACAGCTCTGTAGGGGTTCTTGATTGTTAAGAGGTTAAGGGCTGCAGGATTTTGAGGGCGAACGGCCGAGGGCTTCAAGGTTTGGGGTTGCAGGATTTCGGATTGATTTAGGGGGTGTCAGGAGCTTTCCCAGAGCCCTGAACCCAATACAATACACAAATTTTCGTCTATTGGGCAAAACTTGACCCAAATCGTGAAGCAGCACGCCGCATCCAAGCCGACCCTAAATGTCCTTCATAAAGACCGCAACCCAATGCCCCCAAACCGGATCCTCGTAAAGTAGGTAACGGAGTGTTCGCCAGCGGAGTTGAGACATACACCAAGCTTGCTGTTTTCTCATTCTGGCAACTTGAACACCTGAGACCCCTTTGAGAAGCCTAATGACTATTGCTAGGCCCAGTACCAGATAAGACCTTCCACACCTTTGCAACAAGCCCTGTAGAGCCGAAAATTAAGCCCCAATTAAAGCCCAACATAAACCTTGTGAAGTCGCATTAAACCCTCAATACCCTGCGCCGAAGGACTGCTGGGGCTGGAGCCCTTGCCTCTGGATCCTCCAGCGGGTATCCTTGAGCCCCAACGCCTTGAGGTCTGGATGCTTGTTTGCTTTGGACTCTTTAGAAACGGCTCCATGGATGTCCTTGAAAGCGAGTTTTTTGAGTGATTGATGAGGGTTCAGGGTTTTCGGAGTTTCGCATTCAGTAGTTCAGGGTCTGAGCGTGTTAGATTGAGATCCTGGATGTCCGATCTACAGTTTCAAGGCTGCGGGGTAAGGTTTTGGGGTTCAGTGTTTTGTCAGCAAAGGTCAGAGGAGCCGGAATCTCATGAATACCAGCTTTCAACAACAAAACAGTCAGCGTAGAAGCGTGTAGCAATTATGACTAGTCGGAATCGTTGCGGCGGCAGCGAAGAGCAACACGCAACAGTGACCAGCAAAAGGAGAACCGGAAGAGCTTAATCACGCCAAATCTGCACTTCTAGACCCCCTTCAATCCCCGCACTCGGTATCCTGAAACCTCAACCCGGAGAAAGGGTGCACTATCATAGTTAGTTGTCTTAACAAAGTAACCTCAACGCCTCGAAGCACCCCGGCCTCTTTTTCCGAGAGGCGCTGCTGTCCCAGAGCCGCGCGTGGCTCTCAAAACACGAGAAGGCCTTGGTTGGGGAACTCCTTGGCGAAGTCTGGGTTCTTGTTAAGGGGTTTAATTTAAGACACCATAATACAGAAACCATAGTATTTACAATCTAGATCCCTATATCATGAAGAATTGTAACTTAGATAAACTACATTGACAAGAACCCAGAGATGCTCGGATTTCTTGGGGGTGGGCTGTGGTTTAGGGTTGCAGGGTAATGTTTGGGATTCGAGTTTTCAGGGTTTGAGCTTTAGGGCTTAAGGCTTCGTGTTTAGGGTCTGCGTTGAAGAGTCTGCGGAAGCGCTGAGGCACTGATAGTCTTGAGTTTAGGGTTTAGGGTAATCTGTCCCCGCCGATTTTCGTCAAACCATGGTACTGATGCACTTGAAGACGGTGATGATGATGACGATGATGACGGCTCGTCTGTCAGAGTCTAACCTCACCACCGTTATGAATTTCAGCGTCGGTGTGATCACGTGACTTCGCCCCGGCGTGCGCGATAGGACAAGACCCATTACCTGGGGTATAGTTTTGAAAAACACTATAGGGACTATGCGGGGGTGGCCCTTATAAGTTATTCAGACCTCTGCATGAAGCCCACAAGGCACCGCGGCACCCACAGGGAGTGGTCCAAACAGAAGCTGACGTCGGAGACGCTGGGCCGACTTAGTACACTTTTCCTGGGTGCTCCCAAGGGTTTAGGGCTCGCTTCTGTTCTAGAGCCAGCCCCTGGGTTAATCAAAACACGAACGAATATTTCGGGTATGCGGAGTAAAAATCACGATAGTATTACTGCTAGTAATTAAGGTAACAACAACAGCCACCACAACCACCACAACCACGACAACAACAACAACACCAGCAGCAGCAGCAACAACAACAACAATAATAGTCATGCTCATAGCAATAATCTGTATCTTGCGATGATGACTTTGAGTCAAGGACGGCCCTTGCAACTGAGGCCGGCCGCAGCGCGGAGGTCGACAAAGACTGCGAGTGGATGAATCAGCACGTCCAGGCCTCGGGGTGTAGTTTCCCTTCCCTAAACCCTGGGTTTAGGATTTTCGGCCCACTAAATTTGGGATTTTAGGGCCGCTAAATTTGGGATTTTAGGGCCGCTAAATTTGGGATTTTAGGGCCGCTAAATTTAGGATTTTAGGGCCGCTAAATTAAGGATTTTCGGCCCACTAAATTTAGGATTTTAGGCCCACTGAACCTAGGATTTTAGGGCCGCTAAATTTAGGATCACTAAACCCTAACCCCTTAAACCAAAAGCGTGCGCTAAGCCCCAAAGTCCTAAGCCGCCCAATGCACATTCCCAAACCCCAGAGCCCTGAGCCTTCTAAACTCCAAACCTTATAATCCTTAAACCCCACAGCCTTCAGCTCACTAAACCCCAAACCTTATTCCTTAAACCTCAGTGCCGTAAGCCGACTAAATCCTATAAAGCCTAAATTAGGATTTAGGACTTCGGGCTTCGGGCTTGGGGCTCACCGTTGAGAGCTGTTGCGCGCATAGGGTTTAGGGGTTAGGGTTTAGGGTTTTAGGGTTTAGTGTTTAGGGGTTTAGGGTTTAGGGGTTTAGGGGTTTAGGGTTTAGGGGTTTGGGTTTGCAGGTTGGGGTCGAGAGGAGGTCAGAGTATGGAGGTTTAGCATCGTCTGGTCTTTTGAAATATTGCTCAGCTGAGTGGGTGCTCCTCAGCCCTATGTATGTAAGCATGTATGTATGTATGTACGTATGCACTTAACTGTTTATGCGTCTCCATTTCAAATTCGGTTTTATTCATGATGTGTGTGTGTGTGCAAGAAGTATCATCGCATAAGCTCAATCCCCACAACTGGCGAAGCCCTCAGCCGACCAATGAACAAAAAGAGGGCAGCATCATCCAAGGATGGCCAGAGAGAAACATCATCAGCTCTATGCTCAGGCAAAACTCTGAACCGAAACACGAACAGGAAATGCTCTCAGTGGTGGTTCCAAAATATGTCTAGCTTGTACAGCAAGTCGCGACGAATTTCGCTGGATTCGCTCGTCCTTTTTACTTGAACTGCCCTCCTCCAGCCCACATATCTCAATCGCCTGGGCTTGTTGGGTCTCCAAATGCTGCGCTCGTTTTATTGTCGCTGCCCTCCACACCCCAAGCCCCAAAATTAGCCCTGAACCATAATTAAGCACCAAGGTATAGATCCCAAGCTCCAACCCGAGCTGCAAAACCAAATGCTAAGCTCCCAATTCCATTTGTATTCCTCAGCAAGAGCCGGAACCCTAAATCCTGAACCCTGCCAAGCCCAGAACCCTAAACCCTATTCCCAAAATCCTAAACCCTAAACCCTAATCCCCAAACCCTAAACCCTAATCCCCAACCCTAAGACCTAAATCCCCAAATCCTAAAATCCTCAACCCCAAACCTCTCGCTCGATGTCACCGAGGACCAGCGCAGCCAGTCGGAGAGCGACGTAGGCGTGGCGCCGGCAGGGCTCGCAAGAGAAACAGATGCATCGATGACTCCCGAATTCGAGGCCGGATTTGTGCCAGCTGGGAAGGCTTGTGGTTCAACTTGGTATTTTGGATGGGATTTACAGCTTTAGGGTGAGACAAAGAGGGTTTACGGGTTCTAGTAATTACGTCGGGACGCAGGTTTGCGATCTGCACCTTCCATGCAAATCAACTTACTCACGGAACACTTACGCAGCCCTTACAGAACCCTTAGAGTCTTTTAAAACCCTAAAACACCTCATCGTCACAAATGAAAGCCCTGATGGCGGTTTAGTTCTTTTGCTCAGGGGCTTCGTAGCTATTGAGAATTACAAGGACTCGCTCGCTGATTGGAGGGTGTAGCTTGTCCTGTGTGCTAAACTACCCTAAGGCTCCATAATTAGTTCCTTTTTGGTGGTTCATATTTAGAATCCTACAAGGTAATCCCAAAAAGGAACTGCTGTGGAGCCTGTGGGCAAGCCCTTGAATCGGTAACAGAAACCCACAAATCCAAACCGCAAACCTACATCCCCAAACCCCAAACCTCAGGTAACCATGGACGTCTTGACGCAAGAAGTGCAGCCTGTCGACCCAGCCGTTGAGACTGGGAAGGATGTGCGGTTTAGGCGTTTTCTGAGGCTGTACATGGGTTTAAAAGTTTTTAAGCTGTCCGGGTCGGCTTTCGTAGGGTGTTTTCCACGCTTTCGCTTGGTCGCTGTACGTTTACTGGATGTTACAGGGTTTTGTGCTGGTTTCCAGAGCTGAGCACGTGGGTGTCGAAGCTCCATCCATGGGCACTACCCATATCACAGGCTCCATAGTAGTTCCTTTTTGGGATTACTTTATAGGATTCTGAATATGGACCCCGAAAAGGAACTACTATGGAGCCTTAGGCTAGTGCTGTAAGAATAAGAGGGTCGGGCCCCAGGCTATTGCAGAGTTTGGCGGTGGAGGTCGGCTTACCCAGAGGGTCCAAGTACCCAAATAGGGTTTTAGGTCCCAAAATCCATACTCTGAATGGTTTTTGGACCTTGAAACCCTACTATTTGGGTACTTGGACCCTTAGGGTTAGGAATTTGGTTCAGGATTCCTGTATATGGGAGTTTCCGAAAAGTGGGGGGTACCTTCCCGCAGGAGACGTTCCTTCTCGATGCACCACTCACCGAAAGCAGTGCCGTGAAGCCACAGGTTCCGAATAGAACAAATCCCGCGTCTTTTGGGGTTTACGGTTTTAGGGTTTGGGGGTTTTGGGGATTTCAGGGCTCAGGGGTTTAGGGTTTAGAGGGTTTAGGGGTTGAGGGGTTTAGGATTTAGGGCTTTTAGGGTTTGGCGTTTACCCCGAGGCTCCATAGTAGTTCCTTTTGGGGTCATATTGAGAACCCTAGAAGGTACTCCCAAAAAGGAACTACTGTGGAGCCTACGGGTAAGTTTTAGGGTTTAGGGTCGGGAAGCCTAAATCTTGAAACTCTAAACACTAAAGTGTGAAACTGAAACTCTGAACCCTAATTCCAAACCCTAAGACTCCCATACCCCTGAATTAAGAAGTATAACTTAAATCATATTAGGGATCCTACCCTAATGTAAGGTATATTCCTGAATTAAGGGATAGTGGAGTCTCTGGGCAGTAGGGCTGGGGGAGTTTCAGAAGCCCTGAAGCCCGAAGAGGCTTCTCAGAAGGAAAACACACCAAGCCCCCTCGCCCACCAAAACAACCTTCAACCCTACTATAGGTTTTTTCCTACACTATTTTGGGGGATTCCTTTATGATAATTATAGCTTAATGGGCCCCAAAACCCTAATCTAATTGTTAAGGCCCCTCTAGTACATCCTAACATCCAGAATCCCGGATTAAGCACTAAGTCCCAGCTGTGAGCCACGAACTCAAAGCGTCTGGAAGCCTTTGTCAACATAATATAGGGGCCTTGATAATTAGAATAGGTTTTTGGGGCCCATTATGCCATAATTATAATAAGAAACCCCCAAAATGGTATAGGTAATTATTGAGGCTCCTATATTATAAGGAACCGCTTGTAAGCCCCAAAAATGAACCCCGAAAGTTTCAAGAACCTCACAACCCTGCGCCCGCACACCGAAACCAAGACCCGATGATGAGCCCGTTTTGAATACTTTGGGTCCAGATGTCTGGCGTAGAATTCCCGGGTTAGGGTTTCTGATTAGGTAACTTGCCTTGTTTTGGGTTGAGGGTAGAAGATCACCATGATTGCAATGTGGGTGGTTGTCAAAATTGTGGTCCCTTTTTGGGTCCCAATGATAATACGGCACCTATTATTTAAGGGTACCCCAAAAGGGACCATAATTGTTAACAACCACCCATGTGACTTGGTTTGCAGATCGCTGCCTCTGCCTCGGCACTCCAGCCGGGCACTCACCTTTCCGAGGGGTGGCTCGGCAGCAGGGAGATGCATCTCAGGGACTCCAATATGTATCCCTTAGCTCCCAAGGTTCCTTTAAAGGGATCTACAAGGGTGCCTAAAGGGGATCTGTATATGGTTTAGGGTTTAAGGGGCTTCAATGTCCCTGAATCAAGGAACATACCTTAAATTACAGCAGGGTCCCCACCAAAATGTAAGGTATATTCCTTAGTTCAGGGGTATTTTTGTCTCTGGATGTTGAGATTCATTACCACAGTTTTGTCTTTCTTTTTGTTCGGGGGGGTGGTTCTGGTTTTGGGTCTGCCTGTAGTAGAGACGGGGGCTAACACTGTGAGGACCCGAAACCTTAACGCCGAAGCCTGGGACCGCACAGTCCTGTTGAAGCCTCATTTATAGGATCCTTAAGGGAGGGTGGTTCAAGGGGGCAGGGTATAAGGAATCCTTAGGGGACTGTAAGGGAACTTTAGGGAGTACTAGGGAGAATTAGGGATCACTAGGCTATATACCCCCCTTGGACCCCCCTCCCTTAAGGATATTACAACTAATGCCTGACGCCCTTAACCCCATCTTAACCCTACCCATAGGCTCCATAGTAGTTAGGACCCTTAGGGTAAGCCCTCAACATTAAACCTGATGGACGTAGGGGGTTGAGGTTAAGCTCAATGATGTCCAAACTGAGGCCCCAACATAGGCTCCACCTGGTAAGGTATTCCTTCTGGTACATGCAGTCGGAAAAGGGCCCGCAAAACAAAAAAAAACTGATGGACGCAAGTGCCCGCTTTCTCCCGACCCTAGTCTGAGTCGGCCTTCCGGTTGAGACCTCGCGGATTAGTCGGACAAAGAAGCCCGCCCTTCCCCCCCTTCCAAAAAAAATAAACCCTGAACCATAAACTTCTTAAACTCCCTCAACCTTAAGCCGTATAAACCCCGAAGGGTGACCCAGGTGGAAAGCAGACGCCTCCCATCCCCTGGCGCTGTGCAGCCTGGAGCCTCTTTTCACTTTTGTTGCTCAGCGGCCGTCGGGGCTTTTAGTGATTATAGGGTTTACCTAGACCCTACAGAACCTGCCTTTTTAGGGTTCCCTATTATGATCTCCTTCTATATGTCCTTATTAATTTCCTTAAATAAGTCCTTAAAAAGGTAGATTATTCCGGGTTAAGGTAGGGTTTGGGGTTTAGGGTTAGGATTTAGGGTTTAGGGTTTTAGGCTTTATAGGGTGTAGGGTTTAGTAATCATGCTGGGCTCTGTGATACATTTTGGCTTTAATCATAAGGGGAGGGGTGTCTACCTTGTCAGCAACAGAGCTTCCTACAACACGTATAAGTAGACTATGTAAATAGCAGGCTTACTTCTGCGGTTCAGGCCAGGTGCAGATCTGTGAACCCCAAACCAGGGACAACGAGCGCATTTTCCTTGTTATACTTGGCTGGAATATACTACAATAGAACATGCTATACGATGTTGTTCGATACGATACTAATGCCATAGTCTACCATACTATGCTATACTACTAGATACCATACATAGTACACTGGGCTGTCGATTCGCGTTTGGTGGGTGGTCGAGCTTTGCGCGCAGAGGAGGCCGTTATCCTCGGGCCTTGAAATCAAGGCCCCGAACCCCATGACTATAGGGGCCTACATAACTACCAATACTATCTTGGGGCTTCCGTTAAAGGTATCCTTTAACAGGGGTCATAAGGGTTACTATAAGGGTACTATAATGCAGGGGCTTAAATAATAACTTCCAATATAGCCTTATTATAAGTACACTATAGTGGGCTCCAAAACCCTATTCTAATTGATTAAGGCCCCTATATTAACCCCATCTCTCTCACAGCGAAGCTTTGAACCACTTTATACCCGTATGTTATCAGGTGTGGTGAAGAGTGAACCTCAGGCCGTGGATCCATGAGCCCACTCCCATCTGCAGGACCTTGCGATGATGGGCGTGGCATCGTTGCCCTCGATTTGGGAGCTGACGGGTCTGACGCCTGAGCCAAGTGGGGATTTACATTGGTTGAAAACACATGAGAAGAATTACCATTCTTGTAAAAGTGCGCGTGTAGTCCCATGTATGGCATTTCACTATAAATTACTAAGTAGATGTACATCAGCAGGTCTACTCATGTCTATGGAGGTATACGCTTGCTTCAAAGTTCTATAGAGCCCACTGCCCTTTTCCATCCAAGAATGTACTATACCCTATAAATCATGATAGATTCCCTTTCAGGTGTCTTCTTGAATGTTGGGGCAAGTTGGGCAGGCCCTTTGAACAGAACCTAATCCCCTCACACAAAAAGCAACACATCTATTCAACCCCACAGGTGAACCCAAACATCGATTGCTCAACCGACATGTGAAACCCCAAAACAATAAAGCATACAGACCTTGCTCTAGACAAGACTACCTTAAATCCGATAACCTTGACCTTGCACCCTGGATCCTGAACCTTACTATGGGCTTCTGAACCATTGGTACTAGTGGCCCTGAGTGTCCCTACATAATACAGCTGCCCCATCATCCTACTCTGTCTCTTCCACGCCCCTTAGACCAGTCCTCAGACCTGTGGCTCGGAACCTTGACCCTTTCACCCGTACCCTAAGGGTCCATGTACTCATATACTTATATACATTGGTCTTAATGTAGTCCCTCTATAGGTACTTTGGGGTTCATGTATCTCTATATGGGTAACCCTAAACTCGAAAGCCTTACGTATTCCTACACTCAAAACGTTCGACCCTAGGGCCTCAAACAATCGAGACCCGGTGACTGGAGAACCCCTTCGTACTTTCTTATTCAGGTCGACCCCTGAAAATCCGAAAACTAGGGCCCGTCAAATTGAACAAGCGAAGTTTATCTTTAATCATGACTGAAGTCCTACTCCTTATGGGACATGGGAGTCACTGGGGACGCTGAGAAAGCCAGCAGCCCTATGCCCAACACAACCCGAGCACATCTCTTATAGAAACTCAAACAGAACCCGTTGGAACCCGTACACCACCCGTCTAGAGCCTTGTGAGGTGAAACCCTCATAAGTTATGACACCGCCCAGCAGCGTCGTTGAAAATGGACGCATGCACTTCTTGAAGCCGAGGAAGATGAAGCCTGAACCGCTAAACCTAAACCCCTAGCCCTAAACCCTCAAGGCCGTAATTCCTAAACCCCTAACCCTAAACCCTCATGGCCATAAAGCCTAAAGCCAAGGAACGACGTTGAGAGTTCTGCCTTTCCAGAGCTGACTGCGGGGGCGACGGAGGCGCCGGAGTTCCTCGAAGAGGGACACCTTCGGCGGCTTGTCTCTGATGCAGGGGGCTGGGGGTGTTAAGGGATTTATACGGGTCCAGAATGATAAGGTTGGGGGTGTTAAGGGGGTTTATAAGGGTCGATAAGGTTTTTATAGCGGTGTCATGGAGTTTTGTCGGTTCTCGGCGGCCTGGCCATTGGGGCGCGGGGTCTTGGGGAGGGTGGGGAGGGGTTTGGTGCTCAGGGCTTGCAGTTACGGCCTTGTAGGGTTGAGGATTTGGGTTTGGGGGTTTAGGGATTCCCAAAAGGTCCATGTATCATTATGGTACATACGTATAGGGTATTTTGAGGGTCTAAGTATATACCATAATGATACTTGGACCCTTTGGGATTTAGGCCTTTTCGAGTTTTAGCTGGGTTGATTGTCCAGGGGTTCGGAGTTTGAGTTTGGGGGACTGGGGTTTGGCTTTGAGGGCTTCAGCCACGGCAGGGTCTGCAGGGTTTTCGGCGCTGGCACCTTCGGTTTCTTGTTTTTTGCGTGTTGGGTTTTCAGCGAGAGAGGTTTGCAGATTTTTGAGTTGGGGCTCTTGGTTGCCACAGATTAAACCATCCTAAACCCCGATGTTGTTCGTATGCCACCGGCCAGCCCTTACCCATAGATTTCTGGATACTAAACCCCGATGGCCCTACCCTCTAAGCCTTAAACCGCCAAACGAGCTCGAGCCTATCGTGACCAAGGTTTCAATGCTCGCCGTCTGTCACTGAGGCCACATGGGACTAGATCTTGAGACTACATCCGACTGCCTCAAGCCCTACGGTTGATGATAGAAATCCTGCATTACCCTGAGAACCCTAAACTATGGGAATTATGGTATATTCCTCATACTTATTATGGGTAATGCAGGATTTTTATCATCAAGCCCTAGTAAAGCTTTACACAGTTTTCAGGGTGGGGGATTTGGGAGGTCCCGGAGGCGCATGGATTAAGTTTCATCGGTTCGGGTTGAGGGATTTAAGGGTTCAGGGTTTAGGGTTTGTCGGTTCGGGTTTAGGACTTACGGTTTAGGGATTTCAGGCTTTAGGAGCTTCGTTACCCAGACCTGCACTACCCCCTCCATATGCCCAGCATGACAGGCTTCCAGGCCTCTGCAAGAGGCCATGAGAGGGGTTATTGAGGACCTAAGCCCCGAAACCCTAGACCTTAAACCCTAAGTGAGCACGGAGTTCATATACAGGAATCCTAAAACTGTTTCATACTTCATAAGCCTACCTCCACCCCCAAACTCTGCAATAGCTTGAGGCCTGAAACATCTAATTCTTACAGCACTACTCTCAGGCTCATATTTAGAATCCTGTAAGGTAATCTTAAAAAGGAACTACTACGGTGCCTCTGGGTAGGTTCCAAGATCCACAGATTAAACCCGACGCCCGAAGCCCTAGCATAAGTTCCTCAACCTTTCATCTCGCAGACTGCTCTTCAAGTGGCCCTTGTGGAACAGTGCAGTAGCACTTAACCCTAAACCCTAAAGCCTTAAGGAAGGACTGACTTATACCCTAAGAAGAGGCGTGCCTAGCCAGCTGCAAATCGCTGCCCTTCCAGGACGAGGCTCGCTCCACTTCGCATGCTTCTCTTAGGTCCCCCTCAACCTTAAACACTACCCTAAGGCCCCATAGTAGTTGCTTTTTGGGGTTCATATTTAGAATCTTATAAGGTAATCCCAACAAGTAACTACTCTGGGGCCTCTGGGTACTCAAGGCGGACTTGTGATGCTGTTGAAAAGGGAGGTCAAAACGTAATGGTTCCTTATTATGATTAGTTATAGTAATAGTATACCCAAAAACCCCATTCCAACTATGAAGCCCCTACTACTACTACTACTACTACTACTACTACTACTACTGCTACTACTACTACTACTACTCAAGGCAAAGTATCCGAATCAAGGGTACGGTCTTCTGATCTCTGACGAGGAGATTCCCGAGATGAAGCTTCCAGAGGAGTCGCAGCTCACAGGACTGTTCTGCGGCGTAGAGGTTTTTGTTGGGGGATTTGGGGTGCTCATATATAGTCGGGGAGTTCAGGGTTTAGTGTTTTGTGGAATTTGGGGGACGGTTGAGGGCCAAGTTTAGCGCTTAGTTTTTCTGCTTGAGGACTTGGCTTATGGGTTTGGGGGCTGCGCAAATTTAAAGTTTTGGAGAACAGAATTGTGGCGCTTGGGCATGCATGACCTCTCGCATCTAGTGTCGCGACGTATATATGTAGGGAGCCTCTGTGCGACCCTCACAATTTCAACCGAGGCATATGTGTTTGCACTTCCCCCTCTATCTTCGACATTGAGAAACGGGAATCTGAGCGGTTCAATCCAAATCGCAGCCATGACTGCAGGACCTAATCTCCGAACAGTTCGAAACAAGATCCCAATTGGATTGGCTATCCTTAGCTCCCAGCTCTATCACCGTCCAGGGCTGAAAATGCCGGATGAGCTCACCTCGCTGTTCGCCGGCGAGACTTTGGCATTCCCCAAGGCTCGGCAGTCCGTCCCGACACCTCACCTCAAGACAACGAGTAGAGTAGACGGTGTAATACACCAGTACTGCACCATTAGGAAAGTTACAGACAAAAGTGGGTAGTTGTCAAAATTAGGGTCCCTTTTGGGGTCCCTTATATAATACGGCACCTAATATTTAGGGTACCCAAAAAAGGAACCCTAATTTTGACAACCACCCATATGTAATGTATATAGAAAAACTCAAGCGCAGCGCGAATGGTTGCCGAGGTCGCAGTATGCCTCGCTGGTGCTTAGGGGTACTTAGAAATATTTTTATTTTTTTGTTATTATAATCCCTAAGAAACGGCTATTTTTTAAAAATTTTTGCTAGGGTTCTAAGTTCAGTATAGGGTGGTAGTAAGTACGTAGTACTCGTCGTAATGGTAGTCGTCGCAGTAGTAACTTAGTAGCAGCAGTAGGTAATGTAGGAACCTGATTAAGAAACAGTGGTACGGTTGATGATATAAATCCTGCATTACCTTAAAGACCCTAAACTATGGGAATTATGGTATATTCTTTATTATGGGTCATGCAGGATTTATATCATCAACCGTAGTAGTTCCCGAGCTGGACCCAAAACCCACAGCTCCTGAGTCCCAAAATCCTAAGCCTCAGAACCCTTGCTTGTAAGGGTTTAGGGTGTAGGGGTTTAGGGTTTAGGCAAAGCTTTCAGGACCTAAACCCTACCTCAACCTATCAAAACCTACTTTTTTGTAGGGTCCCTATAGGTTCCATATTAGGGTTTACAATAAGAGCCCACAAAAAGTAGGGTAATGCCTACCCTAAGGCCCCATAGTAGTTCCTTTTTGGGTTTCATATTTAGAATCCTTTTTGGTCATCCCGAAACCCGAAAAGTGACTATTCTGCAGCCTCTGGGTAAAGAGCTTGCATGGTGGCGGAACCTTTGTTTCAATCTTGTATAATACGGAAGGTAGCTTAGGGGTTAAGATAGCTTACTGGTAATGCCGAAACCGAACCGACCCAAAGGCGCTACCAATCTGGCCGACGGAAGGCCTGAAAGGCGAAACCTTGGAGGAACGGGTGCCGCCTCCGCAGTTGGGGGGTTGTGGATGGCGGAGGGGTTTAGGGTCTAGGGTGATTTCAGCCTCAGGGCCTTTAGAGTTTAGGGCTTAATTGGGGTTTAGGGTTTAAGGTCAAAGGGGACCCAGAATGTCCAGAGTTTTCGTGAAGTGCGCAAGCACCAAGAAGCTCAGGATCTTTGTAGAGAACCTTAGCTGGATGATTGATTTTCACAGGACACATGCGACTGCCTCTCATTCATTCCACCAAACGAAACGTCCGCACAATGTTGTAATGTGCTGTATAGTATCGCACCAGGAACTTATATCAGAGTGCATGAGATGGTCTAACAAGCAGTATATGCTTCTGTAATGTTATAGAACAAAATAGAGTAGAACTAGGACCGAAGAGAATGGGACAGGTTTTGGTTATATTACATGGATGGATGGATGGATGGGTGGGTGGATGGATGGATGGATGGATGGATGTAGGTAGGTAGGTGGGTATGTATGCATGTATGTATGTAGGTATGCTGTATGCATATACGCATGTCGTCTTTAGCTTCCCGGTAGTTAAACTCTTTGGCCCTGAGACTTATTTGTGTGTGAGCGGTTTGGGGTTTGGGATTTGGGGTTTTGCTGTTGGGTTTGTGATTTGAGACATAGTGGCTTAAGGTAAATCGCAAGGAGTTCGAAGGCCGAGACACTATAGTCTCCATTGTTGCTCCTTGTTTGGGGTACCTTCTAGGATCCTAACAGTACAACCGGATGAGCCAGGTGAGGCGGTGTGCGCCGACGACTGCACCTACCATCGAAGGCAACTGGATGCCGCTCGGAGCCAGCAAGCGACTGAAGCCCCTACACCCTAAACCGTCGGACCCTTCCACAGCCCGGGAAGCCCGAAAACGGGTAGCAGGCCCGAGACCTAACCCTTCAAATCACTAGCCCGTGTAAGCTAGGGCTGAAGGGGTAGACAATGAAGTAGTCGATCGAGGCACCACTGATTGGAGCAACTACGTCAACAAGCTTTACATCTAACCTCAGAAATTCTCCTGTCCTGTCGCTGGCTTCAAAACACTACAGTAGCTAGGCCATTGGTGTTTTCGCCCTTATTGCCTCTTATCAGTCATCTTGCTTACGAAGCTGCTTTTCACGGGGGTAAGGCCCTGAACCCCATGCTCCCCAAAGGTCTGGCTTCCTTGCTCTGAAAAGGATGACCATCAACCCTCCTAAATGACTGTGAATGACCTCACTGTGGGCTCGATCCAAGATAGATCCGCAGTCCGCTGTTCAGTATAGAGGTTTGCAAATGTTATGAGTTTTTCTTTCCGAATATATTTATACTAGAATACACCCGAAACCCAACTCGAATTATGAAGGCCCCTGCGTCAGGAAACGAAGGGTTTTATCGTAAGCCGGTTGGATGTCGGACATCTTGACACCCGCGACCACATCGCTGAGCAATACTCCTAAAACTGTCACCCACCTCTTGCAAAGAAGACAACTAAAGTCACTAAAGGACATGTCATTTACCATGGCTAAGCCCATGTTGTGTCCTTGTATGTGCGCATGCCATGACATATTTTTTGTTTAATTGCTCAAGACGTTCGCAGAAGGCAAGGTTTGTAGCCTTCATCTCGCGTCAGATCTCACCCTAAGGCTCCATGTGCCGATATAGTAGGTACTTCGGCCTTAATGGGGTCCCTGTATAGGTACTTTAAGACCGAAGTACCTGCTATACGGGTACATGGAGCCTTTGCGACTAAGGCAGAGCACCTGTGCCAGCCAGCTGGCAAGGCCGGGGCGCAAAGCCACCAACCCAAGCCCGAGCAACTAAACCCTACTCTAGGGGCCTTACTAAATTACCAATACTGTTTTGGGGGGTCCTTATTATAAACCTATAATAACAGGCCCCGAAACCCTATTCTAATTATTAAGGCCCCTGCAGTAATCCTAAACCCAAACCCTTGTGGCTTATTGAGGGTTTGCGTTTGGTAGGCTTTGCTGGGATCCTCCACCCTAAATCCTAAACCTATAGAAACCAAAGATCCTAAAATCTAATCTCTACCAGGACACCCAAGTATATTACCCTTAAATGGAGCCCTGATGGTCCTTAATAGAGGGTATTGGGGAATCTAGGTAAACCACAGCACGCCAGATCTCCTCTCCCAACAACTCCGTTTTGCGGTCTTTCGGGGGCCTGGGGAATCAAGTTGTTTCGAGCATTCGGTCTGACCCCCTAAGCCTTACATCCCAAACCCGAAACCCCAAACCCCAAACACTAAAATCCTAAAGCCTACCTATAGTCTCCATTGTAGTTCCTTTTTTTGGTCAACCAAAATCCCTATTTTAGGATCCTAGCCATAAAACTGGTTAACCAAAAAAAGGAACTACAATGGAGACTATAGGTAAAATCCTAAACCCTAAATCCTTATCCCTAAACCCTAGTGGGCTGAAGACGCTTCGTGCAGACTCAAAAAGGCTTTTAAAAAGCCAACGGAAGGACACCCGGAGATCTCCCTTTAAGAGGTCCCAATAGATCGATGAAGGCCAAACGGGGGGGGGGCCCTAACTCATGTTTTGGGGGGTGGTATCTTCCCAGAATTCCGGGAGGATCCAAAAAGTAGATCCTTTGAATGGGGTTCCTACAAAGTACCCTTAGTAGTATAGGGCCCCAAATTAGGGGATCTACTTTCTAGATCCTCCCGGGGGTCTGGGTTATAGCTTCATATCATAACATGTTGTATGTGGAGACGCTTTTTTGTATGACGAAGCATTCAGGCTCGTATGTAAACTTCTTAAGGGTTTGTTCGAGAAGCATCGATCTGTTTCCTGGACAGCGCCCGTAGAAATAGAACACTGCAAACCCCTTTCGAGATACTAGGGTCTAGAGGAAACCCTAAACCCTAAACCTTAAACCCTAAACCCTAAACCCCTAAACCCTAAACCCCTAAACCCTGTTTTGTATTATGGCCCTATGTTGACCGCTATGGCCCCTAGATTAACCTGCCTGGGCTCCACACGGATCTCTACGTTTCTTAGGGGTACTCAGAAATAATTTGAATTCTTTGGTTATTATAATCCCTAAGAAACAGCTAAAATTATATTTTTTGCTAGGGTTCTAAGTTCAGTATAGTTCAAGTCTCGAGAAGGATCCCTAGGAGGGTTTCCGACTGCCCAGCTACATACCCAAAGCAAGCTCCCCCGAACTCGACCACCTCATTATAGGGGCCTTGGGAATTGCCTCTACAGTTTTGGGCGGGTTACTTGTGACATTTCCGATACAATATACCCCAAGACCTTGTACTGATCGTTAAGGGCCCTATGCTGTTTGAACCGAATCCTTAGGTGGCTCGGTTCGACTGCGTGGGACGCTGGGCAGCCTCACATTTGCCAGGTTCTCCAGTATTAGGTGTTAGAGGGGCGCTGAATCGTCAGACCTGCTAATAATTTCGTGAGAGTTCCTTGCTAAAGTGCTTATCACAGGGGGTTTCCTTGGATGTCAGACGGATTGCAGGCAATCATCCTCTTTTCTTCAAGGTATAGGGCCGGGAATTCGGCTTGTTTTTGGGATTGTGATACCCCAAAGCGCCACATCTCGAAGGACTTGCACACCTTTACTTTAAGAGGAGGCTGAACCTTGAACCCCGCTACCACACTACTACTAGCCCCACCACGTGCAGCTGTCAAGCATTCGCCCGAGGAATCGGAGGAACTTGCGAATCCGAGCTGGCTGAAAGCGGCGGTGTTCAAGGCAAAATTTCAATCAGACAATTTTATATAGTAAGTTTTGTTTTTTACTGCTACCCTTTCTCTTACTTCAGGTATCGATTCGCGGGTTTTGGGACGGTTTATGGAGTTTGCGGTGATCTAAGTTTTGGGGAGTGAGGGTTGGGCTGGCCTGTGAGGACTTAGGATTGAGTGTTTTGAATTTGGCGCTTTGAGGGTTAATTTAGAGTTTTTATTTACCTGTCACTGATCCCCAAACCGTAGAAATTGTAGGCTCAGACGACACACTTGGAGTGTTTAGTGTATAGCCCTAAAACCACGAAGGGTTTTGGATCCAAAGGTAGGATTTACCTTAAGGCTCCATAGTAGTTCCTTTTTGTGATTCATATTTAGAACCCTATAGGGCAATCCCCCAAAGGAGCTACTACGGTTGATGATACAAATCCTGCATTACCCATAGTAACCATCACTCCCATAGTTTAGGGTCCTTAAGGTAATGTAGGATTTATATCATCAACCGTATTGAGCCTCTGGGTAGGGTTTAGAAGCTTCCTCTCCTGGCTCGGAGGAATCTTCCATCGTGGCCCATGCCCGTCGCCTGAGTGTGCCTTCGCTGAAAACTTAAAACCTTAACGCCTAAATCCTAAGCTGGATTTGGGAATACCATACTTTCATACTAGTTTTGGACCTGTTCCTTACAAGAACCATTATGAGACCAAAGTTCACACTTGTTTCTGCGTGGTTTCCCCAAAGCAATTTAAAGCATCAACTCCAAGGTCTAAGGGTCTGAGCTCGTTTCTCAGGTCATGTCTGTGTCCTGGGGCTGGGTAGGTGGCCGTTAACTTTGTGGGGCTTAGTAACCGTACTATACTTCAAAAGGTTAACCTTTTTTGGGCTCGGGTATTCAGCCCCCGAGGTGTCTACCTACTACATCCTTCTGGACTTGTATTGAATTGAATGTTGGGGCTTTCGCCCTGCTTACGAAAACCTTCTTGAGAGTTTAACTTTTCAGTCTCACCTCAACTGCCCCAAACAAACACTATTTGAAGCCCCCTTCATTACGATTTCCTATACGTCCTCACCAAGGCAGGTCATTTGCAGGTCACCTGCAGGTCACCCGATGAGGTCAGCTTTCATTCGTCATGTTATTTCCGTGGTTTCCTATGTGTTTCTTATTGTCGTGTCTGTGGCGTGCGAGTACGGTCAGTACGTACACATCTTAAAAGTTTCGGTGCCATGGCACGAACTGAACATTCCCTCACACCTTGAACCCCAGAAGCCATGGAGAGTAGCTTTAAGGTGCAGGTCACGAACTCGAGCGGAATAGACCTCAGCATCACGCTGGCACTCAGGAGCCCGACGACCCATGTGCTGCTGCAGTGGCGGTGGCTGTGCCTGTTTTTGACAGATTTGCGGTTTCGGGTTTGGGGCCTAAGCCTTAAACCCTAAACCCCCAAATCTTGCACCCCATGCCCGAGTCACAGAACCTCCCGCGATTCGCATTTCAGCCCTTGGAATTCAAATTGGTATGTAGGCACCTGCACTTAGGTAATAATAGGTAATATACGGGCCTAACTCATTACCAATACTATTTTGGGGTTCCCTTTTTCTACTTATTAAGGCCCCTTTTGTAAACCCTTATATTAAACCTTCAAGGAACCCTTATGATACCCTTTACATAAAGCAACCCTAAAAAAGTTTTGAGGCCGACATAGTAGGGGCCAGAAAGGTGCTTCGGGCTGCCAGGTGCCCGCAGCCGCCGCCGCCACCGACACGGCAGAGGTCTTCACTTACACCGCCTCCTCACAGGCGGACAGTTGCAGACAAGGGTGTTTTGGGTTTAAGGTTTAGGGTACCTTTTGCTCACCCCTTACCACCCACAGCCTATCCTAAGTGTTTGCCTCTTTCTGTCAATGCTCCGTCGTCAATATTGCTCCCTCCCTGTTGCGGCTAAGCCATCGTCACTGACCGCGAACCTATTTGTGTGTGGAGCCTTTATGTTTGTTTCTCGACTGCGGCCACAACTACCACCTGCACCACCACCGCCTCCGGCACCTCGCTTCCACTATACCAATCGACTTCGGCATCACAATTTAGAGCACTAAGGGCTTAGGGTTTAGGATTTAAGAATTTAATGGTTCGTGGCTTATCCCGACTCGTCGTCGTCATCGTCCGTTGAGACTCCGCAGCCCTGTCAGGGTTTAGGGTTCAGGGTCCCACTGAAAGCCGCAGGGGCTTAAGTCCAGAAACATTTCGAGGGCTCAAGAACCCGTTAGCACCCATCCATAAAGTTCAGCGGTGAATCTCCTACCACTGCTTGCTGTGTTCACTGTTGCGCCTTCAACTGCCATTCACTCGTGGTAGTTACCCTGAACCCTATAAACCCTCAGCGCTGGCTTGCTCTTCTTTGTTCTGGCTCGCATGATTGCTACTTTTCCTTTTGCTGCTGTAGTTAGTACTGCATGCTGATATGGATACCATTGTTAGGGTTATGTAGCCGGTTGGCAGGCAACCGTTGGAAAGTAGCAAATGATTATTTAGTGATTTAGAAAGTGATCTGTCAGTGATTCATGTAGATCTTAAAAAGTGATCTGGGATAAGTAATAGTGATCTGTCGCCCGCAGAATAGTGATCTGCAGCGGGCGTAATAGTGATCTGTCGCCCGTAGAATAGTGATCTGTAGCGGGTGAAATAATGATCTGTCGCCCGTAGAATAGTGATCTGCAGCGGGTGAAATAGTGATCTGTCGCCCGTAGAATAGTGATCTGTAGCGGCCGAAATAGTGATGCGTAGCCGGCAGAATAGTGATCTGCAGCGGGCGAAATAGAATAGTAATCTGTAGCGGGCGAAATAGTGATGCGTGGCCGGCAGAATAGTGATCTGCAGCGGGCGAAATAGTGATCTGCGGCGCGCAGAGGCCCTGGGCCCCAGTACTAAACTTGGTCGAACCAAGCCAGGAACCGAGCCACCCCCCCACTCCACCCACCCCTGCCTCCTGCTGTGGATGCCTCTGGGTCGGTGGCCCGGCCCCCTTCCCCCCCCCTCCCCCCGCACCGTTGGAACGAGTTACAAAACTGGCCACTTGGTAAAGGGGATTCTTCTTCATCCAAAAACCAGGCTAAACAGAGCTTGATATGTGCGACCACATGGCAAAAACAAATGCGCCCCTTTTTTGTTGGCTGTTCCTAAAGCATCAACACGGTTGGAGACAAAATTGGAGCCCCTCTTTTTTTCTGGTGTTTGTAAAATAGTAAAACACATCTGGCCTGGCTAAGTGGAGCAGTGGAGCCCCCTTTGTCTTTGTTTTCGGAACGCTTCAGGACAACAGGGAAAACAAAGTCCACAACATGCTCCGCGCGCATCATGTTTTTTTTCTGATTTCCAGGCCTGAAAGCTGACCCAAGCCCAAAGCCCTAAACCCTACAACTCCAGCGCTCAATCCCGAACTCCAAACCTAAAACCCAGACCCCGAACACCATAAACCCGAGGTGTTTCGGTGTCGGGAATCTGCGGGAAACCCAGAGCATTATGAGCATCAGCCAGTTCTTTTGGGCGGGTCAAACCGTTTTTCCTTTTTCCTTTCAAAAAAAATCAAAAACCAAATGGCCGCGGGAGGAGCCCCCCCTGCCCCCCTCCCTCCTTGTTTGGCTTTCCAGCAATGGGCGCGTTCATTAAATGAGATATCAACAGGTCTAAATTCTAAATTGAAAAAGCCTCCCACTCACTTCCAAATCGCCCTGTTGCAGCATTCGGTCGCGGAACAAAAGAAACATTCTGGTTTATCACTATTCCCACAGCTCGGATCACTCCTAGATCACTGAATAATCCACGATCGCTTGTAAATCACTATTCCCAAAGCACGGTCGCGGAACAAAAGAAACATTCTGGTTTATCACTATATTCCCACAGCACGGATCACTCCTAGATCACTGAATAATCCACGTTTTGCCTCGCTCCTGATCGCTTGGAAATCACTATTCCCAAAGCACGGATCACTCCCAGATCACAGAAAAATCACTTTTTTTGCACCTATGTCTAATTTGCGGATCACTCCGAAATCACATCAAAATCATTATTGTCAATCCTCCAGGACCGGCAATAGTGATCTGTGGCTGGAAATAGTGATTGGCAATGAAATAGTGATTTGAAAGTGATCTTTCACTTTCAAATCACTATTTCCGGCCCTAAATCACTCCAAAATCACTATTTCCGGGCCTAGATCACTCTGAAATCACTTTTGCCGGTCCTCCACCACCGCAAATAGTGATTTTGGAGTGATCTGGGGCCGGAAATAGTGATTTGAAAGTGATCTAGGACCGGTAATAGTGCTTGGAAACTGTAGCTAGGACTGCTGGGACTGCTGCTAGGGCTGTTTAGCAACCCTTGGAGTTCTTCTCGTAATTCGATGTGATAGCTCTCCGAACGTAGGTCACCCGCACATCACAATTATCTGCCTTAGATCACTGTCAGATCACTGTTTCCTGTCCTAGATCACTTTCAAATCACTATTTCCGGCCCTAAATCACTCCAAAATCACTATTTCCGGGCCTAGATCACTCTGAAATCACTTTTGCCGGTCTTCCACCACCGCAAATAGTGATTTTGGAGTGATTTAGGGCCGGAAATAATGATTTGAAAGTGATCTTTCACTTTCAAATCACTATTTCCGGCCCTAAATCACTCCAAAATCACTATTTCCGGGCCTAGATCACTCTGAAATCACTTTTGCCGGTCTTCCACCACCGCAAATAGTGATTTTGGAGTGATTTAGGGCCGGAAATAGTGATTTGAAAGTGATCTAGGACCGATAATAGTGCTTGGAATCTGTAGCTAGGACTGCTAGTGAGTGATCTAGGCCCGGAAATAGTGATTTTGGAGTGATTTAAGGCCGGAAATAATGATTTGAAAGTGATCTTTCACTTTCAAATCACTATTTCCGGCCCTAAATCACTCCAAAATCACTATTTCCGGGCCTAGATCACTCTGAAATCACTTTTGCCGGTCCTCCACCACCGCAAATAGTGATTTTGGAGTGATCTGGGGCCGGAAATAGTGATTTGAAAGTGATCTAGGACCGGTAATAGTGCTTGGAATCTGTAGCTAGGACTGCTAGGACTACTGCTAGGGCTGCTTAGCAACCCTTGGAGTTCTTCTCGTAGTTCGATGTGATAGCTCTCCGAACGTAGGTCACCCTCACATCACAATTACCTGCCTTAGATCACTGTCAGATCACTGTTTCCTGTTCTAGATCACTTTCAAATCACTATTTCCGGCCCTAAATCACTCCAAAATCACTATTTGCGGTGGTGGAAGACCGGCAAAAGTGATTTCAGAGTGATCTAGGCCCGGAAATAGTGATTTTGGAGTGATTTAGGGCCGGAAATAGTGATTTGAAAGTGAAAAATCACTTTCAAATCGCTGTTTCCGGCCCTAAATCACTCCAAAATCACTATTTGCGGTGGTGGAAGACCGGCAAAAGTGATTTCAGAGTGATCTAGGCCCGGAAATAGTGATTTTGGAGTGATTTAGGGCCGGAAATAGTGATTTGAAAGTGATCTTTCACTTTCAAATCACTATTTCTGGCTCTAAATCACTCCAAAATCACTATTTGCGGTGGTGGAAGACCGGCAAAAGTGATTTCAGAGTGATCTAGGCCCGGAAATAGTGATTTTGGAGTGATTTAGGGCCGGAAATAATGATTTGAAAGTGATCTAGGACAGGAAACAGTGATCTGACAGTGATCTAAGGCAGGCAATTGTGATGTGAGGGTGACCTACGTTCGGAGAGCTATCACATCGAACTACGAGAAGAACTCCAAGGGTTGCTAAGCAGCCCTAGCAGTAGTCCTAGCAGTCCTAGCTACAGATTCCAAGCACTATTATCGGTCCTAGATCACTTTCAAATCATTATTTCCGGCCCTAAATCACTCCAAAATCACTATTTGCGGTGGTGGAAGACCGGCAAAAGTGATTTCAGAGTGATCTAGGCCCGGAAATAGTGATTTTGGAGTGATTTAGGGCCGGAAATAGTGATTTGAAAGTGAAAGATCACTTTCAAATCACTATTTCCGGCCCTAAATCACTCCAAAATCACTATTTGCGGTGGTGGAAGACCGGCAAAAGTGATTTCAGAGTGATCTAGGCCCGGAAATAGTGATTTTGGAGTGATTTAGGGCCGGAAATAGTGATTTGAAAGTGATCTAGGACAGGAAACAGTGATCTGACAGTGATCTAAGGCAGGTAATTGTGATGTGAGGGTGACCTACGTTCGGAGAGCTATCACATCGAACTACGAGAAGAACTCCAAGGGTTGCTAAGCAGCCCTAGCAGTAGTCCTAGCAGTCCTAGCTACAGATTCCAAGCACTATTATCGGTCCTAGATCACTTTCAAATCACTATTTCCGGCCCTAAATCACTCCAAAATCACTATTTGCGGTGGTGGAAGACCGGCAAAAGTGATTTCAGAGTGATCTAGGCCCGGAAATAGTGATTTTGGAGTGATTTAGGGCCGGAAATAGTGATTTGAAAGTGAAAGATCACTTTCAAATCATTATTTCCGGCCCTAAATCACTCCAAAATCACTATTTGCGGTGGTGGAAGACCGGCAAAAGTGATTTCAGAGTGATCTAGGCCCGGAAATAGTGATTTTGGAGTGATTTAGGGCCGGAAATAGTGATTTGAAAGTGATCTAGGACAGGAAACAGTGATCTGACAGTGATCTAAGGCAGATAATTGTGATGTGCGGGTGACCTACGTTCGGAGAGCTATCACATCGAATTACGAGAAGAACTCCAAGGGTTGCTAAACAGCCCTAGCAGCAGTCCCAGCAGTCCTAGCTACAGTTTCCAAGCACTATTACCGGTCCTAGATCACTTTCAAATCACTATTTCCGGCCCCAGATCACTCCAAAATCACTATTTGCGGTGGTGGAGGACCGGCAAAAGTGATTTCAGAGTGATCTAGGCCCGGAAATAGTGATTTTGGAGTGATTTAGGGCCGGAAATAGTGATTTGAAAGTGAAAGATCACTTTCAAATCACTATTTCATTGCCAATCACTATTTCCAGCCACAGATCACTATTGCCGGTCCTGGAGGATTGACAATAGTGATTTTGATGTGATTTCGGAGTGATCCGCAAATTAGACATAGGTGCAAACAAAAATGATTTTTCTGTGATCTGGGAGTGATCCGTGCTTTGGGAATAGTGATTTCCAAGCGATCAGGAGCGAGGCAAAACGTGGATTATTCAGTGATCTAGGAGTGATCCGTGCTGTGGGAATATAGTGATAAACCAGAATGTTTCTTTTGTTCCGCGACCGTGCTTTGGGAATAGTGATTTACAAGCGATCGTGGATTATTCAGTGATCTAGGAGTGATCCGAGCTGTGGGAATAGTGATAAACCAGAATGTTTCTTTTGTTCCGCGACCGAATGCTGCAACAGGGCGATTTGGAAGTGAGTGGGAGGCTTTTTCAATTTAGAATTTAGACCTGTTGATATCTCATTTAATGAACGCGCCCATTGCTGGAAAGCCAAACAAGGAGGGAGGGGGGCAGGGGGGGCTCCTCCCGCGGCCATTTGGTTTTTGATTTTTTTTGAAAGGAAAAAGGAAAAACGGTTTGACCCGCCCAAAAGAACTGGCTGATGCTCATAATGCTCTGGGTTTCCCGCAGATTCCCGACACCGAAACACCTCGGGTTTATGGTGTTCGGGGTCTGGGTTTTAGGTTTGGAGTTCGGGATTGAGCGCTGGAGTTGTAGGGTTTAGGGCTTTGGGCTTGGGTCAGCTTTCAGGCCTGGAAATCAGAAAAAAAACATGATGCGCGCGGAGCATGTTGTGGACTTTGTTTTCCCTGTTGTCCTGAAGCGTTCCGAAAACAAAGACAAAGGGGGCTCCACTGCTCCACTTAGCCAGGCCAGATGTGTTTTACTATTTTACAAACACCAGAAAAAGAGAGGGGCTCCAATTTTGTCTCAAACCGTGTTGATGCTTTAGGAACAGCCGACAAAAAAGGGCGCATTTTTTTTGCCATGTGGTCGCACATATCAAGCTCTGTTTAGCCTGGTTTTTGGATGAAAAAGAATCCCCTTTACCAAGTGGCCAGGTTTGTAACTCATTCCAACGGTGCAGGGGGGGGGGGAGGGGGGGGAAGGGGGCCGGGCCACCGACCCAGAGGCATCCACAGCAGGAGGCAGGGGTGGGTGGAGTGGGGGGGTGGCTCGGTTCCTGGCTTGGTTCGACCAAGTTTGGTACTGGGGCCCAGGGCTCAGTTGACCTATACCCTCACCAACTTGACCTCCCTATGTCCACGTGCAGAGATGACTGTTTCCGGGATGCCTGGCCACTATTTCCGGTATATCGGATCATTGATGATTTTTTCTGGGTTTTCTGCTCACTATCCACGGGACACCCGATCACTATTTACAGGACTTCCGATCACTATTTACGGGACACCCGATCACTATTTCCAAGACACGCGATCACTATTTGCTGGACTTCCGATCACTATTTCCAGGACACGCGATCACTATTTCCAAGACACGCGATCACTATTTGCGGGACACCCGATCACTATTTCCAGGACACGCGATCACTATTTCCGAGACACCCGATCACTATTGACGCACCACGGATTGCTATTTGCCACTGCCGAATCACTTTTGCTGAGAACAATGATTCACTCTATATTCACTCATTTACTCACTAAAATAATTCTCAGCATGCACCCCAGTGGTTGCCCGGCGACGGCGACTTAATGTTAGGGGCGTACCCCCTTTTGTTTTGCAAGAGGGTGTCTGTTTGGGAAGTCGATAGTGTTGCATCATGTTTTGTTGGTTTGCTTATGGGCGATCCGGTTTGTGCACCATCTCGCCATTGGCGAACTTCCGTGCTGTAAACCCGCACTGAGATGATAAATCATCCTCCTAGTGCTCGTGCACGGAAAGTCAAAATGGGCGGCGTTTCTTTGAGCAATTGCAGGAATTGCTACTTCTGCCGCTGCACGAGAACTTAGCATCACTAGCACCACGATCATCATGAGCGTCATATTCCGACCCCAACACCCACGACCATCAGCATTGCCTTCCTTTCTGTAGGTGTACTACGGTTATAGCTTTGGTCTTTTGGTGCGGAGAGTTTAGGGTACGAGCCCACAAAATTATGAGCATGGCTAAGCATGTATACGTGATTTTGCCGTCATCGAAGTGACTCCGCTCCCAGCAGCTTCACGGAAGTTGGTGGAGCCATGCTGCTCAAGGTTTAGGCTTCAGGGGCATGGATCTAAAGTAATTGTTATGGTTTCTTGATTATGGTAACTAGATGATAAAATCCCTATACCTATACCTTACAGGAACCCTTCTAGATTCCTTAGGGGAACCCGGGATGAAATCCCTTTTCAAGAACCCGCATAGAGTCCTGAAAGGAACCCTTAGTCAAACCCTATAACAAGAACCGTTATAGATCTCTTACTTAAGGGAACCCGTATAGATTTAAGGGGACCACAGGGGGCCCTTATAGGTCCCTGACGGGAACCCTTCTAGATCCCTCGAGGGAACTCTCACGGATACCTTAACTACTGCATGCGCGCCCGCCCCACGACCTGCCAGGAGGAGAGCCTGGCACGGCAACTGGCCGCTCGTACGCTTTCAGCCGTTAGGGTCTACAGTGAACCCCAGAAAGTTGGAACATGGATTTAGGATGATAAGTGTTAGGATTCCCCAAACTTTACCTTAAGGGCATGAGGATAATCATGTTCCAACTTTCTGGCTTCTACTGTAGGGTTGAGGATTTAGGTTTTGGGGTTCAGGGGGCTAAGGTTTGGGGTTTAGGGCCTAGGGTCTAGGGTTTTGGGTATATTGACTCTTTCTCGCGACTTCATCGGTTTTTAGAGGGACCTTATAAGGTTTAGGATGGGGGGAGGTTCCCCATTCCTTCGGGGTACTGAGAAATAGTTTTAATAATTGGTTATTATAATCCCTAAGAAACAGCTAAAATTATAATTGTTGCTACCCTAAACCCTAAACCCAAAACCCAAAACCTTAAACCCTAAGTTCTAAGTTCAGTATAGATTAGGAAGCCTCAGCTCCGGAGACCGTGGCAAGAAATGGTTCACTTCTCGATTGTCTGCTGAAGGAACTCGAAACCTGAGCCCTACCTATAGTCTTAGGGGTACTTAGAAATAATTTTGAGTCTTTGGTTATTATAATCCCTAAGAAACAGGTAAAATTGTAATTTTTGCTAGGGTTCTAAGTTCAGTATAGTATAGTCTCCATTGCAGTTCCTTTTTTGGTGTAACCAAATAAATAATTGGGATCCTATAAGGTAAAGGTCTACCAGGGATTTCTTGAATGAAATGAGGTTTTAGGATCTATAGGGTGTAGGGCCTGGACCCTACGCCCTACGCCGCAAGAAAGCCGCAGGAAAAGCCGGGCTTGAGATGAAGCAGTGAACTCTCTCATGAATGGTTTAGGGTTAGGGGTTTAGGGCTTCAGGGTTTCCGGTGTAGAGTTTGGGGCTTTGAGCAAGCATTCCTTACCCGAAAAGCACTTCAAGACTCTGAACAAATTCGGAGAAGCTGACAGAGCTACCACGCAAAGTCCCACCACCCACCCAGCCCGCAATCCCTTCAGCCCTGATTTCCTCCGATTCAATAGAGTCTGTAATTATCGCATCCTTTTCCTGTGATTCCTGGACCACAGCCTGTGATTAATCCCTCCAAACCCTAAACCCGTAACCCAAACTCGTCCCCAACCCGCCTGAACTCTGTGCCCCTACATGGGAGTTGCCGAAAATAGGGGACCCTAATATAGTACCCTAAATAGTAGGATCCCTATTATAAGGACCCCAAAATAAGGTATCCCTAATTTTCGGAAACTCCCACATAGTACCGCTTTTCTCGTCACAAGTCACCCGGGACCCCCCGGCCCCTTGTTGCAAGAAAAGCGATATCCCCTGCCCCTAAACCCTAAAACCCTAAACCTCTAACCCCTAAACCCCTAAACCCTAAACCCTAAACCCCTAAGCCCCTAAACCCTAAACCCCTAAACCCTAAACCCTAAACCCTAGACCCTAAACCCTAAAACCCTAAACCCCTAAACCCTAAGCCCTAAGCCCGAGGAGAGTGGAGCTTCGTTGGCATGGCTGGCGTACCGGAACAAGCTGCTTCCACATCGTTTAGGGTTTGGGGTTTATGCTTGGATTATGCGCTCCAATAATTCAGAAGGTTTAGGGTTTGGGGTTTATGTTTGGATTATGCGCTCCGTGAGCTCGGGGGTTTAGAGTTTGGAGTTTAGGTTTGGATTATGCGCTCCGTGCGTTCAGGGGTTTAGGGTTTGGGGTCAAAGTTTGGGGTTGAGGTTAAGGGATTATAGGGTTTAGGGTTTAGGGGTTCGAGACTCGACAACGGTTGAAGTACCCAGTGTGTTTAAGAATCAAAAGACTAGGATCCAGAGTAGGCCCTTATTCCCTTTTTTGAGGGTTCAGGTTCCCTTATAAGCCCCTTTAAACCCAAAAGGGCGCCCTTTTTATTCCTAGTTACTCTTGGGTCCAGAAGATGAGGTCTCAACAAGTAGCAAAAGTATGCCTTGATATTTTCTGTGGGGTCTGATCACTCGCCACCAATATGCCCTTATCGAAGAAAATCGATGTTTCTGTTAGTTGAGGTGATGGTACTGTAGAAGTTTACCTTAACCTCCCAAAACCTACTTTTTTGTAGGGTCCCTATATTTTCCATATTAGGGTTTATAATAAGAACCTACTAAAAAGTAGGGTTTGGTAGTTTAAGGTAGGGGTGCAGGGTGCAGAGGTCAGGGACTTCGCGTGTTTAAGCCGGAGTTCAGGCTCCGGGTTCCGGTCGTGCTCTTGAAGTTATGGCTGTGGAACTTATTCTTCACTGCTCTTAGGTAGGACTTATGCTTTAAGTTTTCTTAATAATATATGGCAGAGGAGGATCAAGACGAATATTATTATCAGTTTTGTTTGGAAGGACGGCTAAGTATGGCTGTGGGCTTATGGGATCCCGGCCCTGTGTCCGTTGAAGTTGTCGTGTTATCCGGTTGCCATTGTTTTCTGTAGCAGTGCTCCGCCCGACTCGTCTCAACGTCGTATATGTATGCGGTCAACAAGAAGAAGAAGAAGTAGTAGTAGTAGTAGTAGTAGTAGTAGCAGTCGTCGTCGTCGTGGTGGTAGTAGGCAAAATGTACCCCAAAAGTATCCCAAAATCAGCAAGGCTTCATGTCGGACCATTGTTTAGGTGGTGTTTTTTCCAGCTGTTTTTGCATTCGAGGAACAAAACCGCGAGGCGTGCAGGCCGAAACTCACTTTGTTCGCAGTAATTGCTTCTGTACCCATGACCCATGTTGCGTTTTGAGAGCATCCGCGGCGTAACCAGGATGTAGCAGTAGAAGTGGCAGCAGCAGCAGGAGCAAGCGGAGCAGGAGCTACGTATACCTTAGAAGCTGCCCCCACCCTGTAATAGTGGTATAATAGGAATATAATAGGGCCCTAATATAATACTAATATAATCCTTATGGTCACTATTACAGGGTGGGGGCAGCTTCTAACATGTACCCCCCAAACCCTGTTCGAAGTAGTCAGGCCCCGGTATGAGCCCTTACGGATACCCTTCAAGATGCTTTTAAAAGGAACAGCAATGTAGGAACCTGGTTAAGAAACCTTGGGACTTTGTTAGGGTTCCTTGTATGAACCCTACTGTTTTTGCGGTTATAGTCCCAGGGTTTCTTAATCAGGTTCCTACGTTACCCTCAAAAGAGCCCTCTTGTAACTATCCAGGCCAAGTGCTTTCAGCCCTGTTGCCCAGGCTTCCTGAGTTGAACCCTCCGCTCGCCGAAGGCGCTCTGACCACAAGGGATGGTGATATAGAGCTTTGGGCTGTGGGATGCCCTTATAGGAGTCTGAATATGAAGCCCAAAAAGGAACCACTATGGAGCCTATGGGTAGAGTGTAGGTTTAGGGTTTAGCGGTTTGGCCTGTCTGCTGAGCCCGAGGTGTTATACAGGGGTGGCGGGGTTTGGGTTTCACGTTCTACTGGAACTACCTTGTGTTCCTTAGGGTTCATGTTGCATGTTTGTTAAATTGCAACCCAGGGGTTTGTGAGAGTTGTTCGCACTGCAGGTCTAAAGGCCTTGCCGATAGGGGTTTTCAGTGAGGTTGTATACGGCTTGCAGTTACAGCACATATAGGTGTTTGGCAAGGGTGATGGGATCCCAGGTTTACTGGCACATCCATAAATCCACAATATATGAATACTTTTCAGTGCATGATTTGACTGCGCCATGTTGTGCTGCATCATGGTTGTACATGTGATGTATACTTTTCGGTGTTCTAATGCAATGTATCGGAATGCAATGCAATGTAGCGTAAGCGTTGTATTGCAAGCACAGTGTCAGTACATCTATTTGCCTGTATACACGTTCATACGCATGTACGTACATACATACATACTAATTTGTCCAGACAGAGACAGACAGGCCAGACAGGCGACAGACACACAGACACACAAACATAAATATTATGTATATATGTATATGTACAAGTGTATGTATGTATGTATGTATACAGACACATATGCACACACATACACATGCACGTGCACATACATATTAACTCAACAAGTACAAAAAGACTATGTTAACATATAGACAAACAGATAAGTTAGATTTGTGTATGTATATATATATATATGCACATGTATTTCTATCTGCATGTTGGGTAATATTATAGTTTACATTCCATACAAATCTGCAGTACAACAAAATGTGCATATCTATATATATATATATATATACATATACATATACGTATTTGTGTATACATGCACTCGCATGTAATGCTACAGCAAGGAGGCAAAGAGTCTCCGCTACTGCTTAATGGTCAGCATCCTGTGTACACTAAGGGTTGCCAAAAGGTTCCAAGTACAAAAGTTAAAACCCTGTCGCCCTGTAAATCCCACACCAGCAACCCTAAGCCCCTAAACTTGACTAAGCCCTTGTAAGAGCATGAGCGAAAGAACCCTTGCAAGAGCATCAGCGAAAAACTAGACATTTGTAAGAGTATGAGCGGAAGGCTGAAACCTGGTAATGTGCGAGATTGTAAGAGTATGAGCGAAAGGCTAAACCCTTGTAATAGTCTGAGCAAGAGGCTGAAGCCTCGTAATAGTATGAGTGAAAGGCGAAAACCTAAACCCTAATCCTAAACCCGAAACCCTAAACCCGTGTAAGAGTATGAGCGAAAGGCATACTGGCGGAGTTGGGCGCAGAGGTCCCCAGCCTTGTCGACATCCGACGGCCGCCGGACGTGCAGTCATCTCTTGATTGGGAGTTTAGGGCTTAGGGATTTAGGGTTTAGGGCTTTGGGTTTGGGAGTTTAGGTTTTAGAGTTTAGTCGCTTTTGTTGTTTTGCTAGCGTTGCTGCGGTAGTTTGAGGGGTGGGTGGGTGGGTGGGTTCGTCTAGGCTCTGCATGGGGTCTAGAAGATGTCAGGATTCGAGTTTAGGTTTTGTATCCTTAGTTTGGGGGTTGAGGTTCCTCTTTGGCTTCGGGTTTTAGTCATTGGGAGGTTTTGCGGCAGTATCACCTCGAAGATGCCGAAATCGGGTTGTTTGTTTCGGTCACAGAACCTCCGGGTATTACATTTCAGGGTTTACATGCACGGTTTATTTCGTTGCATTTGCCAATTGCCATTACGTCATAGTATGCTTCCTATGAAGGGCTATGGGGCTCTGTGGGAAAATCTGGCGCGAACCCAAAGAAAACATTGTATAACACCCTTACAAAGCCTTTCAAAGAGCCAGCAAAAATGTCTTCAATAAACACTTGGAAAAACTAAACTCAAAACCCTAAACTCTAAACCCTGAACCGTAAACTCTAAACCCTCCACACAGCCCAAACCTGGAAGCCCTAAGCCCTGCACCCTAAACCCGATTTATGAGCTTTTAAACCCCGTCGCCCTAAACCGCCAAACCCCTACTCTAATTATTAAGGCCCCTGTATCATAGTACCCTTATAGATCCTTTTGTAGTAACCCTTATAGATGCCTGTAAGAGGAACCCTATAAACCGCCATGCTGAGAGGCTCCTTGCGGAGCACAGCGCCCGAGAAGGTCGAAGTGTTCGGTTCTCAGGTCCCTTTTTTCACGATTCTACACTGTAATGTAGGAACCTGATTAAGAAACCTTGGGCCTTTATTAGGGCTCCTTATATGAATCCTACTATTTTGGGTTTATAGGCCAGAGTTTCTTCGGGCCATGGTTTTTTTTTTTTCGAAGGTGCGGCCAACCCTTGTTTGCGAGGTGCGGCCAAGGGTCCCTGGTGCATGCGGTCCCCTGGTCCTCTGGTCCTTGGTCCTGTGGTTCCCTGGTCCTCCGGTCTGCTGGTCCTCTGGTCCTGTGGTGTCCGTGCATGGGGTCCCCAGTCCTCTGGTCCTTGGTCCTGTAGTCCTCTGGCCCTCTGGTCTGCTGGTCCTCTGGTCCCGTGCTCTCCTGGTCCCGTGGTTTCCTGGTCCTGCGGTCCGCCGGTCCCTCGGTCCCGCAAAAGCAACAAGAAAGCAAACAAGGAATAACACAAGTAAAGCACAACCCCAGAAGAAAGAAAAGCAGAAGAAAGATGATGAAGGAAAGAAAGCCAGGAAGGAAGCACAAAAGAAAGCAAGAAAGCACAGGAGCTAGCAAGGAATGAAAGAGAAACAAGAACAGGAACCCATTTTTGTTTGTGCCCTTTTTTTTTTGGCCCTCTTTCTTTTGCTCCCACGTCCTGTTATTTACACAGGGAAGGAAGAAAGCAAGGAAAACAGGAAGGAGGAAGGAAGGAAGGAAGGACGGTAGTATTTCAGTAGTATATATATATATAGTATGTACAGTAAAGATAATATATTATAATATAATATAATGGAATATAATATGATATATTATAATATAATGTAATTAAATATAATGTAACATAATATAATATAGTATGATATAACATAATGTAATCTAATATAATGTAGTATAATATATTATAATGTAATATAATATAATATAATATATTGTAATGTAATGTAATATAACATAATATAATATAATGTATTATAATGTAATATAATGTAATATAATGTAAGCTAATGTAAGCTAATGTAGTATAATATACTGTAATATACTACAACATAATGTAATATAATAAAGAAATACAATATAATATAAAAGGATATAATATAATATAATATAATATAATATATTAGAATAGAATATCATATAATAGATAGAATATCATAAAATAGAATATCATAAAATAGAATAGAATAGAATATCATATAATATAATAGCATAGAATAGAACATAATAGAATATAATACAATATAACAGAATATCATAGAATATAATAGAATATCATAGAATATAATAGAATATAATATAACATAAAAGATTATAGGATAATATAATGGAATTTAATAGAATTGAAAAGAATATAATATAATGTAATATAAGAGAATAGAATAGAATAAATAGAAAAGAATATAATATAAGAGAATATAGTTAATATATATATATATAGAATATATAGTTTGTTTATATATATAGTATAGATTTATAGTATATATATATATATATAGTATATATAATATGTATAGTATATATATATAGTAGTATTTAGTGTACATAGTAGTATATAGTATATATATACAGATATACATAGAGTTTCAAGTTTCTATATATATATATATATATATATATAGTATATGTAATAAGTACAGGAGATATAACCTTAGTATATATAGTTTATACAGTATATATAGTATATATAGTATATTTATAATATATACATATTTATATAGTATATGTAGTAGAGTTAGTCTATACAGTTTATATAGTATATATAGTAGATTTAGTAGATATTATAAAGTTGTATGTATATATATAGTATACATAGTGTAAATAATATATATATATATATAGTATATAGTATATATATACACAGAGAGAGAGAGAGAGAGCACATATGTGTGTATATAAATATATACATATATATATATATACATATGGAAGGCCTATTATTTTGGATCTTGTTGTTGAAATTTTTGTTTGGTGTTTTTCCATGGTTTTCCTTGGGGAAACACTATTTTCCTCACGTTTTGGACAGATTTGGTGTGCTTTTCTTGGTTTTTTCCACCTGAAACGAAAAGAACCCAGGAAGACAGAACGAAACACCCCAGAACAAGGACCAAAGCAAGGAAGAAGAACAGAAAGAATGAAAAGATAGAAGGAAGGCAGACGGTTGGAAATTCAGGTTCGGAACCCAGGTTCAAACCTGGGTTTGAACCTAGGTTCTAATTCGGGTTAGAACCCAGGTTCAGAACACGGATTTTCTCGGGTTGTTGATTCAGCGGGGTTAAGCGCGAAGCAACACAATCAATCATGAATGACTTGGAAGTTCTCTTGAGCCACGAAGTAATCAACAATAACGTGTTTGCCAACCGGTCGTTTGAGCCGCCACGAAATAAATAAAACCGTGTTCGCCAACACAAAAAAAGAATAA